GAGTTCAAAGAAACGTTTACCTGTAAAACAGTATTAAGCGGATTCTAAATACTCAAGTTTTTCCTCTTGCAAAAACTAAAAACATTTTAGTCCTAGCTTTTAGTTGAGCAAAGTTCATTCGAGTTTCTTAGAGGAGTGGGTGTTGTGCATTTTTTTCAGACTCTATATTTCCTTTCTGATGCCTCTTTAATAGCTCTACATGATTTTCAGATCAAAAAGTCTTGTGTTTCTCACAGTGGCGTAATTAAAATATCATTATTTATGCCTTTGTCTGAAACTCTTCATTTTAGCCGCTGTCTCTTTAAAGCCCCCCCTCCACAAGCCTACTTTCTTCTGATTGGCCACCTGAGGCTTTCGGGAAGCTGGCCAAGGGCAGGACTCAATGTTTTGGCCCCGCTCCCTTGATTGTGGTGGATAAGTAGAGCAGTGTTACCCCATAGACATTATATGTGTATATATATATGTGTATATAGACAGGTTTCTTGTGTACAAACAATACTATGTGCACGCAACCATGGGGAAAAAGCCTGCTTCAGAGTGAACTGATATCAATGAAGATGCCGTATGATTTGCAAGTTCTCCCTGACACAATTGCAATAAAATGTCATTTCATTGAAAAAAAAAAAAAAAAAAAAAAATTGCTTTTTTTTTCATTGCATCAAAATCAGAAAAACACTCGCTGAAACATCCATGAATTTAACTTAATTTACCAGGTTGTGACGTTGTTTTAGATGTTTCTAATATCAGGAGCAGGGTCATAATGTTTGCCGATTGTTTTGCTGATTCATGCAGTTTACAGCACAACAGCTCCTTGTCATTTTCTTTCTCTGTTGACTCTGCTAGTAAACAAATAAGAAATGTACGGCTTTCTGCGCCAAGGCTGCGTGCGCATACCTGCGATGACGTTGCACAGAAACCCGTCTATTATATCAAAGGTTACCCCGCTCTGCTGTGGGTGTCACCTCACTCGCTGCTGGAGGCAGGCCATTTCACTTTGCCCGGAGTTCAGATGAACCAGTAAGGGGAGCATATAATTCTTAAGTAAGAATTTAGCTAGTCTCACACAGACTATAATCTCACATTTGTCTGAGATTTGAGCAGTCTACACCTGTTCTCTAGGATTATGACAAAATATATTTCATGCTTTGAAAATTCGCATACATCTAGTATGGACATTAAACGTTGTTACTCTGCATTTCTTGTTGTAAATGTGGAAAAGCATGACATCCCCCTTTAAACAGCTGTAGAGAAATATGGCAGCAGGCAATTTCAGTAAAGAAACTGTAGTTATATAGATGCTGTTGACATGTCATGTCTGTTATAAAAAGTGAGATTTGATGAGAACTTTTGTATTTTCACATCAACATTACTTAACACCCCTGAGGTGAAACCAGGACACTGGAACAGCGGAGAACCAAGTGTCTGAACACAAACATAAAGAATTTTTGTAAAAGCCTTTCAAAGATATTAACAGTATTTCAGCTTTAACCCTTTACTTCTACTTAGCCAAACTTCGCTTCAAAGGCGAGACCTGGTCCTCTAACACGAAGTCTATAACAACTTTTACTTTACTGAAATTAAACTTTAGCCATGGTAATTTAACAAATTCTGACTGTAATTATTTCAAATGCTTTTTATTTACTTTTATGCTGTTTGTTCAAATCTTTTAAGTTGTGAGCAGACTAATGCTCCCCTAACTGACTCCCAGAGGTGAAATCAGGACACTGCAGCAGCTGAGAACAAACTGTCTTTAAACAAAACAAAACAAAATGGTTTTAAAAAGTCTCTTTTAATAAAATGACATCTTCAGTAATTTCTGCTCTAAATGTTAATGTCTACTTACCTTCAAGTGCAGGACCTGAACCTGTAACAGCGATTCTTAACTCAGGTTTGCAGGTTTATAGTAAAATAAAAACTAAGCAGAAATGAGCAGATTTGAGATGAAATAAATTAAAGTCTTATTTTCTTTCATCTCTAGAAGAGTTTTTTTAATATCCTGTTTACAACTGTGTCTGGACTCTTTGTCCTCGACTGCTGCAGTGTCCTGATTTCACCTCTGGGGGTCGGTCGAGGAAATTTGTTCATAACTCGAAGCTAAAATTGGGATAAAAATATGAGATTGAAACGAAAACAGAAAAATTAAAGCATGATAGTTGTTCACATTTAAGATAAATAAGGATAAGTCAAGTTTAAAGATAGCTAACAACAGTACTGTACAGTAAAAAATACTGTAGTGTCCTAATATGTTTGTGACATATTTACACAATTTTGCAAAAAGTGAAACAAACGCTTAAGCTTATTTCCAAATTTCTCCATCAGCAGAAACATGTGAATATATCATAATCAGCTGTGTTGAAGTACAGCATCAGAATAACTCGAATGAAGACATGCTGGCAGGTTATTTTCATGTTTTTCTAAAAGGATTTTTCAGTTTTATATTCAGACTGTTCTTCTCCTGGATGCTGCAGCGTCCTGATTTCACCTCCAAGAGTCGGTTTGTGTGAGCAGAGTTAAATTTTAGTCTATAACTGAAGACTAAAGAAAGAAGAAAAAACAAAATAAACTCAACAGAAAGAAATTATTGTTAAAAAGGAACAGCTGCATTAAAAAAATATCTAAGTATTTTATAAAAATGGTTTATATCTATCAAAAGAGCATTTAACTAGGAATGCAAACTACATGATTTGACACACCTTACTTTATTGTTAGCCACCCCTTTTGTCTATTTTTACTATACCTTATTTTAAACTACACAATCACAACACTGAGAAATGCAGCTATATTTAGAGTAACGTACATAAATCAATACATAAAATTTTTTATTTAAAGCTAAAATAGTATTTGATTGTTCCTCTATTAAATGTCTTTACTTAAGTGTTTTACTGTTTTTATTGAAGTTTGAATCGAAGTATTTCGTCTGGAAATGTAGTAAAATGAGGCATAATTCAAACATAGATAAAAACCTGTCATAAATGAACATGTTGTCTCCTCTCTGTGTTTTATGGACAGCTTATTTTGTGTTGTGTTCAGACTCTCTTTGTTCTCAGGCTGCTGCAGTGTCCTCAGTTTACCTCTTTAGGGTGAGGGTTCTTAATCGGAGCAGAAAACGAAAATAAACTCGAACGAACCAAACTAGATTAAAATTCAATAAAAGTCTAATATACAAAAGCAGACCCGTCTTTGAATGCAGAATCTGATGTCAAACATATCTTAATCTTATCCATTCCCTCTCATCAGCTCCTCTCACTCCGAGCTGTGGGGGTTGTTTTTTTGGCGGCCGCCATGTTTCCTCCCTCGTTATAGTCTGCCGCTGTTGCTAGGCGACTTCAGAGCGTTGGGCATGTTGCCATGGAGATACTATAGAGAGACCAGCATTACCTCCTGTCACCTCGGTGCAGCGCTGCGTTCACATACGGCTGGTTGATTCCAACATCCGCACGGATTATTTTTAACCGTGTCCTCAGATGACTCCTCAGAGCCGGCTTTACGTTTCACCTCAAGAGGCTTTAGGAGAGCAAAACTTTATGTTTGAAGCCGATTCTGACTCTAAAAATAAAAGCTTTTTTCGTTGTTTTCATGCATAAATTATTACTAAGATCTAAAATATCTATTTATCAAAATTTTATCCATATTTTCGTGTGAAACCAGAGCAGAATCAGTAATTTGATCCAGAAAAATGTGATTTTACAACCAGGACAATGTGGTTTACGCAACACAACTGAAAAATTCCTACTTCTATTTAATACAACATTTAATTCTTTTAACAGATTTTTCAACAAAATCATCATTTAATGAACACTGATTAACTCTTCCAAGACAAAAATCAGCATTTTAATATTATTTTCACAATTAAGTCTATGACATGTTTTATTTTCATTGTAGTGGTTTATTTTTTTAAAATGAAGGTATCTTGAACAGGATTTTAACTGCTGGAGTCAACAACAGGGAAATCATTTAAAACCCTTTTTCTTAATGGCCGCACCCATCTAGGAGTCAATAATAATTGAGAACAATAGGGGAAAAAAGCAGGAAATATAAAGAGAAAAAATGTGTTTTCACGCATATACATATTTTTACATCACTTTGCAGCTTTCATTTGCATTTAACCAATTTGTAGTTAATCATGTTTAAAAATGTATTGTTGCTGTCAAACCTTATTATATTTTAAAACTGGCTTATGGCTTACATTATTGAGCTTTAAATTAGGCATGAAAAACAGGAAGCTCAAGTTTAGAGGGTTTGTTAGCTACCTCATGTTATTGTAGTCTATTTAAAACTCCTGTGATTAACTTTCAGTGATGTGTTAATTTTGGCACCCACTGTGGAGAAAGCAGTCCCATATGCTTTATGCTAAAAACGTGACCTTTAAAAGATCAAATGTGTCATTTATTTTGAACCTTTGTGTTTTCAGCTGCTTGGCTCACTGACACCTACACCCCTGGTGAATGTTTCAGGGATTGAAAAATCACCGTAATGAAATCCTAAATTTGGACGCTGATGGTTTTGTTTTTCATAAAGACACTTTATAGTTAATTTCAGTTTGTTTTGTTTGTTACCAGTAAAAGAACTCCCTATAGGAGCTTTAACTTACTGATACTAATGTTGGCAAACTTGTTGCTGTATTTGCTGCTGTGAGCTGCAGTGACCGGTACATAAGTAAACAAATAGCATTATTTTTTTAACTTGAGATTTCTCAATTTCTGCCAGATTTACAGTATACATTGTTTATTTTGTCGCTTATTGAAAAAGAAACAAATAGGAACACCATTCAATTCTGAGATTTCAACTTGGTGCTAATTTTTGGTGAACTGTACTGCTTTCACACCAGATTAAAAATAATTTTTTTGAATTATTCAGAAAATTATCCCAAAATTATGAAAATAGTTTTAGGAAAATAAGAAATTTCTTCCCCGTTTTTCTAAATCCCCTAACCATATCAACTAGCAGACAATGTAACACTGTAACAGGATAAATGTCTCAAATAAAAATATCTCAAATAATAAAAAAAGGACCAAAAATTTCTTTAATTCAGAAAACTGTGATTTTAAGCAAATGCAACATCACACTCTGAGACAAATCAGACTTTTTAAATTAATGAGCTGACACCTGAAAGTGTCTTTTGATACACCGTAAAGATGAAAACAACTGTCTAAAATCACTCACTACTCCCTTTATAGTAAATCTGCCATTTTGTAGTTCCATCCAAATTCTGAATGGACATTTAGTCGCTCTATATAGTACACTCAGTTATATTTAATATCAAGTGTTTGAACAGTATTTTTTGTTTCTTTTCCTTACAGTTTTGGGTCAATGCAACATTTTCAAAACCCTCACCACAGACAAAGACTGAAAATTAGTCATGGGAGAATACACTGCATCAGATCCATTAGAGTTGGATGAATCAAAGCCTACATGTCTAGTCCCTCTCAACAAACAAACAAAACACAAAATGAATTAATATGACAGACACTGGACAGAGTCAAACAGAGGACAACGTCTAGCTAAAAGCAAAGAGAGGGAATGGAATCATTGTTTCGAGGAATGAGTCTAAAGACACCTAAATTCACACTAGATCGTACCTCTCATGGTTAGACTAACATACCTGGATAATGTGGTTGGAGATCAATTTTCTCCTCTCTGTATTTGGCCTAACGTACTGTGCTCCTGAGTTTACACGCCAGGGTTTGACACAGAAGCTTAACAGTAGAAATGCGCTGAAGGAAGCCAGGTAGTAAACAAAACTTTGACAGAAGAAGGAATGTGGAAAAAAAGGGCAAACTTACTTATTAAAAGGTACATAGTGGTTGACTGACAGTGTTTTTATTGTGTGACATACTTCTTGTCAGTCAATTGCTACCATGTTTGTTGGTGGTTTTGGTTCATGACATATTGAGCCAATAGTAACAAGCATTCAGGGGGCATGTCACCACTTATGGTAGCAAAGGTGGACAAACCTCTGTCAATTTATCAATGCCTTTAAACTGGGACAAAACAGCAGTCCAGTTAAATCGCCTACAATGAAACTCGACTTAAATACAAATGTAAATGTCCTGAGTGCTTTGAAAGTTATTCACATACACATGGAACCACAAAAACAGCAGAAAACACCAGACTGAACACATTAGGCCAGTGCTTCTCATATGGTGTTATTCAGTGGTATAGTAATGCAACATCACTGAGCAACACCACAGGCGTTCACTTACTGGTGCTTCAAAAGAGCGGAGAGGACAAACAAAAAAGAACATGCATGGAAACCTAAAGCTTTGTCTGGATGGACAATGAAGTGGGGTTGTTACTCTGAGCGTAGAGAGTGCAAATATTTGGGGAAAGCACAATCAGAGAGTGATCCTCCTCATGAATGGCTGCTTTAGTGGGAATGTGATGTGCAAATCAGGCTGCAGATTAAACTGTAACGTCACCATTCTCACGTGTCGTCCCACTGTGGAAACTGGGTTAAAAACTTTGTGATCTCAGCAGCCCAAACTGACGTTTCTGAGCAGAGAAAGAGCCAAAACACAACACTGGTTTATGGTTTCCCTCTGAATATGTTTCTGTGTAAAGAGCATTTCAGTTCTTGCATTTAACCGCTGAGCAAACCCAGCATCCTGATTCTTAATTTTAAAGGCACTGTTTCACTCTTCACCAACTTCTTAGATAAACTGTTAACATTCAGATTTTCCATTTGCACTGATATCGGTTTTAAAAATTCTTCTTTAATGCTAGCTCCAAAACCTGGAAATCACTGATTTTGACTTCTAAGGTACCTTGCCCATCATACTTCTGTTATGAAAAAGTGTTTTACTTATCTTTACATGTATATTGCAAGTTTTACTTTTGTAATTTTATTGCTTTTGCACCTAAACACAAAGATTCCTTGTATGTGTATAGGTACTTAGTAACAGACCAAATACTGATCTTGATTTTCCCCCAGAAACAAACACTGCTGCAAAACCCCCTAAGTAGTCCACCCAAATCCTGAGAGTATTCCCCTCATATTTCCCCTTAGCAGCTGTTTTTGAGTCTGTATCCCGTGGAGGCAGATTCCTCACATGTGCACATAAATAAATAAATATCATGCATGTTGCATCAGTGTGTATTTGTACCTGTTGTGGCGTCACTGCAGTGTGTTCAGTCTGTATGAATGAACCTGCTGCTCCTCTGGGCGTGTGCTGCCCCTTGCTGGTGGCCATCTGTCACTGCACCACACAGCTGTTTCTTTGTCTCGAGTTCAGCTGCAGAACCAAAGACAAACCAGGAGGATTAAAAAAAGAGAAATGAATTTATTATTCTGAACCGAGGGATTGAAAGAGAGTCTGATGATTTTATACATGTGATTTTTACTCACCCTCAATTTTAGCCACTAAACGTTCAACAATGACAGAGGATTTTTCTGCGTGTTTATGTAGCTTCATACCCATGCCTGCATTTTAAACAGGCTTGAGTGGAGCGTTGTCATATTTACCAGCCTGGTTTCAGTATTTTCACTAAATTTGCTTTATTTAAAGAAACCACAGCCACAAAGAACTGAACAACTATGAGTGACTTTCTGTTGAAGCTCTTTACAAGAAAATCAGTTTTAATCAAACATTTCAGGTTTGATTTAAATAAAAATAAAAAGACTTAAGACACAAATCTGCTCTCCTAGAAGAGTTTTATGTTATCTGATTTTCTGAAGTTTGAAATTTAAGTGACCTTTTTTCCGCTTCTCTCATGAACTTTGAAGAAAGTCCAAGTTTCTGACCACATACTGACAGATTTGAAGCTTTGGAGCTGTCAACTTGAAGAACTCTTTTGTCCAAGTGTCCCTGAATGCACTGATAAAGACATGACAACAACCAGCTGAAGGTTTCTTTTTATCTTCCGCTTCTTTCTGTCTGTAACATCTTGGCGTGAGCTCTAGTCATGCTCCTGGTTCTGGTCCTCCTCGTAGTACTAGTCATCTTCCTCCTCTTCCTCCAGGTCGTCATGGCAAAGACTGATCTCTCCACTCTTAGCACCTCACGGTACAGGTGCTTCGGCTTCACATCCAGCAGGAAACTGAAGAGCTGCAAGAGCCAGAGGAACGTCCGTGGCAGCATTGCCTCGGCATCCGCGTAACGACAGCCACACTTCCTGTAGAGAAGAAGTGTCATGGTTAAATGACCAAACCCTCAATAATCCATTATTTTTAAACTACAAGTGTGTTTTTTAATGAAGCTGAAATCTTACAGAACAGAGAAAAGTCGATCAAGAGAGATCAATGAATTCAGACTCAGTTTTCCTTATCTTAAAGGGATATTTCGGAAAATAAAATTAATTTGGGGTCAAACACAGTGACACCGTAACACTGTTGCCTATTGCTTGCTTCTCTAGTTATACCAACTTTAGTAACGACTGCAGGATAGCAATACACAGCAGTCTGAGAAGCCATAAACAAACCTCAACCAAAAAGTCACTCTATAGCAGTGGTGGGCAATTAAAGTTTACATGGGGCCACATGAGAACCCTGAACTGTGTTGGGGGGGGGTCACCACCACACATAAAAAACAAGCCCAAAAAAGCACATCCGTGACTCACGAGTTTTACAAGCAACTTCTGTGAGGAACAAGCCTAAAGTTTTCTATAATAAGCAGACTTGGCAACTGTAAGAAGTCTACGAATATTTTACCGATGATAAAACAGGTATCTCTTCACGAATGCAGATCTAGGATGTACGCACGTGCGTCCAAACGGAAATAAAACAACGGCTCGGTTTTCAAAATAAAAGCAACACACTTGGATAGCATGTTGATGATTTGATTGACGGACCTCACGAAGGGCCGCACAGGGACATCCAGGGCCGGATGTGGCCCTCTGGCCGTAAAATGCCAAGGTCTGCTCTAGAGCCACAAATAATGCTCAGAACAGCACCTAACTTCATCAACAGTACATACAAGGTCCCAGCTGTAGCACTAACCACCAAACATCTATTTATCTTTGCCTAATTTCTTTAGCAAAGGGACCAAACACAACTCACCTACTCTCTTCCAGCAGCCACTTGTTTGTAGCGAGACCTCAAGCCAGTCCATCATCGACTGAGGTGGAGGGACGCAGCTCAAGGAAGAACATTTATGATCATTACTTCATGGAAATGCAATTAGACCGAGACGCAAGGGCAGAAGAACTAACGAGTCAGCAGTGCAAAATGATTAATATGGTGATTATTACTTCAAGGAAATGATAAACTAATGATCATAAATGTTCTTCCTTGAGCTGAGTCACCCCGCAGCAGTCCATAATGGACTGGCCTGAGGTCTCGCTACAAACAAGCGGCTGCTGGAAGAGAGTGGGTGAGTTGTGTTTAGTCTCTTCACTAAAGAAATCAGGCAAAGTTAAAAAGATGTTTGGTGGCTAGGACCCTATATGTACTGTTGATGAAGTTAGGTGCTGTTCTGAGCATTATTTGTGGCTATAGAGTGGCGTTTTGGTTGAGGTTTGTGTGTGACTCCTCAGACCACTGTGTATTGCTATCGTACGGTCGTTACTAAAGTTGGTATAACTAGAGAAGGAAGCGGTCGGCAACATTAATCTCTCGAGCGGGTTACTGTGTGTTTGACCCTAAATTAATTTCATGCCGTAATATCCCTTTAATAGTTTGGGGTCAAGTTTGGATTTTTCCTCCAGGTAGTCGAGTTTGGTTCAGCAGAGTTTGATACAGGTCGGTTAACCTTAGTCGAGGTTTAAAAACACCTGTTTACATTATGTGTTGTGTTTTCATTCTTGCAGCTGACATACCAGACGCTGGGTCGGAATGCTGAGTGCCAGTTTGTGGGGTCAGAGGATGATTGCGGGCTGATCCCAACCAGCTTCATGTGGTGCATACTGGGACCATCCGCTCCGTCCTCGTCCCCCCAACAGAATGTGAAGCTGGATGGAGAGACAGGTTCTGCAGCCGCTGGACGGGAGGAAAGCCTCTCAAAACAAAGCTGCAGCTGCTCTGCTGCCCCTGCAGAAACAAAGACAAACACTCAGCAGGTTCACGCCGCAGGAAGCTTCAGTTCACAGGATGAGGGATGAGAAAAATCTGATTTCTGGTTCTTCAGAGATGATGCAGACTCCTGCAGCTTTTTTTTTTTGGTTTGAGATTTTTAACTGGGTGGCACAGTGATGTAGTGGTTAGCACTGTTACTTCACAGCAAGAAGGTCCTGGGTTTGAATCGGGGTCAGGACATTTCTGTGTAGAGTTTGCATGTTGCCTCTGTCTGCGTGGGTTTACTTTGGGTACTCTGGTTTCCTCCCACATCCCGAAAACATGCAGAAGTGGGGTTAGGTTAATTGGTCACTTTCAAATTGCCCGTAGTTATCAATGTGAGTGTGGATGGTTGTTCGTCTTTATTTGTCAGCCCTGAGATGGACTTGTGACTTATCCAGGGCGTCTCCTGCCTTTGCCCCATGATGCTGGGATAGGCTCCAGCCCATAGACTGTATATAATATGGACAACTTGGTTCAACCTCCCGCCAGAGTCACTGTGATGGCGCTCGGCTCAAACAGCATATCTCCCGGGTGAGCTACACAATCTTTGTACGCCCATAGGCTGTATCAAGTGTCAATCATAGAAAACATGAACCCCTTATAACTTTCAAAAATGTAGCTGTACAGAAAAAAGAGAACTTGAGTATAAAGCAGTCTTACAGTAACTACATGTCAACATTGCAAGCAGGGGGGAGAAAAATTTATATTCCGTGTAATAAATTTCCAAGGTTTGTCCATAAGGATTGCTGGAGGAGGCGGGGTTTATGACCTATAATGCAGCCTGTCACCACAGGGTGCTGTTCTCGCAGAGGCTTTACCCAGCCAGGAGACAGACGGCGTCCATTCTATATACAGTCTATGCTCCAAGTCCCCCATGACCCCTAACGGGATAAGTGGTAGAAAATGGATGGATGGATTCTAAACTCTATAGTAATTCATTTCAGTCTTTGTTGTCTGAGTGGAGAAAGTTTTATAAACCCAGAGGACTATAGAAATTTCATTGACAAGTCAATATTAGAAATGAAAAATGAGGATTGGGCAGAAACTCATATTCATACTTCTCCTTTTCATCACTTTGCATCTGTCATATTTGTACGTGTAGAGCGGTACCATGGCCCTCCACTGTTTCCTGCCAAGACAAAATAAGAAGAAATAGTAAGAGATAGAAATCAAGTAATTTAAGTCGTCTTTAATATGGAGTTTCATTATTTTTGTATATTATGGTCCCACTTAGAGTCACTAAGATTAAAAGCAGGGGATGATTAAAGTCTCACTCTGAAGTTTTTTTTTTTACTAAGTAAAGTGTTCTCAGTGGTCTTAAAATCGTGATTATGAAGTTTTTAGCCAAAATTGTGTTACCTGTGTCATTTTCAAGGGCTTTTCTTCTACAGAGCTCCAGTAGCTCATTAGCAAAAATGAGAAAATCTCACTGTATCTGAACCTGCTGTTTGGGTCTGTCAGAGATTCACAGTGATTTTCAAGCAGAAAAGCTCAGAAATGCAATTTATCACTTCGTTTTCTCATATGTTGCCAAGCAAAAATGCCATATGAACATGTAGACTACAAGAAAAACATGATTTTCATTAGTGTGGGTCTTTAAGGCATGGGACCTGGGATTGACATGTCCCTACTAATCTGAGAAATGTATCATCATTTTTATAAAAGCTTTATTTCCAGATTTATCAACAATTGAGGAGGTGAGATTGAAACTTCTGAATTCTCAAAAAGCTCTACATGTAAGTCAGAGGTATTTCTTACTGGCTAATGATGCTGGTGATGGGGTATTTGTGTCACTCTGTGAAAGTCTCACCTGGCCATGTCGTAGTCTCTCTTGTTCTGAGCTCGGATCAGAGCCGCCTGCAGCAGCTTGTACCAACGCCTCGGACTGAACCCATCTCCTGTCAAACAGTGAAAACTTTTTTTACACCAGTAAAAAATCAGACAACCACAGCTCCAGAGCTGAAACATAAATCCTGACTAAAACTACTCTCATATTTTAAACCACTAATTTTACCAGAAAAATGTCTTAAAACGGTTGTTATGCTGTGCACGTTACTATATCGAAGACGTCTTTTAGAGTTTTTCTGAGTTCTCAGCGATTCATGATGAGCAGTGTGTCTGCTTGTAGCAAACGGAGGATTCAGGATCCATCTGTGATTTGTTTATTGTTAAAAAATGGATTCAAACTAATGATTTGTTTTAAAGAATCATAAACAGGTTTGAAACAGCAGCTTTTAAAAACAGAAACAAAGAGAAAAAGTGACATTTGAGTTCTGAAACAGAATTACTGCTGACTCAGATTTATCGACTCTGACAAAAAAAAAGGACATGTGGATATTCAGATTGAAGGTGTAGAGCTTACCTGATTTGTCCCGATTGCCTGCTTTAGACGATAAATCCCTGAAATTTAAGAAACAAAAGGGAATCTTTACTTTAAAAATGTGAAAACTTTCCACAGACAAACTTTGAAAGTTCCTTGAAAAACAAAAACAGCTGACCTCCTCCCTGATTGGCTGTTCAATGTCTCTCTGAGGATAAAAAAATATAAATTTACCACTCAGTGCGGTCGTCCAGGCCGAAGACGAACTTCATGGTGACAATGATGAAGGCGGCGGTCTGCATGTCGTGTTTTGGCAGGAAGGGACAAGTCTGTGGGTTGTATGTGTAGGGCTTTTCATCCGCCATGCCAGCGATCTCCATCAGCTTGCAGAGCAACGGGTGGAGATCATCTGGAAAAAGATTAAATCAAACAAATGAGCAAGAAAAAGGCACTAATGTATGACGCTTAAATACAGCAGAGAGGTCATCGCTGCTGGAAATGTGTCGAGCATCAACGGTCATCTTCTCAGTGATATTATTGGTAGCACATTCAGGAGCTGTTCTGTTGTTACCGGGTAGATTAATGTCGGTCAGGTAGCGCAGACTGAGCAGACTGGGATGCAGCAGGTTCTGGCGGCTGATTGGAGGAAAAGCAGGAAGTTTGAGAAACAGAGTGACAATCTGAGCCTCCTTATGTGCATGCTGATAAGATGGGATGCCCTGAGGAGGAAAACAAACGCACCTCAATCAAACTCTCCATCAGTATTATGGAGTATTAATCACTATACAAATTTGATTATTGATCACGTAATAATTAGAGTACTTGGGAGCTGAAACATTTCTGACCTCGACTCTGAAGATGAGGGAGTCTTTGCTGTGGAACTTCATCTCTTCAGGAAATTCTTTATAAGCATTTACAAACGGGACGTGACCCTCGTTCACCAACCTGAGAACAAACACACCATCTTACTGTTCCAGGACTTTTAAACAGTTTCCAGCACATTCCAGGGATTTATCTTGGGAGGTTTCATTGAATGACCTTTAACCTGGACTGATATTTATTAATTAATTCATCACTGATAGAATCATCATCAAACATTAAGACATGTTATTACCTGAGCAGGTGTGTGTGTAGTTACCTTAGCAGGTCACTGAGTGTTAGCGGCTCACGGCTCCAGGTGAGGGCGATGTGGATCAGAGCCAGAGTTCTCTCCATGGTCATTGGACTGTAGCCTCGCCTGTGCCGGGCCGATAGGTAAAAGCCGGCGTCTTCAGATCCTGAACACACCGACCAGCTACTTCTGCTCCCTGAGCAGGTGAGGAGACAGTTTTTTTTATGTTGCTGATTAAACAAAGACTTGATTCTTATACTCAGAAGCTTGAGGTCAGGCACGATAAGAGGGAATTATAGCGAGCTTGTGATGTTATAAAGACAAAAAATCTGATATAAAAAGATTGTCACGTGTCCCAAACTCGACTATAACATGTCTCACGTCTTTAATGGTCAAGTTTGACCCAAACCTCAAGTCATTTTAATGTGGGACTCAAATTCAAATGAAAAACTCGAGTTCCCGTCTCTAGTACCATTGTTTGATCCGGCTGAGCCCGGCAGGTTTGCCTCTTCCTCTTCTGTTTCAAAAGCTGACGTCTGAGATGATTCAGGGGCGCTGTCCGAGTCTGAGGCTGGATGTCTCTGTAAAAACAGAAAAAAGCAACAGTGTCACTGAGGGAAGAAATACAACAGCAAACTCTTAAAGAAAGAAGCAGCATCAAATCTGTGAACTCTAAAAACTGACCGGTTTGAAGCCCTCCATTGGAGTGTGTGTGTAAGCCAGGTTACTCTTCTGCAGGTACAGCCTCCACAGCTCACACAGCACCTTATCCTGAAACAACACAGCTGTGTTACACATCACGCTGATGTTTGTGTCTTCAGGGTTCACTCTCAGCTGATTAATAAAAGTCAGACCTTGAATTGTTGTTGGACTCCCAATCTGAGCAGAGCGTCAGCCTGCTTCATCAGGATGAACTGGAAACCTTCACAGACCATCCACTGCCACCTACTGTGTCCTGAAAACACACCAACAGTGTCTTTAACACTTAACTGAGGACACCTGTGGATTCATATGAGAAGTCTTTTTTTTTTTTTAACACATCTTTGACAGAAATTAGCTCCAGCATTCTTTTGATATGTTCAAGGCTGTCACTGTTTATCACAATGCAGATAAGGTTGGAATTTAAAATGCAGGGACGTGACTGACATCAGATAAAGAAGCAGGAATCTCTCTCTGCCCCTAATTTTTTTTTTACTCTGTGACCCAAAATATTTGATTTAAGATAAAGTGAAATAATAATCTACTCTCAAAACCACTTATAATTCGCATGCAGCATGCCTATGTCAAATTAAATGTTCTAAAATATAATTGTTTCAGCAATACGGCAACACTGGATTTTTAAATTTGTCGTTTGTAGACACTTTAAGAAGCCAAGGCGTAGTTTATCTTTAGCTTTTGATGTTATAATAACAGGCAGAAACTTTCCGTGAATCGTATCGTGGACAGACTTCCCTTGGCTTTACTGTTAGCTAACTGCTATGTTATCGCACTTTCTCGTACAGCCCGTTAATAAGTTCAAATACCTAACATCACCATGCAGACTTTAAAAAACATGCTAAATCCAATGTAGACGCAAACTTCAGTCGAAATTCATCGTGATTGCACTTTGAAGATGGTCCCTGAACACCAAAATTAGGCTGGCTGTGCAGAGAGGAAAGTTTTACAATGGGATATTTTTGCTGCAAATGAGATTTTATTTCATTTTTGCAGTGTGGACAAAATCCAATCAGCTTACCGTCATGCAGTTGTTGAAGTGCTTGTCGTGTATGCTTTTGGCTTTATTTCTTCTCAGTACTCATTCTATTTTTAACTATGGCAACGTGAAATACTTTAAACAGAAAAAAACCTCAGTGAAAGTAAAAGTACTGGTTTTAAAAACTACTCAGGAAAGTACACATACTCAAACAAGGTACTTCTCACAGTAATTTGAGTAAATGCAGTTAGTTTCTTCTGCCTAACTGAGACCAAGCTTGATTATTTACTTACCACTGCCTTTGTTTCTGGATCTTGCTCTCATGGAGTTTATCTTATTGGCGCCGGCGATGAAGGTTGGATCCACCTCTTTGGTTCTCTGAGGATGGAAGGATATATTTACATGTTAAAACAGACAAAACTGCCCCCTATTGACAGAGAACAGTTCTGCAGTCAGAGTCAAACAAGAGTGACAAAAATTTAAGTGAAAGTTAAGTAAATTTTAAAAGCTGTTGCTATTTTATACTCAACAGAATATTTTGCTGTAAAAATACATTTCTCATCTTTAAGTTTATAAACCAATAAAAAAAAACTTAAAATCTTCATGAAGGATTTTACCAATCTGAGTGAAACTGGTTTAGCCTTGATGCAGACAAATGAAGTAGACATACTGATCAAAAACAACCAAATATTTTTGACTTAGGAATGAAACATGTAGCCCTTTTCTACTGTATTACATTCTTTTTTATTGTACTTTTTTGAATATATTTTAAATTATTCTCTATATCTTTGCACCGTGGGCTGGAAATACATTTTTCTGCATTTTTCTTTCCATTGCCTTGTAAAACACTTGTAATGGGGATTGCTCTCAGTATGAAGATTATTACATAATTATTAAAATTTCCCATGCTTATTACTTTTTTTGTATCACAGTAATCCGTTTGATCCTGTCAGGGTTGTAGATAAAATGCTACTTAACAGGGACTCTGGTTTGAATTCACAAGAGACGCTTCAACTGTTCTTTGTTATTAGTGTTGAGCTGTTATAGTTTACCTCGATGACATTGTGGCAGGATTTGCAGTAGAAATGACCCTCATCTGAAATCCCCCAGTCCACAGCTGAACACTGAGCACAGGGCTCCCTGTAATCCGCCTACAAACACAGACAGACAGACAACAAGTATGGCCATTAATTTCAATCGATCAATCAAACTTTATTTATAAAGCGCTTTTCCTACAGGAATGTGACTCAAAGTGCTTTACAGTCTTGTTAAAAACAAAAACAAAATATGATCCCAGATGCTCCCTTACCCCCCAACCCCACCCCCCACCTACACACACACACATGCACACACGCCAACGCACCCGCACATACACACATAAAGAGAATGGGCATGAGGCTGAGTACAGATGGACCAGTTGGGAAGGCACCATCAGAGGAGCCGTCAGCACTAGGAGCAGAGAGCCGCTCACAGCCACAGGACACCGACATGGGGCCAGTGGAGGAATGTGTCAGACAGCAACCTCCGCCAGGAACCCCGTGGCCGGCCCCTGCAACCACAAGCAACCACTGCTCCCGGTGCTGAGGGCTCCCTCAGAGGAAACACTGGAGGTCCTAAAAATGATAAAAGGACAGACCTAAAATAAACCTAGGCTAACTAGAATAAATGAAGATAAAACAACTATCAGTTAAAAGCTAAGCGACAAAGGTGGGTCTTGAGCCTGCTCTTAAAAACATGAACGTTCTCTGTGGCCCTGAGGTCCTCTGGCAGGCTGTTCCATGAACGAGGGCCATAATATTGAAAAGACACCTCGCCATGAGTATGTGTCCTGACTTTTGGAATGACTAGGAGCCTGCTGCCAGAGGAGCGCAGGGTCCGTGAAGGTTCATAAGATAAGATAAGAAGGCCCAAGACCATTAAGACATTTAAAAACAAAGTAAAAGAACCTTAATTTGAATTACACCTGAGAAAGAAAATGATTTCGCTGTGTTTAACTGTGACTCCTTAACACAAACTGTAATATGTTATTTCAGCTTACATGATAAATGTCATGATTAACCTGTCACCTAAAAACCCTTTAAATCCCAGTAAATCTGCTCAGCTGTTACTGCTCCTGTCACTTCTGGAAAGAGAACAAAATGTTCTTTCATCATATTCACAACTATTGTAACGACAAACAACTCACTTAATTAGGCAAAGTTATTTTAGCGAGATATCTAAACTCATACATTCATAAAGCTTCTACAATTCCCCCTTAACACGTATTACATGTCTCTACGGTACCCCCTTACAGAAATACAAAGTCATACTATCGGCTGGTAAAGATAATTGCAGTAACCGGTAAAACCGTCATTAAGTTATCTTTTTAAATTACTAGTTAATTCGGCATTATTATCTTTCGGCTATTGGGATATTTAAGTCGTTTTTCTTATAGATACAGGCTAAAAACATAGGGTTTGCCTCAAAAATACCGCTTTAAAAAGTATTTCTCAATTCATTCACTCCGTAATCATGAGCTGGATGTTAGCCTGTACAGTCTAAATCATATAAATACATCTAGAATGAAGTTTAAGTTAGGCTGTCACATGTTTGTCTGCATTAAAATGGACGAATAATTCCATGGAGTTTGGTTGACAGACTAGAAAACTGCGCTGTTTCATCTACATGTTCCTATCGTTACCCTTAACACTGCAGTATAGTTTTAAGTTTCACATTTAAAAAAAAGTAACAGCTCTATATAGAGAACACTTACTGTATGTTCTTCATCCATCTTTAGTAACAAACAAACGTTTTCCCAAACAGATGTAAGTTAGCTTTAGCTCGCGGACATGTGAACGGTTTGTTTGGGGTTCGGTTCTTCTTCTAAGATTCCCAATCGTTTGAACGCACCACGGCGCTCTGCTGCTCACTACCGGCAATAACGTGAACTGCAGCATACACTGCATTCGCGGTTAGGAATTGTCAGAGGATTAAGTTTTGGGCAGGGATAAAATCACAAGAAAGATACTGTCAGCTAGGCGTAACGACTTTTGTTGTCTGAAAATAGTGTGTGACTTGACTGGTAAAAATATTTGATGTCATATGACCCAGAAAAATGGCAGATATGTCTTTGGAAAATGATATTGGAATACTTTTAGTAATACACTATGAAAATTATATTGGAATACTTTTAGTAATACACTATGAACTGCACTAAAATATGAAAAGTGAGATTTCATTTAAGTTTATTGTTATAGCTCTGAAAATTTGATGTGGCTTTATGTTGTTGATATTATGTGTAAAGTGATCAAACTGTTGTGAACTCTCTGTGTATGTTTGTAGTTTATCTTTACACACTCGTAGTTTTCTTTAGTGTGTTATTATCAGTGTGTACTTGTGTGTTTCTGGTTGAATGACTGTGAGTAAAAGCGGATCTGGATGAGATCAGATGTTATAAATAGAGCTGCCAGATGTCTGTTATTCTCTTATGTAAGATGTAGAGCCGTCATGTTTCACTGTCCTGCTCTTCAGCTCGTCTTTGTTTTCAGATTTAATGAACACAGGACTGAACACCTAAAGAAAAAAAAAAACGTAAAAAAAGCGCTGAACTTTTTGTGTAGGTTTCTGGCTCGAGCGTGTTTGATTGCACCATAAAGCTTGCGATAATAAGAGCAACGTTCGAAAACGGAACTACAAAATAAAGCTGTTTATTATATATTTTTTTTAAACTTGGAGATAACAAATCCTCGTTTTGAGAAATGATATGAGTGTAATTACAGCTGACCACAAAAAAATTATGTCCTGCATAAAAAAAATTTAAAACATTTTTTCCCCAAATTTATTTATAGAGTTTATAGAAAACACAATGTAGAATTCAACCATGGAAACTTAAATATTTCATATTTATATGCTGTTTTTATTTATTTATCTATTTTTTTAACCACACTAAAAACCTTCAACCTTTTTTGTTGTTGTAATTTTCTGTTTTTCTCTCAGGGATCCTCTGCAGACTGTAAAACCATTATTTTTCATTTATTTTTTTCAAGTCAAGCATGCACACAACCTGTACACACATGAAGGTAACTTTCTGGCAGAATTATTGAAAATTATATCCAGGAAAAATGCTCATCTTGCATATGTAAGGTATAATTTTATGGGAGAAAGTTAGCATCACAGCCATTTTGTGTTTATTTTTTACTTTTCAAAGATATACTTCCCTTTAGCTGTGTACTGTTCTATCCTTAATACTTCAAATCTTGCTTGCAGCCCTACATCAAGGAGGTTGGTCTTATCTTGAAGGCTTCACCTTTTTAAAACTTACACCAGTCCTTTTTATTTGAAAAAAAAAAAAAAACTTATACTTTTACTCTGAAGGGTAGAAGCAGCACTTCCGCCCTCTCTCTGCGTGTTGAAGCTAGCTTGACTCCGCGCTCTGAGTCTTCCTGGTTCTGCGGACTGATCGTGTCTTTTTTTCTGCCCATTTCCAAACAAAACAAAGACTTAAAGTTGGCACACATTCCCTTGACTTCACCCTGGAAGCTTTTGTGAACTCTATTTTACTCTAAAAGTGTCTTTTTATCCGTTCATCTAATGCGTCGAGACTTTGAACCGAAACAAGCAGCGACGACCTTTTTTCCATTCACTCCATCCAGCGGATTAAAAACCCATCCGACCCAACATGAGACAGGAGTGCATATTTTTATCTGTTTTTATGTTTTTTACTGCAGCAGCCATTTCTCCGCATGCAGAGAAAGAAGAGGATCAAAACAGTAAGAGTCCAGAATCATTTGTGTCATTTAAAAAGTCTTAAAAGTCTAGTTTATGTTCCTGAAAGCAAGTCTAGTTTCATCGGAGCAGTTATTAAGGATAAGGAGGCTCAAATCCGCCATTAAAGCGAAAATATTACATGAAATGTATGTTGAAATCACAACAGCATGGCTTAGCCGGCAAAATACATATCATTTACAGCCCAAATCATCACAAAACATGTAAAAAAATGTTTGTTTAAAGGTCAAAAGAAGCATGAATTATAGAAAAATCCTAAACCAGCAATACTGCTATTATGATTTGTGAATCAGGATTTAAAGAGGATTTAAGTTGCTTAGACGAGTGTAATGCAGATGTCATATCATAGATAATTGCTTTTATAATCTTGATATCAATATCATTCATAGTTTTTAGATTCTTGCTATAATTGAGCAGCCCTACAATACCATGTAATGCACCTGACTGTGAGCTTTTCCCCCCTCAGCTGCGTCTCTTAGGTCGATGCTTGACGACTTCGACGTGCTGCCTCTCTCAAGCCTGCAGACCCACTCCGTCCGCCGCCGAGACGTCCAAACTCAGACCCATGTGGAGAAACTGCTCAGCTTCAACGCCCTGCAGAGGTCAGAGGTCACAGCTCATTTGGGTTCGGTTTACCAAAGAGAATCCAGAAAGTGACAGAGTGTGTTTTTGTGTTTGTCTGCAGGCACTTCAGGCTGTACCTGAGGACCAACGACCAGCTGTTCACGGAGGACTTCAGAGCTGTGATGGTGGACGAAGATGGCCGAGAGAGGAGCGTCTCGGTCAACAGACACAACTACTTCACTGGACATGTTATCGGTAACAAAAAAACACCTGTAAAAGGAGAATTTCCATCTGTTAAAGGGAGAATTAGCAGTTTTTTATGTGGAGTAACTATGAATTATAGTCAGTGTATAACCGTTATCTTAGTAAAGAGACTTTTAACCTTCATATCATTTTATTTCAACTTGAAAATCTGAACTCTTCATTTGAAGATCAGAGGAATAACTTTTTAAGTTTTTGTTTCTAACTTTCAGGGGAGGAAAACTCTCGAGTTCAGGCCCACATCGATGATCATGAGTTCTCCGCTCACATCCTTACCGAAGAGGCTGAGTACAACGTCGAGGTGAGGCATCAACAGAGAGAAACAGCATTATGTTTCAACATGTAAAATACCTGCAGGGAAGAAAAAAGGACATAGAAAAGAAAGAGTAGTTTCGTTTTACTTGATGCCAGCAAGGAAAGATGGAAAGAGGAGTGTTGGTGAAAGAAAATGTGATACAACACAACAGTAGACATTAAAAACATGTTGCTGGCGTCAGATTTACAATGTGCATACATTTCTCAAAACAATAACTCTGTTTTTATCATTATTCCTGGGGTCAGTTTTGTGATTTAAAAAAAAGTTATACCACCTCTCCTGAACATCCTGAGAAATGAACAACAGCGACCAAAACAGGTTGTAATTCTGGGCTGTAAAACACATTAGTCTCTGCCCTGACGTTTGGCATTTTAACATGAGGCTCTATGAGGATTGGCTCACTTTTGGAACAGCCTCCGGTGGACACTTGAGGAACTGCAGTTTCTACTCCTTTGCTTGGCTTTACTTCTTTCACACTGAAGTTCGTGGCTCCTGTAAAGCTCCTGCTGTGATTATTCTTCTCTGTTCAGCCTCTTTGGAGGTTCATCTCAGCGCCTCCTGATGGTCGTCTGCTGATCTACCGCTCAGAGGACATCAAGAACCTCACCCGACTGCACCAGCCATCAGTCTGCGGTTATGTGACCTCTGACCCTGGTTTCCTCCTCCCTGATGGCATCAAAGCAACAATATCTAAGAACCAAGAAGAAGAAGGTAAGAGAGTTAAAACAGAGAAAATAAAGACGGTCTTTCTTAAATTAAATTAGATGTATACTCAGACTTTATCTGACCTGACTGTGATTCAGAGTCTGTGGTCAGAGAGAAGCGTCAGGTCCACGACCACCTGAAGAACACCTGTCCTCTGCTGCTGGTGGCCGATCATCGCTTCTTCAAACACATGGGCCGAGAGGAGGAGAGCACCACCCTCAACTACCTGGTCAGTCCAACGCCCACCTTTATCCTCCATCACCTCCACACAGGAACAATCATCAACCTCTCTGTGTTTTCAGATCGAGCTGATCGACCGCGTGGACGACATCTACAGAAACACGTCCTGGGATGAGGAGTTCAAAGGTTACGGTGTTCAGATTCAGCAGGTAAGGTCACACTCTTCTGCTTTAGGAACAACATTTAGAGATTGTAACACTGATTCACCTGCACCTTCAATCCATCAGATCATCATCGAGAAGAGTGCGACCCCAGTGGCTGCAGGAAAAACTCACTTTAACATGAAAGGAAGTCCAGTGGAGGGGAGAGACGTGTGGGACGTCAAGAAGCTGCTAGAGGTAAAAACACCTGAGTCTATAGTGTCGGTTTTTAGCTTTGGGTTCGATTTTCTGTTAGTTTTCATCAAACAAAAACAATTATGCATCTGGGGTACACAAAGACAGTATTTAAGTGTTGAGAAATGTGCAGGAAAATACTCTAATGAGAAAAATTTACAGTTTGAAAAAGATTGCTGCTACAAAACAGATCTAAAGAAAGTCAAAGGAAGAAATAAAAATATCAGAAAACTTCCTCTTCATTTGTGACTCTGAGCACCTCACCTGTTTGCATCTCTGCAGCAATTCAGCGTGGACATCGCAGAGAAAGCCTCCAATGTCTGCCTGGCTCACCTCTTCACCTATCAGGACTTTGACGAGGGCACCCTGGGTCTGGCTTATGTCGCTCCATCCAAACCCGACATCCCTGGAGGTCTCTGCTCCAAAGGTAGAGTCCTGCTGCTTCATTCCAGTCCAGATATACTTTAAAATATAAATAAGGTATTTGACATGTGACTATTTTGTTCCTTAAGCCTGTCCATCATCCTCAAACGAGCAAAAAGCGATCTACCTGAACACTGGGCTGACCAGCACCAAGAACTACGGGAAAACCATCCTCACGAAGGTGGATTTGTTTTCTTTACGCTGCAGGTCTCTTATCCCAGTGCTCATCATCTTTTAAAATAAACTCACTTCTTTGTCTCTAAAGGAAGCAGACCTGGTGACGACTCACGAGCTGGGTCATAACTTTGGAGCAGAACACGACCCAGATAACATCCCATACTGCGCCCCCCGAGAGGACCAGGGAGGGAAATATGTCATGTACCCCATTGCTGTGAGCGGAGACCACGTCAACAACAAGGTGACAGATCTGTTCTCTTTCAGGTTTGTAAAGGTTTTAAACCAAGTTTTAAATCAGAGTATTTTTTCTGCCGTGTGTCCAGCTCTTCTCAAACTGCAGCAAACGCTCCATCGTGAAGCGTCTGAGGTTCAAGGCTCCCACGTGCTTCAAAGAGAGGAACATTAATGTGTGCGGGAACTCCAGGGTGGAGCAAGGGGAGGAGTGTGACCCGGGGCTGCTGCACATCAACTCAGACCCCTGCTGCACCACCGACTGCAGGCTGAGAGCCGGAGCTCAGTGCAGGTCAGAGATGGATCCAAGACTTAGAATCGTGTTTGCAGAAAATATTAGAGGGTCACAGTTTTTGGAAATGTGTTAAAATCAGAGCTGAAGGTGTAGAGATGGAGGGTGTGTGTGTCGCACGTGAGCTCAGTCTTGGAGAAGTCAACATTGTTTTTTAAATCATATTTGTATAAAGTTTCCTCATTTCATGATACACTGGTACAATCCGGTTTTGGAAAACCCGCTCCCCTCCAATGGTTTCTGTAAAATAGTGACAGTCTTATCATCTTTTATCAAAAAGAACAACATAAGCACCCAGATTCATCTTTTTCAACCTCTCTCTGTTCTTAGTGACAGGAACAGTGCGTGTTGTAAAAACTGCATGTTCGAGTCTGAAGGTGAAGTCTGCCAGGAGCCCATTGATGCCACCTGTAAAGGTCACTCGTACTGCACAGGTGAGCTCAGAGGAAAGTCGCGGGAGTGTTACATATCGTCTGCAGACTGACCTGATGTATTTTTGTGTGGACAGGAAACAGCAGCGAGTGTCCTCCTCCAGAGAACGCTGCAGATAAAACCGTGTGTCTGGACAGCGGGGAGTGTCTGAACGGGGAGTGTGTCCCATTCTGTCAGGCCGTGTTGAACCTGCAGCCCTGCGCCTGCAACGGTACGACACCCAAAAGGAGGAAGTCACTTAGAATTCATGGACACAACATGAACACAGAGCTAGAGACTGAGAGGATCATAACAGAAAATGTCCACCTGGTTCTTGTTCAAAGCTTTTTTATATTTTTATAAGTGATGGCACTGAAACAGGCTTGATACAAACATTTTTCAAACTATAAAACACACTTTTTTTTATCTTTTAAATTTTTTACAAACATCAGGGTCCAAATGACAAACTGGTGGAAAGGTTTGAATGTCTCTGGTAGATGAAATAGGCTGCAATGGATTCAACAAGAGTTCGTGTTTTCGATCGACTCAGATGGTTGTTTAACGGGGGAAGCCTTTAACCTGTGAAGGATTATCATGTTGACATTACAGCCTGTTATGCAGACCCTTAACTGTGTAAAAGCAAATTTAAATAACTTTTACTGTTTATTTATGTTCCACATATTCTACTGTTTGTGTTTCTTCGCTGCAGAAACCAACTCGTCCTGTAAAGTCTGCTGTCGTAGCAGCGGTGGCGTCTGCGCCCCCTACCAAGACCAAACAGGCAACTTCCTGTTCCTGCGTAAAGGCAAACCCTGTACAGTGGGCTTCTGTGACGGAGCGGTGAGTTTTTCTCTGCACCTTCTGCTTTCTCAGCCACACAGGTGAAGTTCTACCTGACAGGTGTGTTCCTCTCCACAGGGGAAGTGCATGAAGCAGGTGCAGGACGTGATTGAGCGTCTCTGGGATTTCATCGATAAACTCGATATCAACACCTTTGGGAAGTTTTTGGCTGATAACATCGTGGGATCAGTGGTGGCGTTTTCTCTGCTGTTCTGGGTCCCCTTCAGCATCCTGGTCCACTGTGTGGTGGGTCCAAAAACACATCCACACTCATGGGCAAAACCAGCAGGATCAATCAATACGTTGAAGTGTTCTTAACATGATAATGGGAAAGGCCAGGGTTGTGGGATGTGGGTGTTTATATACACTGCCGTTTAAATACACCGATTGGTGGATCTTATTCTATGACTCGTCCAGTCTCGTGAGATATATCAGTGGTCTCGTGAGCGCGTCTCCTCAAATGGGAGCAGCGGATTGGATCCGGTGGGCCCTGTATGCTTGCTGATCTGATCTGCCTGCCAGCCCAGAGCGGAGCGGAGCCGTTCCGGATCCAGTGGGATTCCCAGGTCACTCTTATTGTCCCAGCAGACCCTGTCCCAACACACCACATGTCCTAGTAAAACACATCAAGAAGTCAAATATTATTTTTAGGAGACTTGAAAATATTTTTAAAGACTTTCAAAAGATATTTTTGTTACAGACCTAAGACTTCACAAATGCTTGGTACAGATTCTTAAAAAATTCTCATCATACTTCTGGTGGATATGCATACACAGAACAGGAGCAGCTTTATTCCACAGGCGCCCTTTGAATTTGCAGCTAATCTTGTTTGATTCACAAATTGCGGCTGCTAAAGCACCAAGAATTGCACGATTTGCCTCATTATCTGCCCTGTTTCAAGGTCTAACTTACAAACCATACTGCCCTCACGTTATTCAAGCACAAACACCTATTAAGTTTTGCTGCTCAGTGCAGTTTGCTCTTGTGTTGTGTCTAAATTTGGAGCCGTCAGTATCGACACTCTTTGGTGCCCATTGCTGCGCTGTGCACTCTTATCCTGACAGTGCTCAGACCTATGTACATACAGACAATAAGCTGAATGAAGAAGAGGCTCTTATAGATCTCACACAAGCTCTATTGCTTGCCCCCCCGTGGAGCAGGCACTCTTCATATAAACCTTTTTTGAACATTTGAACAGACTTTTTGATTTGTATTTTGAGTTTCTTTTAAAGTTTTTTTGCTCTTTTTGTTCTTTCAGGACAAGAAACTGGATCAGCAATACGAGCAAACCACCAAGTCGCTGTTCTTCCCAAGTGTGAGTTTACCAAACTAACATGATGGCTAACTTTATTACAAATCAATTAGAAATACTTTATCAGAAAAAGTAGCAATGTCATAGATAGAGTGTGACTTTTAATTTTCCCAGAATGCCGAGCTCCTGAGCAGCCTGGAGTCTGCGTCTGTTCGAATCTTCAAACCGCCAGCGTTCCCCACCTCCGCCTCCTCCACTGGACTCCGTTTCCAGCCATGCACCCCCCAGCAAACCAGCACACCTCCTGTATCTGATCCCGCCCCCATTCCAGGCCTGGGCCACGCCCCTCTGGACCCTCGCATGGCCACCATCCAGGAGGACCCCAGCTTTGACTCCCACCTGGACGAGGAGGCTCTGGAGGAGGCGTTTGGGAGGCCAGCCGGGGGGGCTCAGCGCTCCTTCGAGGATCTGACGGAGAAAAGTGTGATGAGTCGAAGCGAGAAGGCGATGCTGTTCAGACTGCAGAGACAACATCAGATTGACACCAAGGAGACGCAGTGCTGAGAGGACACACCTGTGTGCACCTGCAGAGAGCTGCAGGAACCCAGGTGGAGGTGCTGCTCAGGTATCAGGTCATTTTTGTTGAGTTTGGAGAATCGAGATGAGTCCTTCAAGTTTCTGCACTGATGCTTCAGTTTTATATCCAACGTGGATCCGAGCCAAAATTTACATTAAACCACTTCAGACTTTAAAATCTTCTCCTGGACCCTCCAGGATCAGGATCCGTCCTTTTTGTGGTTTTGTTGTTGAGTGTCTGGGTTGACTGAATCATGTTTTTCACAGAGTCAAACACAGAGAGGTTTGAGCATCACTAAGAACATTTTGCTGGTTTAAACACTGATCAGATGGTTCAAAAGGGAAAATCTGTTTTAGCAGAAACAAACTCTTTGAGTTTACAAGAAAACTACCTGAAATTTGTTTAGTTTTCCCTCCAGAAATATTTAATGCTTGACACATCTGCGTCAATTTGTTGCCAAAATTAAACTATTGTTTGAAGCACTAAATGCCAAAGACTTGATGTCCACCGCTGCCTTAACAATATAGTTTTCTAGATTTATTTTAATGCAAGAAATTTGAAGACATTACCTCAGACTCCTTAATGAATCAAACTATTGATTAAAAAAATGACTGGCTGATTAGTTTGTTGAGAAAATATATTTAATTTGCAGCAGAAAAAAACTCCTGACCATGCTGAATTTCAGTTTTTTTTCTGACATTTACTCCTATTTAATTGGTTTGTGCTGCTTTTAAAAACAGTCTGTGTTCATGAGATGTAACGCAGTGTCAAACAGCTGCTCCTGATTTTTAAAGGTCATATGCTCTGAAATGTTCTGATATATTTGTCATCCAGCTTAGAAAAAAAAAAATGCGTCCATCACAAGATTTGATGTCAGGCATTTAAATTGATGGCCACCAGGGATTTGAAACCTAAACCAGCCAAACATCAGAACTTGTTCATACTGAGACAAGTACTGAAATCTGTCCTGGTGTTGTTCAGTGTTTAAAATGTCTTTCTATGTACATACAGTGATAAGCAACAATAAGCTGATCCGCTGAACAGCTCACAAAAATCTGGGATGATTTACAGTTCAAATCGGTTTACAAGCTTTTAGTCAAACAGTGGGTTTACAAAAACTTTTACAGCATCCTAAAAAACTTTTGCAAGATCCAAAGAAACTTTTGTAAACACATTTTGTAAAAAAGAAAGATCCTGAGAAACTTGTAGGAGTTGGGAGAAACTTTCATAAGATCCCCCAGGAACTTTTTTTAAGACACTAAAAAACTGCAATATCTTTAAAAAGCCATAGTAAGATCCTGAGGAACTTTTGTGAGAGCTCCAGGATTTTTGTAAGACACGGGGAAACTTTTACAAGATAAAAATACTATTGCAATATTCTTGTTTACCTTTAAAACAACCTTGTAAAATTTTGCTCTCCATGACCCCCTTATACTAAAAACTGTATTTTTACTGAATGTACCATCACCACTGACCATGATGACTTCAGATGTTTTGTTTTTCTAGCTTTTATGGACTTAAATGTTTTTACTTGTTGAAAATTAAGAGTACTTTGTGACTGAGGAAAAGTATTTTTTAAGTAAATTATTGTACTACTTTGATATGAAACCACTTTGAGAGATCCAAACTAAAGCAAACAAGAACAGACTTATTTTCAACTTTGTCATGATTTCACTCAGGCTCTTTGGTACCTTACAGAACTCTTTATGTTTTTATATTCGGTGTCGTGTTTTTTGTGCTCTTGTTTTGTGTCATTCTGTTATTTGAAAGCCACAGTTCAAAGCTTTTATATTTGATTTGACGATCAGTGCCTTTATTTTCCTCTGTGGTATTTAAATGCATTTCAGTCAGTATTTGTGGCATTTTGTATAAAACTTGTGTTTATATGATGTTCCATGTTTTGTTAAACATGTTGTGATACTGTCATTGAGTATTGATCCGTTAGTTATTTTGTATTGTTTGTTTCTTTTGTATGTTGTCCTGCCACTGTAATTTTCTGCCCATCAGTCTGCTCTTTCTAAACGAAATAATTTACTGTTTTTATGTTTCATGTTTTGAGCTCTGTGAAAAATAAAATTATAATTGGATCATTTTAATGCCAAGGTCTTCGTTTCAGGTGCTATTGAATGGTATTTTTAGCTTTTCACATGTTTTTGAATTTTGATCTTAATTTGCAGGAAAAAAAATCACAAATTCAGCCTTGGTGAGGATCTGCAGCCTCTCAGTTCCTCTTTTATTCATGTGCTGATCTGGGTGAACAGGGAGGCTGTGGTGATGAGGTGGTGTGCTGTTTGGCTGCCTGAATGTTGTTAGAGCAGAGAAGACAGAAATAAACGTGGTGAGCACCCAAAGAACCGAAGCCTGTACGCAAATCCAAAATCTGGTCAGGGGTAGGCAGCTGCTGAAGTCACAGCTACAATACTTCAGCAGCTCACTGTGCTCACCGTGTTTATTTCTGTCTTCTCTGCTTCTGCACCAGTCTTCAGATTTCCAGTCTTTCAGTGTATGATTATATAATACATATAATAGCCAGAGTGAAACATTAAAACATATAATGTGATGATGATATGACGAGTGATGAAAGGTCTTACTGCAGTCGTACATTACCATCACTTTTCATTTAATTCATATCTGGGAATTGAAGACTGCAGCTTTCAGACATGATGTACTGATGAACAGGATACCGCATAAACCTAAAAAAAACCTGTAAAAAAATGTTTAATTTGCGGGTACTTGATTACTTGAAAATGGAAATGACTGGAATTGCTCATCTCTAAATCTGTCTGTCCAAAGGTCGTCAAGTTCAGAGAGGATGTTTTTGACGGAGTTGCAGTAATTGTAGAAAAGAGCTTCAGTCAATTTTAAACAAAAAATAATGATTTTTATTCTGGTGATCCCTTGGAGATACAGGGAAATAAAGAAGTACAGAAATAAAATAGAATATCAGTACAGAGGGAAAGACCTAAGAACAGCTCAGGGAGGAGTCAAATCAATGGCATCTATCGATTGTGACCAAAGCTTTCATTTTTGTAAATGATGCAGGTGTTTTCTCTCAATTTTGTCTCATCTTTTTGGGTAATGATCTCCCAGGAAACTAGTAAAACTCTCTTCAGGAGAGTAAATGTACAAAAAGCTATGGTTCTGACCTCATCTATGGACATATACGCTGACCGGCTCAGTGAGGCTTTAGTAAAACCTTTTCAGTCGGCATTTTCTGCTCTCTCAATCAGCCCTGTAACAGTGCCAAAGCCCATACTGTGTTGTGGTGTGTTTGTTTTCATCTGTTGGTATCTCTTTCACTCACCTCCTTGTGATTTTAAACACCCTTTGCCATCTCTGTTCATCTTGACAAACTTTTTTTGCTGTTGACTGACTATTCGAAGTCAGCAATGTGATGAATACGAAAGCAGTAGTAACAGACATTCATCCTTATATGACAACAGAGAAACAGAAAAAACACCAGTTTACTTGTGTGATTGTGAGGGTAAAGGGTACGCTGTTATTCAGTAGCTGTTTGTGTTTCAAGTGTTTGTAAAGGGAGGACTCTCCCTCCTATAGAGAACACAGAGTCACTGAGGAATCATAGTACCTGAAAAGAAACCCAAACCCAGGATAAAGAGGTTCAGTGAAGGTGGTGTTGTAGGTGTGGAGGTGGATCAGTGTGTCAGAGGAGACGCTGTAGAAGGACAGAGAGCCAGCAGGACAGTCCACATACACTGCTACTCTGTGAGAGACAGAGGATGAGGGGAGATTGAGGACTTTTTCTTTGTTATTGTGCCAGACGGAGTACCCCTCGTCAGTGCAGATCAGACTCCAGGACTGATCATTGAATCCAAACACACAGTCAGAACAGCCTCCTTTCCTGTTGATTCCTTTGTAACTCACTGATACATTAACTCCTCCAGCCCACTTGACCTCCCAATAACAGCGACCAGTCAGACCTTCTTTACACAGCAGCTGGCACCTATGTTCAAATCTGTCCGGACGATCGGGATATAGCTGATCCTGTTCAACATGTGCCGCTTTCTTTGTGTTTTCTGACAGTCTGAGGTCTCTGTGTGCCGTGTTTGAGTCCAGTGTGAGTTCAGTAAAATCTGATGGAGAGAAAAGGACACAACGCAGCAGCAGGTTATCACCAGACACACCTGAAGGCGTTCTGTGTTAGCTGACAGTCTGCTGTTTGGTGAACTGAATCCACACTTACATCTCCTTATGTCAGGTTTTAACCTCTGCTCTCCATCATGGTCCACCCTGGAAGAAGAAACACAGAATAGTTTCAAATCAGAAACAGATGGGGACCTAAGTTTGAGACTTGGACTTGAGTAGCACTCAAGTCACACACTAATTTGGCTTCAGATTTGACTCGGTCTTAACCCTCAAAAACTTGACACAAGAGTTGGACTCAAGCTGTGGGACTGGTGGACACTCTTTTTATTTTGTAGTTGTGTTTCAATAACATCAGTTATCATGTTTCAAACCCTTATTCTTCCTGCTGGATGTAATAAACCTCTGATAGGCTTTGTGTTTCCAGATTAGAGCCTACTTACTCATTTGAAAAGAACGATCAGAAATTACACTTTATTTATTCATTATTATTATTATTATTATTATTATTATTATTATTATTATTATTATTATTATTATTATTATTATTTCTTTTGGCTTGGAAAGATCAGCTTCCCAAATATTTGAATTCCTTCATTTTTTTATACCTCAGTTTATCCAGTTTCCAGACAGGACCATTGAGTCCAGCAGACAGGAGTTTCTTTCCTGAGTCTCCTGGATGATTGTAGCTCAGGTCCAGTTCTCTCAGGTGGGAAGGATTGGCGCTCAGAGCTTCGGCAAGAGAGGTACAGCCTTCCTCTGTGATCAGACAGCCTGACAAACTGTAATTAGAAAATAAATGCAAGAAGCTAAGACACTTCAAGTTTTCCTATTTTTTGTTCTCTTCTTAAATTAAAAGCAGAATCAACAAAAAACCCAACCAGATTGTTAAACTAGTGTATTTTTCCAGTCTCAAATAGCAGAATCTGTCACATTTTAAACAGAAGCACAAGAAGGACCCATGTACAAAACGGAAGACATAGGGAAAATCATGAGGACATAAAGTAGGGTAGATAACAGTGAGGTAGGGTAGACAACAGTGAGGTAAGGAAACAAGACACCGGTGCAGACAACAAGGGGACATAATCAGGAGGGAGGAAAAACACAGGAAGTAAAACTAGTGCAGATACACTAGGAGAACAAACTACAGAATAAAGCAGGAAACATTAAAAACTGACCCTAAGAATAAAACACCAAAAACACAAGGGAAACAGGACCATTTGAATAATAATTCAAACACTGACAGGGAAAAGGAAAACAAGGAAAATACCAGTTGAAAACATTCACAAAAAACAACAACAAACATAGGAAAACCTCATGACAGTATCGTGGAAATGCTGTTGTAACTCCTGGTAAATGTCTTTCCCAATTTCCCTTTAACAGTCACCATGCTGACCTGAGGGATTTCAGTTTACAGGTTGGACTCTGCAGTCCTTTAGAGAGAAACGTCACTCCTGAATCCTGCAGGTTGTTGTTACTGAGGTCCAGTTCTTTCAGACTGAAGAACTGAGAGCGGAGGACTGGAGACAGACCTTCGCAGCCTTTTTCCGACAGGTTACATGTAGTTAACCTTAAAAGACAGACACCTTTGTTACAAGTTCACATTTATCATAACTGAAATCAGATATTTGCACTTTGCCTATTTTCTTTATTCTCCGACATAATGAAATAAGAAACAGAAGTACAGTACCTCTCAGAGTTTTCTCTTTTCATGTATCTCTAAATTACTCTGCAAATAATGCCAGAGAGAACAATGTTTTACAACCAGCATCATCATGACTCACACTGACCTGAGAGTTTCCAGTGTACAGTCCGGACTCAGCAGTCCTTTAGACAGCAGCACCACTCCAAAATCTTGCAGTTTGTTGTTACTCAGGTCCAGCTCTCTCAGACTAGAGGACTGAGAACTGAGAACTGAAGACAGGTCTAAACAGCAGTCCACTGACAGGTTACAGCCTGTAAACCTTTAAAATATAAACACTTTGTTTCACATATCTGTTTTCATATTTCAAATAACTGAACATCGGGATTGTACTATGTCCATTGTCTGTACTTTCTTTACAAATCACAATCTCCTTACATCTCAGCATCATTTGTGTTGATGTGTATTTTAATCATCTTTTTAGTTGTGCTGTAAGGTGACCTAGAGGGTCCTGAAAGGCGCCTATAAATAGAATTTATCATTATTCTAATTACTGGTTTATCCTTACTGCTAAATCAAAAAGCAGCATAATCATGAGGGTATTTCTGTTTTACTCTGTAATTTTCAATGAAATTGTGTCAAACATATTGAGACCCTACAACTCGACTCATACAGACCTGATAGTTTTCAGTTTACAGTGTGGACTCTTCAGTGCTGCACACAGTAGCTTCACTCCTGAGTCCCGTAGTTTGTTTTTACTCAGGTCCAGCTCTCTCAGACTAGAATTCTGTGTGCTCAGGACTGAGGATAGAGCTGCACAGCTCTTCCCAGACAGGTTACATCCAGTAAACCTTCAAAGACATGAACATATATGAAAAAACTTATTTCACATTTAAGGATCCAGACAAAATTTCGTATACTGTGATCCAGAACACACAAAAATAAGGGTGTCGTTGGAATTCTCAGTGCTTCAAAATAACAAATGGGCGGCACAGTGGTGTAGATAGGTGGCACAGTGGTGTAGTGGTTAGCACTGTCGCCTCACAGCAAGAAGGTCCTGGGTTCGAATCTGAGTAGGGGCATTTCTTGTTTTAAGAACATTATGAACAGTGAAAATACCAGTTTAAACACAAATAAAAGTTAATAAAAGACACATTACAGTAAAAGTTCAGTAAAAGTATTGTGAATCACAATATAAGGGGGGACATGAACTGCTTGGCGAAGGTCTGCGCTCTCCGAGTGCTTTTCTAGTTGATGACCTATGAAACAGTGGTACTTTCAGGAGCTCTCTGTTTTCAAAGTTATATTTTTATGGCATTTTTGCCTTTATTGGATAGGGCAGCTTAAGAGAGACAGAAAACATGGGGTGGAGAAAGTGGGGGAAGATATGCAGCAAAGGGTCGAGGCTGGGACTTGAACTAATGACCACTGTGATGTGGACTGTAGCCTCAACACATGAGGTGCTTAGGCAATCAGCGCACCAGGAGCTTTCTGTTTTGATGTTACTCACGTAAGTTGGGATGAATACAGACAAATAAATACTGAAACTGACCTGATAGTTTCCAGTGTGCAGTGTTGACTCTGCAGTCCCTCAGACAACAGTTTCACTCCCGAATCCTGCAGGTTGCTCTTACTCAAGTCCAGCATCCTCAGACTTGAGGACTGAGAACTGAGAACTGAAGACAGAGCTGCATAGCCTCTTTCTGACAGATTACATCCAGTTAACCTTGAAAAATATATAAATTTAAAAATAAAATAGGTGTCAGATGATTTGACACACTATTTGGAATTACATCTTTTTTCCTAACAAATGACTAGTTCCTTGTTTCTTTTTTTGCATCTACCCGTTTGCCTCAGAAACTACAGGCAACAGATTTAATCTGTACAGACTTAAATGCCTGATAACCAGAGATTCATACATGATTTCTATTCTTTTTTCACATTAAGGCAGTGCCAGATATAATCAGTAATTGGTTTCTAAACACTTGAATGCCAGGGTGGCTGTTGTAGTATCATGTTGAAAGTCTGAGTCACTCATTAAACCAACACCGACATCTACCTGTAAAGCTCTTGTACACAGAATTGGCCAGCTATGGTAATGTAAAAATATACTCCACCATCAGCCCTTAAAATAATAATTTTGCTTGTTTAAATGTTTCTCCTGTTGGATTACATTTTTCAACATAACTGTTAACTCGAAAGTGGCTTGTTTGCTTATTTAATTTGTGTTGGCAGCCAATGGGCTATCAAATATATATTTAGAGCTTGGCCAAACTTCTTCTGGTTTTACAGTCTACTATCTTCTTGGCTGTTTATTAGTTCGGTTGCTGTGAAATGAACAACGTTTTTGGATCAATTCCAAATGAGCAGGTCTAGACCATACTCATTGTTTGATGTATGACAAAGACCCAACCTAGAGATGGGAAAGATTTGACCCTTCTCATCCAACATAAGTGAGGCATTCTGCAGTATTTAGCAAGATACGTTGGCAAGGAAAAACTTTCCTTGAGTGGCTAGCAGCCACTCAGGCAGAAATCTTGAGCAGGACCAGATAACTGAGGTTTTACATGTTTTAGATCCTTGAACACAATTGGACGACATACTAACAATGACTGAGTTTTCCACCCTTAGTGTAATGTCACAAGACGATGGGTATTGAAGAAGTAAGTTCTATAATTGCAGTGCAAGAAGAAGGCCTCATATAAAGAAATGAAAGGTTCTTTCTAACTTAACAAAAGCTATTATATACTATTTCCACCAAGCCTATTATGCTAAATTCTACAGTAACCACAATTAACCATATGCTAACCTGATAGATTCCAGTTTGCATTGAGAATTCATGAGTCCAGTACAGAGCAGTTTCATTCCTGAATCCTGCAAGTTGTTGTTACACAGATCCAACTCTCTCAGATTGGAGACTTGGGAGCTGAGAACTAAAGCCAGAGCCTTACAGCTTCTCTGAGATAGATCACAGTCCTTCAGCCTGAAAAAGAATAAACAATGAGCTTAAACATGAATAATAATGTTTTGTAAAGAACAAATTACAATTTCCTTGATCCACCTACAGAGCTTTGTTGGAGGCTTTGACCACTGGCAACAGTCTCAGGAGAGCCTTCTCTGAAGTATAGTATTGCTTCAGGTCAAACACATCCAGATCTTTTTCTGATGACAGTAAGATGAAGACCAGAGCTGACCACTGTGCAGGAGACAGTGTATCTGGGCGGAGACATCCTAATCTTAGTGATAGTTTGATCTCCTCCACTAGGGATTGATCATTCAGTTCATTCAGGCAGTGAAACAGATTGATACTTTTCTCTGCGGACATATTCCTACTGATCTTATTCTTGATGTGCTTGATTGTTCCCTGGTTGGTCTGTGAGCTACTTCCTGTCTGTTTCAGCAGACCTTTCAGGAGAGTCTGATTGGTCTGTAGGGAAAGGCCCAGGAGAAAACGGAGGAACAAGTCCAGGTGTCCATTTGGACTCTGTAAAGCCATGTCCACAGCACACTTGTGCAAGTTTTCCAGTGCAGGTTCAGCAGTTACGCTATATACGGTTTCGTATGTGAAGTTAAAATTGGTCAGGGATTCTGTTTGTTTGTCTGACAGCACATTGACTTCAGTATTGATGAATTTCATATGGACATGAAGAGCAGCAAGGAACTCCTGAACACTCAGGTGGACAAAGCAGAACACCTTGTCCTGATACAGTCCCTTCTCCTCTTTAAAGATCTGTGTGAACACTCCTGAGTACACTGAAGCAGCTCTGATATCAATGCCACACTCTAGCAGGTCTGATTCATAGAAGATCAGGTTTCCCTTCTGCAGCTGCTCAAAAGCCAGTTTACCCAGGGACTTGATCACCTTTTTGCTCTCTGGACTCCAATGTGTATCAGTCTCTGCTCTGCTTTCATACTTAATGCTCCCCAGTTTAGACTGAACTACCAAGAAGTGGATGTACATCTCAGTTAGGGTCTTGGGCAGGTCCCCTTCCTCTCTTGTCCTCAGAACTTCTTCCAGAACTGTAGCAGTGATCCAGCAGAAGACTGGGATGTGGCACATGATGTGGAGACTTCGAGATGTCTCGATGTGGGAGATGATTTTGTTGGCCTGCTTCTGATCCCTGAATCTCTTCCTGAAGTACTCCTCCTTCTGAGGGTCAGTGAACCCTTTAACCTCTGTCACCATGTCAACACATTCAGGAGGGATCTGATTGGCTGCTGCAGGTCTTGTGGTTATCCAGAGGCGAGCAGAGGGGAGCAGGTTCCTCTTGATGAGGTTTGTCAAAAGCACATCTACTGAGCTGGACTCTGTAACATTAGTCAGGATCTTGTTTTTGTCAAAGTCCAGTGGAAGTCGACACTCATCCAGACCATCAAAGATGAACACAACCTGGAACTCTTCAAACCTGCAGATTCCTGCGTCTTTGGTTTCAGGAAAGAAGTGATGAACAAGTTCCACCAAACTGAACTTTTTCCCTTGTACCAAATTCAGCTCTCTGAAGGTGAACGGAAATATGAACTGGATGTCCTGGTTGGCTTTGCCTTCAGCCCAGTCCAGAGTGAAAATCTGTGTTAAGACGGTTTTCCCAATACCAGCCACTCCTTTTGTCATCACTGTCCTGATTGGTTCATCTCTGTCTGGTAAAGGTTTTAAAATGTCTCCTTGCTTAATGGTTGTTTCCGGTCTGTCCTGTTTCTTGGACACTATTTCAATCTGTCTGACCTCATGTTCATGGTTGATCCCTCCAGTCCCTCCCTCTGTGACGTAGAGCTCTGTGTAGATCTGGTTCAGAGAGGTTGGGTTCCCTGATTTTGCAATCCCCTCAAACACACACTGGAACTTTTCTTTTAGTTTAGACTTCAGTTTATTTTGGCACCCTGCAGCAACAGATCCTAAATAAACAAAATAGAAATGTAGTTAAAAGATGGAAACTAATTTAAAATCTAGAATTACTTTCCTTGAGTGTTGAATTAATATTACTAAAATGTCAATTAAGGTTTGATGGATTTTGGTTTTTCAGAGCCAATACTGATCATTAGTAGTTCATGAGCCTGATGGCGATCTTCATTAAAAATGTAGTGCCACAAATGCTTACTCCTCTCCAGGCACCCCAAGCACCTCTCCTCTCAACTTTTCCAAGTAAGTTCACCTCTGTAGGGGTTTCTACTCCCTCAAGACAGGCCAGCGCCCTTTATGCAGCATATTTATCCTTCTGACCCATATCAAGCTCACCAATTTCATAGCACCCATTTCCCCTTAATCTGGCCTCTTGTAATACAAAATCCACAGCTGTATGAAATAACCATTGGAGGATGCGTTTCCCATATTTTAATAGAGAAAACCCCCATGAACATGATGAATATGATGGTTAAGATGGCTCTTATGAACCCTTTAAATCCTTGGAAGACAGAAACTTAGAAGTATCATATCCAGTAAAACCACCTCAAGCCATCCTTCCATTGACAAATTCCCTTGGTTTATGCTCATGGCTGACATCCCTGGCTGCTTCAGACCAACAGTACTGGCATTCTTATCCTTCAACCCTGAAAGAGATGGCCTTAATAATAAATCCCCCAAAGGTTCAGTCTAATAACTCTAAAGCATTCCACACCTTTGTAATTAGAGTCCAATCTCTGGTGGGGAGTGCACAGGCTGTGGGGCAGAGAGAGGGGGCAGCTGGGCTGGCTTTGTCTTCTAAAGTACAGCATCTCTGGGGTAACCTGCCCCCTGAAACAGTAACTTCAAAAACTGTCCAACTAGGCCATGTTCCCATGACAGCCTGGTTGTTTTTGTTACATGAGGTTTAGGAACCAACACCACAACCTTGACACCTGATGTGATTCTGGATGATGTAAACAGTTTCTCCCAGTTTTAGATGCGATACAAATGTGTGCATTAATATAAAAGCAGAGTTTGAACTGTAAACTTAGCCCATATTGTTTCATTTCCTCTTTCCACCATCTTAAATCTGTTCAAATCTTCTTACTGCTTTGCAGACAGTCAGCCAGCTCCTCTTTCTTCATTCCCCTTAGGAAGTGCAGAGTGATCTTCAGAAATGCCTCTCTACTCTTCCATTGTTCCTTGTCTTCAGCCTCCTTCTGACTGTCTAAGCATTCTGGGTGATCTGAACTCAGAGCCCTCTGGAACTTCTTCAGCTCATTCTTCACAAAACTGATAATATTCTCCTCAAGCACCTGGAACAGAACAAAATGTAAACTTAAACTTGTAAAACTGGTCATTGCATCATCTGTGAAAGAGCAGAAGTCTGCTGGTCTGCAGAGTGCAGCTGTCTATGTTAAATATATTTCTTAGTAGTGAAATATCCTGGTAAGGTTTCATACAGAAAAGGTCTGCAGTGACTTTAGATGTTATGTATAACTAGATGAAGCTGGTAACCAACGTTAACTTCAATGTTTCTGTTGTCAAACTGCAACCTGAACTCAGTGTGCACTCTGTCATACTCTGAGTCTGTGTGAGACCACCATCCACTGACTTCTGACAATACAGGTAAACAAATGCAAGGCTTTATTCAATCAACCAATCAATCACAAACTGAGTTCAGGCAGAGATGATGTTTACAGTCTTACATGGAAATAATTTACCAACATCCAAATGTAATTGGTGTCTACTCTGCAGAAGCAGTTTTTGGACATTTACACACCATAAATACGGAGTCCAGCTGTGCTTGATGCTGCAGGGCTGACTGACCAATGGGACCCTGTGATCTCTGCTGCTGCTGATCTCTGTGGAACAAATGCACTACAATGTAGCTTAAGACGAATGGATCATGGTAAAAGCAATAATCATAATTATTTGGATTGACATTGAGACCATGATTATTCAACACTAATTTTCTCATTGCATAAGTTTACAACTGCATAACACACATTTATGGAACCAATAACCTCTTTGAAATGTGAAAACTCTTCGAAAAACACAGTAGGTGGAAAAGAGTTATTCTACCTTGTCTGCTTACCAAAAACTCAGTGATTTGGCCACTTTTACTGCTGACATTTTATTACAAGCTACAGATTCAACAAATCATCCAGAGAAAGAAAGGAGAGTGGAATGACAGCTGTCTAAAGCTGTAAATATTCTTACGTTTTGTTAGCAGACAGTTGTCCATCTTTACTCTCATTCGATTCGGACATAGGCTGTTGTTGCTTAACAGACAAACTGTACAGTCCAGATCTGAGTTCATGTCCTCTTGCAGCAGAGTCTGGACTGTGCTGCTGCGCTGGTCTTCAACAGGCAGATGTAAAGACAGAGACACACACACACACACACACACACACATAGCTTTGAGTGAAAATAATGATATTGAAGTGATGTGAGTGCTGAGCTCTGATGTGGAGACAAACGATGGACAGTTATGGAGCCTCATCTCACCTCTGGGGTTTTGTCTGGACATCTCCTTTCCACTTGGGGATTTGGGGGGGAGGGATTTGCTCCTTTCTGTCCTTACGCTGACTCATAGCGGGGCCCCCACCTTCACATAAACACATGTCTATTCATTACATGCTTTACTACACAAAGTCACACACTAAGTGACATCACATTTATCATATTTGTATTACCTACCTGAACCTGTTCACAAGAGAGCTTGTGCAAATTCTGCATCTGAACATAAAAACAAAAAAGTTTAAGCATTACAATTCAAATGTTTAGGATATGGGTTCAATGAAATGGTGAATAAATTGTGTAATAATTAAAAGGAACAGGTTACTAACATGACTGGGTATAAAAAGGACATTCAGAGTCACTGAGTCTCTAAGAGGGAAAGATGGGAAGAAGTTCACCACTATGTGAGAGACTGAAAATTTCATATTGCACTGTCTACCTGTATACCACATCATTAGCATGTCTGAATATGTAAGGCAACTCTCAACTTGTTGTCCTCTCATTTATGTAATTTTATAAAAATGAGAAGTGCTCGACGCTCTAGTCTTGGTTTTGTGACAAGACTAGTTTTGCTCCCTTTTGCCTCAGTGTATTATAAAATGGGGAAGAAGAATTTAGGTTACTATGCTCTGACACCCTGTAATTCATTGCAGGAGAATTTGAGAGGGTTGGTCTCTTTTAAACGGTTTTCAAAGTAGGTTGAAGGCATTTGAGGAAGATGCATCAGGCTAAAGATGCTTTGATTGATGACACTAAGTTAAGTCTCCTGTGAGGAACCTTTTGGTATGGGTTTCAGGGATTAAAATAATGGATGTGAAAATCACAATGGTTTTGTTGACTTTTGGAAATCATAAAAAGAGCATCAGCATGAACTTCAGTCTACTTTATAAACATCAAAAAATCCTCACAGGAGCTTTAAAGAATTTTTTAATTCTAGGTTTAATCACACATAATTCTCACAGCTTTTCTTAAACTTGTGCTCAGTCAATATAGCTCATTACTGCTTCCACGAATGCAGTCTAAAACTGTGTTGCACAAACAGGAAACCATATATGTATGAGTCAGAATTGCAGGTGACCCCTCCATGACATCCACAAAGGCACCAATAATGCCCAACTGGTTTAGGAGCAACATCTGCTCCCATTCAGACAACGACTTTTTCAGGGAAGACCTTCATATTTCAGCAAGACAATGACAAACCACATTCTGCAGGGATTACAACAGGATGGCTCTGTAGTAGAAGAGACTTGCTGATGAACTGGCCTGCCTGCTGTCCTGACTTGTCCCCCATCGAAAACATTTGTATACATTTTTTTTTTAAATTGAAACAAAGAAGATCTCCGATCATCAAACACTCAAAGTTCCTTTTGATATAAAAAAGGATGCATAACTGATTAAATATGTGATTAGGACCCTCAGCTCTTTCCCTTTCTTTAGATATGAGAGAAAAGATTACAGGAACACGAGTGGTGATTGCTAATTACACTTATGTCAGCTGAAAAACACTAACTGCTTACAAGGCTGATAAATTGAGAGCCTAGTTACTACACACACACACACACACACACACACACACACACACACGCGTGCGCGGATGGTCTAGTTGTAAATGCAGCCTTTATGGTTTTATGCTCTAGAAAAATAGAGAAAAATATGGAGGACAACTACAGCAGAAGCTCAAAGGAGAATCTCAAAGTAATCTATAGAATTATGTAAAATGTAAAAAGTGAAACAATCTAAACAGAAGTGTGTCTGGTTTTCTGGTAATATGATCTGATCGACAGGCAGATTAAGTTTTAAGCTTTAGTCATGCTCAGCTTTCTGTTTCTTTCATGTCTGGTTATTTTCACATCATTCTTTCTATGCATTCACATAAACATTTATCACAGCCACCATCAGCACTATTCCCAGATCAGTTTGACAGGCACACACACAAACAGAATAAAAAGTGTTCTACGTCACCTTCTGATGGTTAAAATAATCCACATGAAGCCGATTACTGATGGTTAAATTGATCAACATATTCTAACAAGAAACCAACCAGAAAATGAACAAACATGGAATTGATGGCAGGAGGTTTTCAGAGGTCTGAGTATTCACATTTAGTCCAAACTCTGTGTTCATCGTGCTAGAGCAGCGCTGAACTTTGGAATGAACCGCCCAAATTATTGCAGTCAAACATTGATGGACTGAGGAAAACCTTATCTGGTGGATCACAAAGATGTTATGATGACGTTTTTTTTTTTTTTTTTTTTTTTTTAAATGCGTTTTGTTCTTCAGAAAAACAGAGCATAAAACATAAAAGTTCAAATACAAACAAACAAATAAACAGCAGGGGTACCAACTCCATGTATACTATCATCCAGTATTTTCAGCCAAGTTTAGGTCACCAGCCGTCTTTTTTATAAAATATGCTCTCCATTTTTTACAGTGTTGTTGAATCATGTGCCCCACCTTAGTCTGAAGATAATGAGTCAGACTTTCCATCAAATATATTTCCTCTACAATAAAAAACCACAGTACTGTGTGTAGAGAATCACTTAACAGCCAGTTCCTCATGTTGTCCTTCTACGTAATAGCCAGTCATGACACTCATGGTTTAAAAGTGGTGGATGGTAATCAGTTCCAGGTATACGGTCTGGGGGTCCCTGGGACAATGTAAACTATGGAGCTCTTTTTATTATATCAATTTTCCTTGAGACAGTGATCACCCCCCCTCCTCCCCCCATGGAAAGAGGTTATGCCTCTCCTGTCATTGTAAACTGTAGTCATAAAGGCAAGTTGGCAAAAATAAAAGTGAGTAGAAAAACAGAGTGCATGTCTGGAAACAGCTTAACCAACATATACAGTAAGTATTTTTATCATCCGATGACCTTCTACTGAAAAAAGAATTCTCAATTTTAGACTCAATGATTACAGTTTATTATGATGAATTACTATATAAAAATAGAAAGACAGTCTTTATTACTTTAGGCTAGAATATATCAAATTTCTGTGCCTTTGTATCAGATAGAATCAATTCAAAAGAGGAGCAATTGTCCCACTTTGTAGGTCCTACATTTTAAAGAATTGCGAGTCCCAGTCAAGACTATTACAGCTGAAGTGATCCACAGGTAATCCACAGGGGTATCCTGTATTTCTACATGTTGCACCAAATGAGGTGAATTCTGGTTTGGTGAAACTTGGTGGGTCACCAGAGGTCAGGGCCTCTTGCAACTATTCAAGTCTAACACAATTTCTCAGTGGCAGCAAAATCCTTGGAACCAATCACTGATGATGGAGTCTAATACAATAAGTTTTACTGAGTACAAATACAGCAATGTACCCTGAGTGATTTCTCTAGAGGGGGGTCAAAATTGCGGGCTCAGGGTCTCTGCTTTTATCTCAATGTTAAGTTCTTCTTGTGGACTAACCCCTCCATAAAAACTTTCCACTACCTAATGAAAAGCCCCGGTGATGGTCTTAACTGAGCTGTTTGCAGAAGAACAGGGGCACCATTTACCCCTGCCCTCTTAGTAATCCCGCCCCTCCAAGCCTAATTGCCTTAAAAAAAATAGATAAATAAAAGAAGAAGAAAAAACAGCAAGTCAGCAACTTTTTGCTTAGGACAGGTAGTGATTTTATGCTTATAGTTGGTTGCTTTGTATGATTACAAACATTACATATCACACCTGCCTCCAAGCTCACATTATCAATGTTCAAGCACATTCGTGTTTGTGTATTACAGAAGATTAAATACATTATTAATTATTCTGGTGACAAAGTTTGTCACACAGCAGGTGAATGTAGTACAGATGTTAGTTACAGTGTTACAATGTCATTTAGCAGATGCTTTTATCCAAATCGGCATATATTCAAGAGCAAGAACAACGCAAGAAAAGCTCTAGACAAGAAGAAACAAGAGCAGTAAGAGCAACAAAGTGCTCCAAATCCATTTGGACACAGGTACTGCCATGCAGTGTTATCACTATCAGTAAAACTGTCTTCACCACAATGATGAACAAAGTACCAAGTGCTGGGTCACTCTGCAGATCGAATGGAGTTGGGTAATCCACTCCACTTAGCGACAACAGAAGAAGACTATATAGATGATTGTGTTCAAAATTTATTTTAGATGGATGCTGGTTTAGCCCAGTTGGTAGAGCAGGTGTCACCTGCGCCAGGACTGCAGTCCTCATCTTACTGCTCGTAGGATTGATTAGCTGTTCCAACATGATTTGTTGCATATCATTCCCCCCTGTATCCCATTGTTGTCCCATCAAAATAAAGGCAAAAAGCCCCCTACTTCTAAAAAAAAAAAAAACATCTTTGAGGAAAATAAATGTAATGTCTCCTCTTCATAGCCACACTCAAGTTTCTTGTCTGTCTGCAGTCTGCTGCTGGGTTTGTGTGTGTTAGTGTAGAGAGTGAACTTTTATTCAACGGCTGCTTGTGTTTGTGGTGTGTCTGTAGAGAGGAGAGGACTCTCCCTACTACAGAGAACACAGAGACACTGAGGAATCATATGACCGCAACCTAAACCCAGGATAAAGAGGTTCAGTGAATGTGGTGTAGAAGGTGTGGAGGTGGATCAGTGTGTCAGAGGAGACGCTGTAGAAGGACAGAGAGCCAGCAGGACAGTCCACATACACTGCTACTCTGTGAGAGACAGAGGACGAGGGGAGAGGGAGGACTATTTCTCTGTTATTGTGCTGGACAGAGTAACGTACATCAGAGCAGAAGAGAGTCCAGGATTGATCGTTGGATCCAAACACACAGTCAGGAGTGTCTCCTTTCCTGTTGATTCCTCTGTAACTCACTGATATATGAACCCCTGCTTTACACTCAACTTCCCAATAACATCGTCCAGTCAGACTCTCTTTACACAGCAGCTGAGGACAGTATTCAAACCTGTCAGGATGATCCCGATATAACTGGTCCCCTTTTACACATGTCACCTTCCTTTTGTTTTGAGACAGCTGCAGGTGTCTGTGTGCAGTGTTTGAGTCCAGTGTGAGTTCACAGAAATCTGGTGTGGAGAAAAAGACACAACACAGCAGCAGGTTATCATCGGACACATCTGAATTCTTTGTTAGCTGACAGTCTGCTGTTTGGTCTTCATGAGTCAAACTGATTACCACTTACATTTCTTCAGACCAGGTTTTAACCACCTTCTTCCACTGTTGTCCAACCTGGAGGAAGAAACACAGTCAGAATAATTTTGAGGCCGAACTGGAGCCTGATGGTGTTCAATAATGTTTCGCTTCTTAATGAAAATAAAAAAAACTTGTTCCTCCTCTCAAACACCATTTTTATACTTATTTGGCAAGTTTATTTCTGAGGCACAAGTCTTAAAAAAAACATTTCAATGGGCTTTTCAGAATGAATAAAATAATATTAATATTAACGGCATAAAAAAAAGAAATTATCCTTGAAGTGGCTAACCATTAGCCTCTTTTGAATCGACATTTTAATTCAACAGACTATGTAAGTTTGATGATATGGGTCTACTCGGTGATTGACTTGTTAGGGCTTCCCCACAAACAAGGAGCTGCTGGAAGAGAGTGGTTGAGTTGTGTTTTGGTCTTTTTGCTAAAGAAATTAGGCAAAGTTAAAAAGATGTTTGGTGGCTAGTGCTGTGGCTAGGACCCTATATGTACTTTTTGATGAAGTTAGGTGCTGTTCTGAGCATTATTTGTGGCTATAGAGTGGCGCTTTGGTTGAGGTTTGCATGTGGAGACAGACCGCTGTTTATTGTTATGCAGTCTTTGCTGAAGTTGGTATAACGAAAGAAGCAAGCAGTCTGCAACATTCATCTCTTGAAGGGGTGTCTAACTCGGTGTTAGGGTGTGTTTAACCATAACTTAAATTTACGCCGTAATATCCCTTTAAGTCATTCTCTAACATGGAAAAAAGTGTTATACTGATTATGTTCAAATAAAAATCTGAGCCTGACGATGGAGGCTAACATGCAGCAGTGAAATTCTTCTACAAGAATTTAACTAAAACCTCTTGCTTAGTTTGATTTGTTTTTTTCTTGCACCTGTGTTGTTTGAGCTCTTTTTTTTTTGTTTATACCTCAGTGTTTCCAGTCTCCAGAGTGAATTCTCCAGTCCATCAGATAGCGGCTTCACTCCTGAGTCTCCTGGATGATTGTAGCTCAGATCCAGCTCTCTCAGGTGGGAGGGGTTGGAATTAAGAGCTGAGGCCAGAGAAGCACAGCCTTTCTCTGTGATCAGACAACCTGATAGCCTGGAGTTAAAAAAGTGCAATAAGCAAAAGTGTACCATTTTTGTTTACCCTTTTCATTAGTATAACAAAAGCAGCTTGGGCAACAAATCTGACCTAAGAGTTTGCAGTTTACAGTGTGGACTCTCCAGTCCAACAGACAGCCGCTTCACTCCTGAATCCTGCAGGTTGTTGTTACTCAGGTCCAGCTCTTTGAGGCTTGAGGACTGGGAACTGAGAACTGAGGACAGAGCTTCACAGCTTCTCTCTGACAGGTTACAGCTACACAGCCTGAGGACAAATTGTGAGGAGACAAAACTTTTGGTTTGCTATTAAGTATTTAAAAATAACAATCAATGTGTCCACTTACAGAGCTTTGTTTGAGGCTTTGACCACTGGGAGTAGTCTCAGGAGAGCCTCCTCTGAAGCAGAGTATTGCTTCAGGTCAAAGATTTCTAGATCTTTTTCTGATGACATTAGGATGAAGACCAGAGCTGTCCACTGAGCAGGAGACAGTTTCTCTGTGGAGAGACGCCCTGATCTCAGGGATTGTTGGATCTCCTCCACCAGAGAGTGATCATTCAGTTCATTCAGACAGTGGAACAGGTTGATGCCTCTCTCTGCAAACAGATTTTCACTGAGCCTCTTCTTGATGTACTTGACTGTTTTCTGATTAGTCTGGTGGGTACTTTCCATCTGTTTCAGCAGACCGCTCAGGAGATTCTGATTGGTTTGCAGGGAAAGACCAAGAAGGAAGCGGAGGAACAAGTCTAGATGTCCATTTGAAATCTGCAAGGCCTTGTCTATAGCAGTCTTGTGGAGATGTTGAAGTTGAGATTTGTCCTTTAAGACTGTATAGACTGCAGATGATGTTTGTTCTTCTTCCATCAGATTGACTCCAGACTTGATGAAAGTCAGATGAACATGAAGAGCAGCTAGAAACTCCTGAATACTCAGGTGGACAAAGCAGAACACCTTTTGCAGATACAGTCCTCTTTCTTCTCTAAAGATCTGTGTGAACACTCCTGAGTACACTGAAGCAGCTCTGATATCAATGCCACACTCTAGCAGGTCTGCATCATAGAAGATCAGGTTTCCCTTCTGCAGCTGCTCAAAAGCCAGTTTTCCCAGAGATTCAATCATCTTTCTGCTCTCTGGACTCCAGTGTAGATCAGCCTCCACTCCTCCATCGTACTTGATGTTTTTCACTTTGGACTGAACCACCAGGAAGTGGATGTACATTTCAGTTAGGGTCTTGGGCAGCTCCTCTTCCTCTTTGGTCTTCAGAACATCCTCCAGAACTGTAGCAGTGATCCAGCAGAAGACTGGGATGTGACACATGATGTAGAGGCTTCGAGATGTCTTGATGTGGGAGATGATTCTGCTGGCCTGCTCCTCATCTGTGAATCTCTTCCTGAAGTACTCCTCCTTCTGTGGGTCAGTGAACCCCTTGACCTCTGTCACCATGTCAACACATTCAGGAGGGATCTGATTGGCTGCTGCAGGTCTTGTGGTTATCCAGAGGCGAGCAGAGGGAAGCAGATTCCCCTTGATGAGGTTTGTCAGGAGCACATCCACTGAGGTAGACTGCGTAACATCAGTCAGGATCTCGTTGTTGTTGAAGTCCAGTGGAAGTCGACACTCATCCAGACCATCAAAGATGAACACAACCTGGAACTCTTCAAACCTGCAGATTCCTGCGTCTTTGATTTCGGTGAAGAAGTGATGAACAAGTTCCACCAAACTGAACTTCTTCTCTTTCAGCAAATTCAGCTCTCTGAAGGTGAACGGAAATATGAACTGTATATCTGGGTTGGTTTTATCTTCAGCCCAGTCCAGAGTGAACTTCTGTGTTAAGACGGTTTTCCCAATGCCAGCCACTCCTTTTGTCATCACTGTCCTGATTGGTTCATCTCTTCCAGCTGAGCCTTTAAAGATGTCTTCTTGTCTGATAGTTGTTTCTGGTCTTTGTAGTTTCCAGGACGCAGTTTCAATCTGTCTGACCTCATGTTCATCATTGACCTCTCCAGTCCCTCCCTCTGTGATATAGAGCTCTGTGTAGATCTGGTTCAGAAGGGTTGGATTTCCTGCTTTTGCAAGCCCCTCAAACACACGCTGGAACTTTTCCTTTAGTTTGGACTTCAGTTTATTTTGGCACTCTGGATTAACAGCTCCTGAATGCAAATACAAGATAAGCAAGTCAAGCTGAGTTTAAGTTGTCTAGTTGTCTACTAATCATTTTGGAACTGAAGAAACTTTTTGGATGAGAAGTGAGATGTTTTTTTAGGAATCTCAACCAAGTCCAAATGCCTTTAGAATTAAAATCATAATTTCCATTACTTAGATGACAAAGAACCTACTCAAGCCAGCATGTATCTTCTACTCATCAGTTGTAAACAGTTCCTCACTGTTTAAAGATACAAAACATATGTGTGCAGCATATTCACAGCAGTGTTTTAAATCTAAATCTCTGCCATATTATTTCCATTTCCTCTTCCCATCATGTTAAATTTGTTCAAACCCTCTTACTGCTCTGCAGACAGTCAGCCAGCTCCTCTTGCTTCATCTTCCTCAGGAAGTGCTGGGTGATCTTCAGAAAAGCCTCTCTACTCTTCCTCTGTTCCTTATCTTCATCCTCTTTCTGACTGTCTACGAATTCTGGGTGATCTGAACTCAGAGCTCTCCGGATCTTCTTCAGCTCCTTCTTCACAAAACTGGTGATGTTCTCCTCCAGTTTCTGGAACAGAACAAAATGTGAACTTAAAGTTCCTTTACTGAACATCAGACCATCTGAGACAGACAGAAAGCCGGCTGGTCTGAAGTGTGCCGTATAGAAACTGGATCACAACTGTGGTCTGAGAACATTGTGTGTTGTCCTTGACTTTGTAATGGAGAAATACTCTAGTATGGACATGATGTGTTTATTGGCATGAATCTGAAAACATTAGAGTGTGTCTTCAAATTGGACTCAGCTCTTAAATTTGGCTTACTGCTTACAAACATTCTATCCATGCAAATTTATTATTCACTGTGACCTCTGACTCTTTACATGTAAGAATTATAAGGCTTTATTAAAGCTGCAAGCATTGAAGAAACAAGCAACATGTAATGGACCCTTGCATCTTAGCGCAAGTCTATGATTGATACATGTCCGTGTTTGGCAAAAGTCAGGGTATGGAGCAGAGCCACTGTGGTACTTTTATAAGAAAAAGAAAAGTCAAAACCATAGATTGTATTTACTATGCACAACTTGGTTCCGCCTTCCACCAGTATACGGACTTGAAGTCAAAAAGCTCTCGGTATTTCTGGGTTTTTTTCTCCACTTCCTGAAACCAACATTGTGCAGTAGAGTTGTACGCACTCCACCACTTGCGCAGTAGCATTGTACGCATTCGGCGGGAGTGTCGCTGTGATGACGCTCGGCTCAAACAGCGTATCCCCCGGGTGAGCTACGCAATCTTCGTACGCCCATAGGCTGTATCAAGTGTCAATCATAGAAAACATGAACCCCCTAATAACTTTTAAAAATGGTGCTGTACAGAAAAAAGAGGACTTAAGCACAAACCAGTCTTACTGTAAATACATGTCAACATTGCAAGCAGGGGGGAGAAAATTTTATATTCTGTGTAATGAATTTCTAAAGTTTGTCCACAGCTCCATAGGAATTGCTGGAGTTTTAAGACATATCCAATCCCACATAGTTATTGTCTGCCCTGATTGTCAGCTTTGTTTGTACATTTACGTACCATAAATATGGAGTCCAGATGTTTTTGATGCTTCTGGGCAGACTGACCAATAGAAACCTTGGAACTTGGAACTCTGTGGAACAAAAGTTATATTACGTACTTTACATAGAATTTAATGGCACTCATTATTACATGTGCAAATTTAAAATGCATTTCTAATACATTCGAGTTGAAGTACCTTGGATGATCATAAATCTGTCCACCTTTAAAATAATAAGGTTTACCCATGGACCTGTCATCCCTGAAATTCTCACATATAGATAAGGATTCAGAGCCAGAAGAATCCAGTCCTGCAGGTCTAATGGTGGGACAATTGAAAACAGTGATGAATAACTAAAAGTAGGAAATCATACAGGGTCAGACTTTTGGAATTCATACAATTTTTTTCAATGTTTTTTTAAATCTGGTAAAAAAAAAAGTGATAAGACATTACTTTTGATCAAAAGACTGCTGTCCATCTTTAAAGTCTATCAGGCCCCCCTTGGATATATCGCTCTTCAAAGACACAGAGCTTGAAGCAGATCCAGAAGAATCCAGTCTCTTACTTTTGACACTGAGAAATTAAGAGGAATGACAGATAAAAGTCAACATTGGAAATCGCCTCATAAAAACTTATTAACCTTTTTATAATTTGAATAAAAACCGTGAGAAGAATTATAACTTTGATGTACTCACTGCTGTCCACCTTTAAAGTCTATCTGGCCCCCCTTGGATTTATCGCCCTTCAAAGACGCAGAGCTTGGAGCAGATCCAGAAGAATCTTGTCTCTTACTTTGGACACTGAGAAATTTAAAAGAATAACAGATAAAAGTTAACACTGGAAATTGCCTCATGAAAACCTATTTACCTTTTTAAATTAATATAAACTGTGTGAAGAATAATAACTTTGATGTACTCACTGCTGTCCACCTTTAAAGTCTATCTGCCCCCCCTTGGATTTATCGCTGCTCAAAGACACAGAGCTTGAAGCAGATCCAGAAGAATCCAGTTTCTTACTTTTGACACTAAGGGAATATTAGACAATTACAGATCAACATCAACAATGGAAAAAAAAAACTTATGGACTGCTTGAATTTATTAAGACTTTTTTTTTTTTTTTAACTTTTTTTATTTGGATAAGAACAGTATGAACAATTATTACTTTAGGTGGACATCCCTCTGCTCATCTTTGCATTTCATCAATCCTCCCTTGGATGGGTCAAACTTGAAAGACACACTGCTTGGAGCAGGTCCAGGTCTAGCAGGGTCATACAAAGAACCACAGAGAGTTGCTGTGTTTTGCAGATGATTGTTGATTATAGAGATTATGATAGAAATATCAATCAGAGGGTCAGGTCCAGCTGTAGCTGGGAAGGTCTGCCGTGTTGCCATGGGAAGGTTAAAAATCTTACCTCCGAGCTTTGGTCTGGCTGTCGTGTTGCTCTGACATAGTGGATTTAGAGGGAGAAGTGCTCTCCTTTTGTCCTTAAACTGGTTCTTAGCAAAACTCTCACCTGCACACAATCACAACAGCATGTTCATTCATTTTAACAAAATTAACATAATAGTCATATGTTACTCATAATCCAGTGTAATGTAATGTTACAAAACTACAGCAGCAGCTCAAAGGAGGATTTAAAAATAATCTATAGATTCAAGCATAATGTAAAAAGTGAAATAACCTCAGCAGAAATCTACATGAGCACCTCAGTCTGTTTCCCAGTCACTCGGCGTGACAGACTGAATTTAAACTTCAGTCACACCCAGGTTAGTTTTTAACACTGCAGAACACACAATACAACACCTCTCTATCATCATCATTATCTCTACAGTTATCAAAAAAAACTTGACATTTGATAACATACAAACATTATGAAAAGTGTGTCACAGTACCTTTGGATGGAAAAAATAATCAACATGGAGTCAGTGAGAATGTAATCACCCTAGAACGCTGAACAGCGAGAGGCTTTCAGAGGTCTGAGTATCCACATACATTCCAAACTCTGTGTTCATCCTTATACTGAAGTGAAGGAAATGTGATCAAAGAGCAGCTCTGAACTTTGAAATACATCTTGGTGACGATTGCAGTCAAACATTGATAGACCTTATCACATAGATACAAAGGTCTAATTATATGGTTTTATACCCGCAAAAGGATATAACAGATAGGAAGGTTGCTTTAGTTAGTTTTATCTCACAAATATACCCCCTTTCATCAGTGTTAGTTATCGTGATGTACGATATATAATTTACTGAAGATACATCATTCTCTCACACTGATGCACTCAGTGTTTTCCTGCTGTGTATCAGGATTGTGTGGAATGTGTAGACTGTAGAAATGAGGACTGAGTGTGTATTGTAATCTGCATAAATAGGGGAACAGCCTTAGTGACTTGTAGTACATTAGTACACTAAAAGATGATGGTCATGCTGGTCCAACTACCTTTCACTCAGTCTTAAAACAGGCAAAAAGAGGAGCTGAGGCCATGATTTAGAATAAACCTTTCACATATTTATATTCTTCCAAGATGAGATTAATCAACATGATATATCAGTGTTATAGCTGACAGCACATTCACAGGTAACACTATTTAGGGTATTAAGTTTCAATAAGGTTGACTTTAGATTAAGTAGTTTAAACTGAATTTATGTATCTTGTTTGTGAAATGACATACTTGTTACTTATTTGGTTTTTTTTTTAAACAGAAGTCAATTCAAGACACTTCTGTGCCAGAATTTTACTAAATATGTGACCAGATATTAAAACCTGACAGTATGGCAGGGACATTTTTTTTGGTTCATAACATGTATGAATCACACGCCTGTTGAAGACGACATGTAAAGAGAGACAGGGATAGGTTACATGTGTTAGAGGCATGATGTAATCCCATGTTGTACCAGCAAGTGTCACATTTCCCCCCTGTGTAACCTGGTCAAATCAGCACAATCAGCTGTTTATCCTTCTAAAGAGTTCTCCCCTCAAGACTTCTACAGATTTAACATCGCATTGCCCTGTGATAACATATATTTAAAATGAGGCCTGTGGTTTGATTCAGTCCTGTACAGTATTTGCAGATATTTCCTATCATGTATGTCGGTGTGTTGTAACTAGTTGTTAGTGCTTGACAGTATTTTATTAGTTGTTACAGACTGAATGCAGTTCTAAATATATGAAGTGGGACCCAACAGAATGTTTAAACTGTCCTGTTTACTGTATTTGAACTTTTGAGGAGACAAAATTAAAGCAAAATTAATAATGTAACTATATCCAAAAACATGTTTTTAATCCTTTAAAAGAAATTCTACTTGTTGTATGTAATGCTTTTTACATGAATATGTTTTAAAGTTAATAAATCAATGAACCACCCAGTCAGTCATCAATCTTGATTTGTAAAGTGCCAATTTATTACAAAATCGTCTCAAAGTGCTCATCAGTAACATCAGGTCTGGCCTGTACGTCATACTTATATGCTACATAGACACAACATTAATCCATCTTGAACAAAGCACTTTGCAGAAGTTAGCATGCTTAACCGTAACGAAAAAGCTTCCTTTGGCCAGACTGATGTTGAAAAGCCATCAGCTGAGACCCTGTTGGGCTCATTTATGAATAAGGATGAGGCACCTCCCATTAAAAATTAACAACAGACATCTATAATGATGTGAAAGGATAGAAATGGTCATTTAACTACTTTCAGTTAGTGTGCTTTAGTACAGGGGAAAAAGTTTGTTTGTTGTGACCGTGTAGAGAAAATTCTCCATCCTACAGAGAACACAGAGACACTGAGGAACAAGATAACCCTAACCCAAATCCAGGATAGAGAGGTTCAGTGAATATGGTGTTAAAGGTGTGGAGGTGGATCAGTGTGTCAGAGGAGACTCCATAGAAGGACAGAGAGCCAGTAGGACAGTCCACATACACTGCTACTCTGTGGGAGACAGAGGATGGGGGAAGCGGGAGGACTGTTTCTTTGTTATTGTGCCGGACAGAGTACCCATTGTCTGTGCAGATTAGAGTCCAGGACTGATCATTACAACCAAACTCACGGTCGTTACTGCCTCCTTTCCTGCTGAATCCTCTGTAACTCACTGATACTGATACCCCTCCGGCCCACTCAACCTCCCAATAACATCGGTCAGTCAGACCCTCTGTACACAGCAGCTGAGGCCAGATGTCAAATCTGTCTGGATGACTAGAATAGGATTGATACCACACATACGATGCCTCCCTGTTGTTTTCAGAGAGTGTGAGGTCTCTGTGTGCCGTGTTTGAGTCCAGTGTGAGTTCAGTAAAATCTGATGGGGAGAAAAAAAGACACAAAACCACAGAAGTTTATCTTCAGACACACCTGAAGGCTTTGTTACCTGTCAGTCTGCTATTTGGTCACTTACACTTCTTCAGGCCAGGTTTTAACCTCTGCTGTCCACCATGGTCCACCCTGGAGGAAGAAACACAGTTAGAGTGATTTGTTCTCCAACATGAGTCCTAACTGCTTTCCAGTTGCATGTATTCGAAATATCATTCTTTCATTCACTTTCCATCGCTTGTTACCAAAGATGAGGGTTAGATAGACGGGCAAACTGAGGGCTCTATTTTGGTGCCTCGCCGGAGACGTGCCGCAAGCGCAGCGTCAATCAGATCCGCCGCGCTGACAAGGCGTTCCCAAGCACATTTTGGTATTTTGGTGAGCCGCGCAGCCCGGCGTAAGTATCCCCCCTCCCTAACTCAGCTCCTCCCGGCAGCATAAGTCGTAGACGGGGAGGAGAGAGGGCGTGGAGTGTGTTTAACACAGCCGAGACCTGTTTTCACCAATCACATAAGCTCCTCTCCTTGCCTTTAAATCCGCCACCGGCGAGGCGTATTACTATTTTCATGAAGTAGTCAAAGAGATCAAGAGATGTCTGAAGACAGTTATGCCACACGATGGCGACAGAGGGCAGCTGCTCAACAAGTGTCCTCCACACTCTCTCATCTGAGCACAGATAGATTTGGTGTGCGTAATGTTGGACCCACCGGTAAGACAAACACCCTTTTCCACAAATAAAGACACTCACATAAAGTTGCATATATTCAAACCTCTCGTGACAAAGGTGGGTTTAGCGCACAGATCACAACATAAACTCCAAAAATGGCATTAAAATCGGAACCATCTGTGCGTAAATGACGCATCGCGCTCCGTGGCCTGGCTCTTTCTTTCATAGATGTTGGCATATAAAATAAATTTGGCCCACAAAACTGAATATTATAATATCCGTATGTCGGCTTAAAGTAGATAACGCATCTGAGCACTGAAACAAATCATCTGTTCAGCCGCAGCAGCAGCAGGAAGACGGACAGAGGACACGGAGACGTGTCCAGGTCGAGCTGTGCGAGAAATAAGAGGAAGAGGAAGAAAGAAAAGGAGGGAGACACATTACATATCGAGTTAACTTCATCATGTGTGTTTATTTACTAGATATTTAATTTAATTTGATGCAGTTTCAGCTGTGTTGATTCGGTCAGGTTGTGTGCCCAAACGCGTGCCAAACGCGCTCATCATATCAGATATAGATCAGAATATATCTATATAGATCTAAATGAATGTGCTGACTCAGATTAATAGTTGTTGATGATTATTTATTGCACTGAAATCTGCCTGACACTGTGGAAACCTGCCGGTGAGGCATCGGTGACGTATGTCCATACGCCGCCGGTCTACCAAAATACTACTAGATCAGCTGCGTTCCGCCTTGCGCTGAAAGCTGACCAGGTTTGAATCGGCAAGCTTTCAGCGCACGTTACACGCCAGTGGCGAGCACGAAAATGTCACTGCGCCAGCTGATTCTGTCAACACCTCCCCCTGCCACGCCACCACGCCCAGCTTGGCGGATCTCGGCTCGCCTCCGTGCGACTCAGTCCACGAAAATACCAAACTCGCCTTACGCCGGGCTCCGCCAGACGAAAATACAACTGCGCGGGGCTCGCCGCCCTCCGCCGCCTCACCGGCGCGAACGAAAATAGAGCCCTGAAGCTTTAACCTCTGACTCAGCTCCCTCTTCACCACCAAAATCCTGTGCAATGCCCATATTACAGCTGACCCATCAATTTCATGATCCATTGCACCCTAACTATCGAAAAAGACCTAAAGATACCTATCTTGCACAAGGCAAAGACTCACTCTCCACCCACAGCGAGCAATCCACGTTTCCTGACGGAGAACCATGGCCTCAGACTTAAAGATGATGAACTATTGTTGTCTTGTTCATACCTCAGCGTATCCAGTCTCCAGTGTGGATCCTTCAGCCTAGCAGACAGCTGCCTCACCCCTGAGTCTCCTGGATGATTGTAGCTCAGGTCCAGCTCTCTCAGGTAGGAGGTGTTGGAGCTTAGAGCTGTGACAAGTGAGGCACAGCCTTCCTCTGTGATTAGACAGCCTGACATCCTGGCATAAAAAAACAGTGCAATAAAGTAACGGTCTACCAATCATTACTGTTTTCATTCACATGATCTCAAAGGAGAATTGGCGAACCTGACCTGAAAATTTCCAGTTTGCAGTGTGGACTCTCCAAACCAGCAGACAACAGTTTCACTCCTGAATCCTGCAGGTCATTGTTACTCACATCCAGCTCTCTTAGATTAGAGGTTTGTGAGCTGAGGACTGAAGACAGGATTTTACAGCTCCTCTCTGTCAGGTTACAACTGGTAAACCTTCAAAGATATCAGCACATTAAAAACCATCATGACATTTAAGATGATTGATAGTTTTGCATTATGTCCATTGGCTTAGGTCTAACGATTCATATTCTATTTTATTTGACCTTTTTTTTTCTACATCAGCTGTCATACAGACTACACTTTGTTTCTCTGTTGACTTGTTCTTTCAGATGCCTTTATAAAAAGAAAAGCGGCAAAGAAGTCAATGTTTTAATGCCTCCTATAACGACTTGGTTAAATTGTGTGTGGCAGAATTTGACTTTACAATGACCCTAATACCTACCTTAGAATTCCCAGTTTACAGTGTGGATCCTTCAGTCCAGCAGACAACAGTTTCACCCCTGAATCTTGCAGGTTGTTGTTACTCAGGTCTAGCTCGATCAAACTAGAAGACGGTAAGCTGAGAACTGTTGCCAGAGCTTTGCAGCTCTTCTCTGAAAGATTACATCCAGCATACCTATAAAGACATTTTTACTGTTGTTAGGAAACTGTTATTACTGCTCTATTAAAGATGTCTGAAAGCAGATTTTTGCATTGTTCATTTTCCTCTTCTCTCAAACAAATCATGATCTTCATCCATTCATTTGTTTGTGAATGTTTTTCAGCTGTAATAAATACTGATTTAACATGTCTAAACTTATCCTGACTGATGTATGAAGAGGAGGCAGAATTGGGAAAACTCTTCTTCAGTGTCACTTGCAACTATTTAGGGAATGGTGCTTGACAGCGGGAGACTTAACAAGACACTCGTACTGACCCAAGAGTTTCCAGTTTGCATTGTTGACTCTCCAAACCAGCAGACAGCAGTTTCACTCCTGAATCCTGCAGGTTGTTGTTGCTCAGGTCCAGTTCCCTCAGACTGGAGGTCTGTGAGCTGAGGACTGGGGACAGGTTTTTACAGCTTCTGTCCGAGAGGTTACAACCACTTAGCCTGAAGAAGAAAGATTGATGTGCTTCAAACCAGATACTTGACTTTTTAATTTGCAATATTTTTTTAACTGCTCATGACTGTTTAAGATAATATTTTAATTGTTGGTGTAACTGTGTGAAATAAGATTTCTTATGTCATTCTTTTTGCCTTGAAAGTCCAGTGCTTCCTGCGCAGTCTGCTTCACTGTAGTTTTGACAACCAAAGGGTATTTAAGTCTGTGTGAGATCACTATCTATCATCACTGAATTATCGCTCTCTATCCTTTGTGTCTGCTAACATGAAGCACCACTTTTTTCGAGAGAGGTCCTTTGAAAATTCCCTCCTATCAATGCCTATCAATGTATCAATGGAAGAGAAACACCTCAGCCCTTTCATAACTCTATTACAGTTTTTGTGCGGTTAGTACTGATGCCGTTCAGTATCATCATGATTTGGATAATTGTGAAATGCTACCTCTTTAACAAGTCCCATTTACACCTGGATCACCATTTGTCATGAGTGAAATCAAGTGAAATAAGTTGTTTTGATTAATGTAAAAAAAAAAACATCTAATATGCTATCAGCAAGAGCAAGCTGCCACAATCACAGTCACGTTTGTTGACTCATTTTTAAGGGATGAAAATTTTGTCCTTTATTGTTATTGGCAAAATCCAAACAAATGTCAAGATAGTAATTTTTTTTTGGTCAATATCACACACCCCTATACTCATGGACCCACTTACAGAGCTTTTTTTGAAGCTGTGACCACAGGCAGCAGTCTCAGAAGAGCCTCTTCTGAAGCAGAGTATTTCTTCAGGTCAAACACGTCCAGATCTTTTTCTGATGACAGTAAGATGAAGACTAGAGCTGACCACTGAGCAGGAGACAGTTTCTCTGTAGACAGGCGCCCTGATCTCAGGGATTGTTGGATCTCCTCAATAAGAGAGTGATCATCCAGTTCGTTCAAACAGTGGAACAGATTGATGCTTTTCTCTACAGCCTGATCCTCACCAAGCTTCTTCTTGATGTACTGGACTATTTTCTTTGTAGTTTGTGAGCTGTTTCCTGTCTGTGTCAACAGACCTCTCAAGAGATTCTGGTTTGTCTGCAGTGAAAGACCCAGGAGGAAGCGGAGGAACAAGTCTAGGTGTCCATTTGGACTCTGGAGGGCCTTTTTCACAGCACTCTGATTGAGATGTTTTGGTTGATATTTATCTTTAAAGATTTTAGAGATTGGAGATGTTATTTTTTCTTCTTCCATCAGATTAACCTTAGAGTTGATGAAGGTTAGATGAACATGAAGGGCTGCTAGAAACTCCTGGAGACTCAGATGGATAAAGCAGAACACTTTGTTCTGGTAAAGTCCCTTCTCCTCTCTAAAGATCTGTGTGAACACTCCTGAGTACACTGAAGCAGCTCTGATGTCTATCTTACAGTCTTTCAGGTCTGATTCATAGAAGATCAGGTTTCCTTTCTGCAGCTGCTCAAAAGCCAGTTTTCCCAGAGATTCAATCATCTTCCAGTGTGTATCAGTTTCTGCTCCCCTGTCATACTTGATGCTCTTCAGCTTGGACTGAACCAACAGGAAGTGGATGTACATCTCTGTCAGGGTCTTGGGCAGCTCTCCTCTCTCTCTGGTCTTCAGCACATCCTCCAGAACTGTAGCAGTGATCCAGCAGAAGACTGGGATGTGGCACATGATGTGGAGGCTTCGAGATGTCTTGATGTGGGAGATTATTCTGCTGGCCTGCTCCTCATCTGTGAATCTCTTCCTGAAGTACTCCTCCTTCTGAGGGTCAGTGAACCCTCTGACCTCTGTCACCATGTCAACACATTCAGGAGGGATCTGATTGGCTGCTGCAGGTCTTGTGGTTATCCAGAGGCGAGCAGAGAGGAGCAGGTTCCCCTTGATGAGGTTTGTCAGGAGCACATCCACTGAGGTAGACTGCGTAACATCAGTCAGGATCTCATTGTGGAAGTCCAGAGGAAGTCGACACTCATCCAGACCATCAAAGATGAACACAACCTGGAAGTCTTCAAACCTGCAGATTCCTGCGTCTTTGGTTTCAGTGAAGAAGTGATGAACAAGTTCCACCAAACTAAACTTTTTGTCTTTTAACACGTTCAGCTCTCTAAAAGTGAACGGAAATATGAACTGGATGTCCTGGTTGGCTTTGCCTTCAGCCCAGTCCAGAGTGAACTTCTGTGTTAAAACAGTTTTCCCAATACCAGCCACTCCCTTAGTCATCACTGTCCTGATTGGTTCATCTCTTCCAGGTTGGGAGTTAAAGATGTCTTCTTGTCTGATAGTTGATTCTTGTCTGTCTGGTATCCTGGCCGTGGTTTCAATCTGTCTGATTTCATGTTCATCGTTGACCTCTCCAGTCCCTCCCTCTGTGATATAGAGCTCTGTGTAGATCTGGTTCAGAAGGGTTGGATTTCCTGCTTTTGCAAGACCCTCAAACACACACTGGAACTTCTCCTTGAGGTTAGATTTCAGTTTGTGTCTGCACTCTCCTGCACCAGTCCCTGAATAAACAAAAAATAAATATGATTAATAATCTAAAGCTACAATCAGGATAGATTTATTTTTTCTCCTCTCTGAAATCTCTCAGGGCCATCAGTCATGAACCCTTATTTCAGTTCATAGATGTCTTACATATGTGTGCATCTAATTAACAGCACAGTTCTAAATCTAGATCCCTGCCATGATGTGTACAATATCCTTTTTTATGTTCTTACTGCTCTGCAGACTGTCAGCCAGCTCCTCCTGCTTCATTCTTCTCAGGAAATGCTGGGTGATCTTCAGAAATGCCTCCTTGCTCTTTCTCTGCTCTTCATCCTCGTCCTTCCTTTGAATCTCTGGGCATTCTGGGTAATCTGGACTCAGAGCTCTCTGGATCTTCTTCAGCTCCTTTTTTACAAAACTGATAATGTTCTCCTCAAGCAGCTGGAACAAAGTTGTAAATGGTCATCTCTGATCACCCACTATACTTCCACAGACCAATATCCACATTAACCTCTGAGTCTGTGCAAGTTAAAAATGTAAGGCTTTATTTCGTTGGTCAAGTCTGAACATTAGTCAAGCACAGATGATGTTTGTAGTGTACTAAAAAACAATTTAGACACATCCTGCTGTGATTAATGTCCTCTGTGATTATTACCAGTGGCTGTTTTTGTACATTTACACACCATAAATATGGAGTCCAGTTGTGCTTGATGCTGTTCAGTGGGAACCTCTGATCTCTGCTGCAGAACTCTTCTGAACAAATACAGTGAGCTATAATAATTTGGGATCATATAATGTGGGGTTCATAATAGAACTTAGGATTTGTAATATAGTGACAAGTGTAATATGAAACAGTGCTAGGTACTCTTTAAAGACACCACACAGTTAGTTCTGGGTCAGTACTGTTGACTGCTGTTGGACCCTGATGGATTTACAACATTAATATAGTAAATTACCTTTGATGATCAGATTGATGTCCATCATTGAACTTAATTAGTCGACCCTTTGACTGGTCACTCTTGAGGGACAAACAGCTGGGTTCAGGCTGAGAGGAGTCTGGTCTTTTGTGTATAACACTGAAAGAACCGGAGATACAGATTGATAAACATTGACATTGTGAACTTCAAGGTTATGAGCAGCTGAAATTTCCATAATACTTTTCCAATGTTTCGGTCATGATAATAACAGTGCAATGAACTGTTACTTCTGTTGATCTGATTGATGTCCACCTCCAAACTTAATTAGTCGACCCTTAGACTGGTCACTTTTGAAGGACACACTGCTGGGTTCAGGTCCAGGAGAGTCTATATTGTCAAATCTGACAAAGCACAAATATAGTAATGAGAACACTGATAGATTTTACAATAAAATGCTGTTAAAACTATTATAAGAGTTGAGTGCTGTCTTACAAAGAAAAAAATACGTACTTTTGATGTCTGGACCAATGACCAACTTTGAACTTGATGAGCCGACCCTTAGATTGGTCACTCTTTAAGGACACACTGCTGGGTTCCGGTCCACTTCTGTCAAGAATTAAAAACTCAGATAAGCAAACATAAAATCTGAAATTTTTAACAATAAGTTAGTGTTAAAAATTTTCAAAAGGTAAAAGCTTTCATGCTTCAAATATAACACAAACCCATGATGTTCAGAGTGACGCTCATCTTTGAATTTGATGAGTCTACTCTTAGATTGGTCACTTTTGAAGGACACACAGCTGAGTTCAGATCCTGCAGACTCCAGTCTCTGATGTGTGACACTGACAGAACCACAGACACTGATTAGAAAATCTTTCAGAGTAAAATAATGTTAAAATTGCAATGAAAAGTAAACATCTTAAAAAAACAATTACTTTTGATCATCAGAATGATATCTGTCTCTGAACTTGATGAGTCTACCCTTAGACTGGTCACTTTTGAAGGACACACAGCTGGGTTCAGATCCTGGAGAGTCTGGTCTTGAACAGAGTCATGATGCTGATAAATATCTATAATACTGATAATCATGCACAATACAATGCTTTAAAAGTGTGACGGACAAAAATTAAGCGTACAAGAAGAATTAAAATAAGCGGGACAGTGCTGGAGAGCTGGTGGTAAAGAAAATAGACTAGATGGTGGCGGGATTCGAGTTTCTAAAAGTAGTGGTTCACCATGCATAATCTTTAACTCACTTCTGGTGATCAGAATGCCAGTCTCTGGACCTACGAAGCCGACGCTTAGACTGGTCACTTTTGAACGACACACAGCTGGGTTCAGGCCCAGATCCAGGTCCAGCAGAGTCCTGACTTTGATCTTGGATACTAGAAGATTTACCACTGCAGGTCAGTTGAGTGAATAATAATGGTGAAGTGATGTGAGTGCTGAGCTCTGATATGGAAAAAGGTCATGGACAGTTAAAGATCCTCTTCTCACCTCTGAGCTTTAGTCTGGCCGTCATGTTCCCCACATAAAGTGGTTTTGAAGAGAGGGGCGCCCTCCTCTCTGTGCTCAGACTGATTCATACTAGAGTGCCCACCTACAAACAAGTACACAATCATTCATGACAAGTTTGACACCACAGAGCAACACATCCTGCTCTGTCACAGAGTCCATGCTTCTTGTTCACCATAAAGCCCATCAGGACTGATTTATGGGTCAATTCTGCTCATTCCCAGGACCTGGGGATACTTACATTTTGATACGTAGGAGAATAAATAAACTACTCACCAGATGAGTTCAGATCCAGTGTCTTGGTATTGTGTACATCATGTTTTAAAGGACTCCCTCACACCCCTTACTCATCTCAACTCATGTCCACCTACACCCCATCTGCATCAAAGTAGAGAGGGTATATGTCAGCTTTTCCAGCGATGGAAGATCAGCAAGGCCCAGAAACCTGATAGCCTGCCCCTCTCCTGCCTAAGAGTCTAATATGTGTGTAGTCCCCTTTGCTTCAAAAGCTCCACCAAGAAACTGATCCCCTAGGAACCTTCCATCATGGGATTAAATTCCCATCAGAAGTGCACCCTTCAGATGCCATGAGGTCGCTCTGATCCAAAGAAAGTCTGCAGTCCTCCTGAGCTACACTCCCTATGTCTGAATCCCTAGAAGGAGCAAAGAGGAAGAAGGGAGGGGTCATATCCAGGATGGCTCAAGCCACTGATGGGCCAGGCCATTTTGAGGGGGAGGTGATGCGCACTCTCCCTAAATCGTGACCAGATTTAGCTCTGCCTCCCTGGGATGTTTGGCCATGAAGAAGGCGTTTCCGGCCTTTTGCTTTGAGTAAACAACACTGTACCATACCCACTCTACTACTTTGAATTATTACCTGTTAATCTTCAACCACCTGCATACAAGTCCACAATGACTTCATTTGGCTGGCATCCTTTTTGAATTTGTTTGTTGGGTTGAGTTCAAGATTCATTGGACTGATAAATTCCTGCTTGTTTTTGTACTCTTACTAATGGCAGATTCTCAAAATAAACCATAGATAAAGTCAAAATGTAAAAAGTGAAATGGTGGTGCAGAAGTCTACATATCACTCGTCGTTCTCCGATCATACAGTGTGACTCTGATTAAATTAAAGTTTCATTTACACTCCCTTTTTTTAACGCCAATTTTACACAAGCAATAAAATCACTTCAACACCATTATCCATATCAGTTTGACATACTGTTACACCACTGATAAAAAGTGATACGTCATCTTCTGTTGCTGAAAATAATCTAAATGAATCAAATGACTGATTGTCAACTTAATAAGCAGCTTAAACAGCAAACTCACCAGAGGAAGAAATGTGATTGACAGCAGGTTTTCAAAGGTCAGATTATTCACAAACAGTCCAGACTCTCGGTGTTCAACTTCTTACTCTGCTCTTTTCTTTAAGGAAATGTGATCGCAGAGCAGCTCTGAACTTTGGAATAAATCACTTGAAAAACTGAGTCAATCATTAATAGAAAAAGGAAAGCCTTTACAAACAAACTATAACAGTCTTTTGATTGTTTTAAAACTGAAAACTAAATCAAAGCAATAACACACACAGGCGGTGTTAATCACTGTAGAAAAATATCCAAAATAGATTTATATTATTTATATTAGTGTAAGGACAACAACTGCATGGTCAGCTGAGATGTAAGTTTACGTGCAGAGTGAAGTCAAGCACCGGTTAAAGCTTGAGTAGGTGGTTTACCTGGACCTCTGTCCTCGTACCAGTTTACAAACAAGAATTGCTTAATTGACAGAAGTATCTCCATCAGAACGAGGGTCGGTGGAAACATGCCCCTTTTTAAACTTATGTGATCGTCCCCCAAGTAACCTATGACATCATTACATTTTTTCAACAATCAATCAAATACATCAGTGAAAAGGCAAACAGGTTGTTTGCTAAATAACAACTTTACAGTTATGTTCCTTCCATATGTGCTTTTTTTTCTGTCCCCTCCTACTCTGTAGAGATTTTGTTTACTTGTCAGTGTTTGATCAACACATTTAGACAACGCAACACTGGCCTTAATGGGATTGACCCATTTTCTAAGACTTCTTCTAGTGGACACTCTGAGAACAGCACTTTTTTTGACACTCCACAGTGGATTATTTTTTAACACCAGAGGTTGTCATGTGGGGGATATTTGTTTTACCCACTCTGCAGTGCCAGTTGAGTGGAGTTTGACTCTTACTCCTGAACAGTAACTGTTCCCTTTTGTTAACCAGCTTAGGGGAATGTGCCACAAAAACAATTGTTACGATAATAAAACTAATAGTAGAAATTGTCCATTACACTGCAAGAAAATGTAATGTATAAGATGTTTTTGGATGAATGAAGATTATTTTCACATTGCTCAAGCTAGAACTCTTTCAAAGTTTCAGACAGTGTAGAGAGGATCTGATTTTGATTAAGGAAACTCGCAAAACCAACAGATTATTTACTGAACGAACATTTATTTTCAGTTTCACGGACAGGTTACGTAAAAAAAAAAGAAACAGCTGTGGGTTGGTGGTCCGTCCTAGAGGATTCCTTTGGAATCAGTTCAAACAAAGAGTTTGTCTTTCTTAAAGAATGAAAACAGGAAAAAAAAACCTGTCAACCATCAGCTCATCATCATCACAGATGACGTTACTGACAGGTGACACTGCTATGAGGCCGCCGCCCCCTAGCTGTGACATCACAGGAAGGGCTGAGAGCATCGTAGAGTCGGTGGACAGCGACCTCCACCATCTCCCTCAGAGACTCATCTTCTGGGCATGACACCGTCTGCAGGAGGAGAAAGAGGTCAAAGGTCAGGATTATCTTTGGTTTACAGATTATTCAGAATGTTTTTGTAAGAAGTTTAAATTGATCCAAGAGGAAAACCAAAAAATCAATATCTGAAACCTGTGTGTAGCTGAAAGTTGATTTTGCCCTTTGCTTTATTATTCTGTCTTTTTTTAATGTATGATACTTAAGGACAAACCCTTTAATAAAGTACTGGAGATTAAAGGGGCTCTGATCTGGTTTTGAAGGACTGTTTTTCACATAATCCTAATTAATCCAAAATAAAAAACATGAAATTTAAAAGTGGACGTTCAGGTGTTTTTACTCACTCTTGTTTCTGTGTCAATGAACGCAGTGACTTCATCCACCGTCACACTCAGGTTTTTACCATCTTTGAAGTTTACGCAGTCCTCTCCGAACATGTCGCTAAAACAGGACCCACAAACACACTCTGGTTAAAATATCAGAACTTACTGCATAAATAAACATCTTCAAAAACCTACAGATAAGTCAATGAGACGACAGCCATGTTTTATGCAGACTGAAACATCCAGCAGTTGTGTGGGCTGTACTTACTGCAGCATGAGGCCCAGTCTCTCTACGAACACATCCATGTCAAACGTTTCCCTCTTTCCTTCTATGACTGAAAACATCAAATATTAAAATCGTGTTTCTGGTGAATGAAGGTTTATGATACAACAGGTGTGTTTGTGTGTGAGTGTTTACTGACATTTCTGGGCGTTGGGGTTTGATTGGACCTCCAGGGTCACCGTCGTGACCACATCAGCGTACATGTCGTTGAGAGGGTTGGCGATCCACTGAGGACAAAGAGGCTTTAATTGAAAAATTTCTCTTAAAATGAAACTAGTTTATCAGATCATTAACTTTCTAGCAGGATATTTTTTTTAGAATATGTTGTTAGCCTCTCATTTAGGCTCGGGCTGAAACATCTCATCAGCTTCTGACTGATAATGATGAATTGATGAAATGTCGCGATGTCATTTCCCTTCTTTTGAACATTAAATAACTAATTTCAATCACACCTGTCATAAAAACAAACACTTCAACAAAAATCAGCATGGAGGAACTAACTTTCATGACAGAAACTATGTTTAAGAAACATCCCTTTGGTATGCATTTGATTTTACAGTTTGACTCATGTCCCATCTGTTTACATGGAGGAGGCAGACTAAAGACCCGTACACCAACCAGTGAATAAGTGGTGCTTTGTACAGTTAGGCTTCACTTTTAAGGAGCTGCCTAATATTACTTTATGATTACTTAGTTGCATTAGTAAAGTTAGAAATTGGCTAACAGCTACTAGAGTAGTTACAGTATAATGACATAACATTTGTAAATAATGACCAATTAAGAATGACAGTGATTCTCAACCTTATTGACCTGTTTTGACATTTTATCTCCTGTACCAGTGACATAATGAGTTTTAGTGCTGTTTGAGACGAGCAGTGTGTTTGCTGTGTGACTGCAGCAAAACTTGCACAGAAAATAGAAATTTACATTATGTAAAATACACAAATATATTATATGGAAATTTATTCAGTTTCATGCAAACTTCATGATTACATGAAAAAAGTTTCAACGCATTGATTCAGGCAGAGAAGCTGAAATGTTGATGCTCTAGAAATATCGAAAGGAAGCAGTATATTTGTTAATGAATCCTCCTGCTACATTAAAGGAAAAAACACAATAAGAGGTTGTTTTGAGGGAGTTTGTGTGTGACTGACCTCCAGCAGCACCATCCCTGCCTCGTGAACCAGAGTGATGCTCTTAAAAATCCTGATGGTAATTTTCTCTGCACCCTCCACCTGCTCCACGTCTCCTAAACACAAACACAACATGAGTAATTTTGTAAAACTATAAATTGACTATGGGTTGACTGGGAGTTCAAGTGTAACTTTTTTTAATGAGGTTTCTCACCAAATAGGTCACAAAATTTCCTCCAATATAGAAAAAGACAATCAAAAATAAAATCATTTTATTAAAGTAAATTGACGACAATGGGAGTTTCAGACCTGTGAGGCTGCGTAGCTGGCTGACAAGCAGAGAGATGGGTCCGCTGTATGGGATGGCCTGACTCTGAGTCACTGTGCCCATAGACAGATCTGTGTAGTCTAAACAAAGAGAGGACAGCAGCATAGTTAGAAAACACTGACAAAACCCACAGCACCTGAACACAACAGGGGGAAAGTTCAGAGTTGTTTCATTCCTCCTCTTTATACCCATTAGTGTACTGGAAACTTTTCTTGGTAGTGTTTCCACACAGCCGTTTGATAAGGTTTGTAAACTTAAGAAGACATTCAGTCTGTCTCATAAAAAGTCCTAAATCATAAAAATTCAACACTGAACTCTGATCTTATCGTCAACCTATGATGGTGATTGTATGAACCTAAATGTCCCCAGAAATGTTACTCAAGTCTCGGTCCTCACAAAGATAGACAGACAAGACGACACACACACACTCAGAAATACTGACTTGAGAGGTCAGACGGCGTCACGATGTGGTAGTTGAAGTTCCTTTTAATGAGGATCCCAGAGACCCTTTGACCCTGAGCACACTTCTTGTCAGTCAGAGAGCCCATCACCTGCAGCAAAGCATGCTGGGAGTTAACATGGCAATACAACACACTGCACAGTTTTGAAACCTAATTAATCCATGAACCTCATGTGGGATGTCTTTGTGTTTGAGGATTCAGACCAACCTTTGCCAGCTTCTCTCCTCTGAAGTTGAGAGTGACAGCTTCTGTGTTTCGAGGGTTGTGGACTTCGATGTCAACCTCGTCGTTGTCCTCGTACTCACGTATCAGAGCCGCTTTCAGACGGGCCATCTCATTCTGCTCGCCGTGGACCAGAATCTGAAACCCACAAAAAACTAAACTTAGTTACACATGTGGCTGCAAAATGTTGACAGTCAACATGTTAACACTTTGAAGCTCGAGTGCAGCGATTTCCTTGATTTCTCTTACAGATACAAAAATTTTAACTTTTCCTTCAAATCTTTGAATATTTTAGTTGCTCTCTTTTCACATGTTGAGTGTTGTGTCAGATCATGCGATTTGGGTCATGTGATTACCACGTGCGGGGGTTTGAGCGCTCTGATGAACTCGCTGGTCTGCTGGTAGTCTGTGTGAGCGGAGAAGGAGATGTAGTCCACAGACATCTTGAGAGGGAGCTTCTGACCCGACATGGTGGCGATCTCGTCCGGCTCTGTCATGATGTGCTGAAACACAGAATTATTGCAAAATTTGTTAAAAAGATGCGCTCTAAATATCTTTCTTTGTCAACTATAAAGTGCACCAGTACAACAGTAACAGAGGAAACCTGCAGAAAGAAGACTTTAAATCAGGTTTTTTTTTTTTATATTTAGACAAAAATGTCAGAGAACAGGTCATATAGACCTTTAAATTTGTGCTCTGTATGACAATAAATTCCCAGCATGCTTCATTGCAGACCCACCTTGGCGAGTGTCCCCTCCACACAGTACCCAGCAATGATGACCCCGTTCCTCTTGTCGGTACACCAGCTTTCAAACAGTTCTCTGGACAGACCGCTCTGCATCATACCTGGAGACGCCATCACCACGCTGGGCCCAATGTCGTCAAAGTGATCCATGCTCTGAAATTATAAAAGAAATTATGTTTCCAAACAAAGTCTGGGATCATAAAGATGGGACACCAGGGAACTGGACTGTCTACTGAGCGTGCTCCCTGACCTTTAGGTTGCTGATGTGTTTGAAGACGAATGGGTTGTTGATGTTGATAGCCTTGCGGATCTTGTCATTCATAGCGTTGATGTAGGTCTGGTAGACGGCCATGCACTTCCTGGCCAGAGATGAGGCGTAGTAGATGGGGATGTCGTGGAGCTCTGGATGGTTCTGCCAGTACTCATCTAACACACACACACAGAAAACAGCGCACATTGATTAACATCTCACAGACGTGACTGTGACAGTGAAAGCACGTTCACAGGGTACCAACTGTCGACTCATCTCACCAAGGATGAGCAGCAGCTCCTGAGCTCGGCCCAGAGCGAAGACGGGGATCAGACAGCGACCTTCCCTGTTCACGATGTCGTGGACTGTGTTACAGAAACGAGCCTCCCTCTCCTCTCGCTTCTCGTGGATGTGAGTCCCGTATGTGGACTCCTGCGGGAAGGAAACATGCTTGGCTTTAACAGAGTTTTTATCTAAAGTCAAATTTAAGAGGGAGCTGCACTCACAGTGATGAGGATGTCCGGTTTGACACTCGGGATCTCTGCTGCCATCAGATGTCTGTCCTCCTGACGGGAAAAGTCTCCTGTGTACAACAACTACATACACACACACAAGACACAGCATTAATAACGCATACACACACAACACGCAAAATGTTTATTGTCTAGAAAATAATGTTTTTTTTTTCTCAGGCAAGTATGAAATGTTGCAGAACGTGATATGAAACAGTAATTCAGCAATTCTAGTTTCTGATTTTCAAGATTTTGTCCACTCAGTGAAATAATTGTCTGTTTGAGGTCTGCAGAGATTTAAATTCAACATTTGTCATCTCTGTGTAGAACTAGGTGGTTGAGACAGACCTTGACTCCAGCGATCTCAATCATGAACATGGCGGCTCCAAGGACGTGACCAGCGTGGTAACACCAGAACTTGATGCCGGCCACCTCCTTCACCTCGTGGAAGTTGATGGTCTCAATCTTCTCCATGCTTTCCTCCAGGTCTGTTTCGGTGTACAACATGTCGTCTGCAGAGATGTTACTGAAGCAAAAACCGGCACATCACTCAATACTCCTCATATGTTCATATTCAGATATTATACATGATAAACAACGACAAATGAATGATCTAAAAGGTAATGATCTACTCAAATTGAACTCACTCCCACCTGAACCTCGAGTCTTTCCATCCTGACTTCGACTCACTTCCAACTTACTTAGACTCAGTCTTATCCCACATTCACTCTGTACTCTGTGACTTCAACAAACCTCTACATGACTTTGACTCAGTCTTTCCTGTCAAACTTACCTGACTTTCACATAGTCAGACAGCAGCCAGCGGTAGATGGCCTTGGTGGCATGAGTCATGAAGGTGCGTCCTTTAAAGCTGGTCTTCTGCAGAAACCAGGGCAGAGCTCCACAGTGGTCCAGGTGAAAGCTGACAAAGAGGAGGATTCATTCATTCATTCATTCATTCATGTCAGATGCTTTGAAATCATCTATTCTGTTTTAATTTTTACTGCCAATCAAACTACTTCACTGCTTAGTTTTAATTTTTTACCACCTACTTATCAGTAAATCTGTCAGCTGTTTAGAATTTCACTTGGGGCGGTATTTTTTTGTTATTTACCTGTATTTCTGTTTTCAGTGATTAATAAAACACATTATTGATTAATTTTTTGAAAGCTTTTGTTGTGTTCAGTCATAATTACTGCGTAGGAATTTCTCCATAATGTTTTTAAACTGTTGCACCCTGCTCATTTTATGTTTCCAGTAAATCATAATCTTCATAATCTTAATAACTCTCAAACATTGAACTCCATCGTAAACTCAAGCCTTGGATTGTCAGCAGGGGGGTTAATATTAGTTTGTATACTCACTGGCTGATGAGCAGCAGGTCGATCTCAGCAGGATCAATCAAGTCAATGTACGGCAGAGCGTCCATCCCCTCCAGACCAGGATGGATCCCACAGTCCAACTAAACACACACAATGACATGTTTTGACATGCTGAGGTGACCCTGCAGACACACAGGTGTTCAAGTTTTCTGAAGTTTGTGTGATAAAACAAACCATGATCTTCCGCCCTTTGAACTCCAGGATGATGCAGGACCGTCCTACTTCCTGTCCTGCTCCTCTGGACACAAACACACACACACAGAGAAACCATAACTTTACACATCTTAGTGTTATTTTCAGCATTATGTAGGTTTAATTTAAGAGCCAAACTCTTCAGGTACAACTGTATTTTAGTAGACATGAAAAAACACAGTGAGTAAGTTTGCAAAAAACAATAATTTTACGTCATTTATCAATAATCACTTTTGTTATCTGAGTCAACAAGCAGCACCTTATTTGACAATAACCTGTTGGGATAAAAACTACAACCTGTGAGATGTAAATACCAAACAAAAGTATTATTATTATTTTGTTGCATTTAATTTATACCGAAAAAAAGACTAGTGTCTAAACATTCCTTTAAGTATGGTACAGGCCAAACTTCTTCAAGTTTGTTTTATTTATTATGACATTTACTGAATCCGACTTTTTACGAAAGGAGTTCGGTTTACGAGCAGCTGAATAAAAGAAGATAAAAGTCCAACTTAAACTCACAGCGGCCTGATCAGCAACTGGTCACTTTCCTCCGCGGGAACCGTGATTTCAGATTTACGTTTAGCCGCCATAATTACTTTAAAGAAACTTATATTTTATTCAAAATAAACAGACTTTTTCATCATTTCCAGAAGCAACAACGCGCCTCCGTAGTTTTGTTGTTGCTCCACTTCCGGTTCTTGCAGAAATCCCCCCGTGTGCTACAAGAGTGTGCGACTCCAGTTCCGCCTTTCGGCGTCTAACTTAACAGCAGAGGTCCGTTTCACGTAGCAGATTTAATGGAGACTCAAAGTCTGTTAACTCTGAAGTTAGGGAAACTCTGAGTTTTACGTTTCACAAAGGAGGGTCAGCTAAACCAGAGAGAGAGGGGTAACTCTAACCTGTTTCACAAAGAGAGGTAACTCAACCTTGCGGTAAGTTACCATCGTAACAGACTCCGTGAACCTAACTTGGTCGGGACTGTTTTCCTCAGTAAACCCATAGTTTCTCTCTGTCTCCGCCCTCTTTCAGCCACAAACTCCTTTTGATTTCCGTCAGCCGGCGAGTTTTAAACAGCTGATTTAAGTCATCTTGGTCCATTCGGCACAGTAGCTATTCCATTCTACGACCATGGCGTGTCCTTTTCTTGCAGATCCCATTGATCAAGGAGCAGCGATCCTGCGCAGGGAAGTAATTCGTCGAGAGATCCTTAGACCGCGAATCGACATTTTAGCCCTCCCGAACAATTTTCTTTTAGAGCGGTATCGTTTTTCATCTCAATCTATAATTTATATTCACAACCTCATCCGTCCACACATTTCGAACATCACCCGTCGCAGTCATGCGCTCACATCAGAGCAGATATTATGTGTTGCGCTGCGTTATTTCGCCAACGGGAGTTTTTTATATAACATCGGAGATGCGGAGCATTTGAGCAAGGCAACCGTTTGGAGGGCGATCCGAAAAGTCTGCCTCGCCCTGACACGGCTTTTGCCGACTTTTGTTGTCTTTCCTGGACACAAACCTGTCCGAGCCATCAAGGAGGAGTTCCACAGGATCGCAGGTAAAGGATGTACAGATCTGTTTCGTGGTATTAACTGTAAAACAACACGTGTTGTGCCGTAGAATGCACCCCTGCCGTATAATGCACCCCCTGCATTTTCTTAAAGCGGAAGAAAGTGATCGCATATTTTAAAACCTACGAGTATTTAATCGTGACAACTTTCGTTCTGTTTTTATGTGTCTCAAAAATGCCCATACGGAGGTGTGCTTGGGTATATAAATTATACAGTAAGCTGTCAAGTTAGCGAACATTATATTTTCGGGACAGCAAATATTCCGAATCAGAGGGCTATTTTTTCGGCTTGTCTGAATAGCCTGAATGAAATTATTAAAGGCAGATGCTTATGACTTCGTCCAATGGTAAGGAAAACTTGCATTATTTTCGCCTTGTTAAGTACTTTCAACTGCGCTCCTGTCAGGGGTGCATTCTACGACAGGGGTGCATTCTACGGCACAACACCTGACATGTCATCTTTTTACGTCCTGTCCGGGTCTTTTTTTTTTATTTTTATATAAATTCCTGAAAATGTCCTATTTTGTCCTAATTGTGGAAATCAAAATATGGTCACCCTATATTGATATTGTGCTGTAACATCATACTGAGATTAGTAACTTTAATTTGTTTTAGGATTCCCCAGTGTGATTGGATGCATTGATGGCACGCACATCCCCATCAAGGCTCCTTCAAAAAATGAGGCAGATTATGTGAATAGGAAGTCGACACATAGCATCAATGTGCAGGTACATATACTGCTTCAACATGTTAAACACCTCATCATAGTTCAACTAACATCTGTCATTCTCTGCACTGTCAAGATCATATGTGATGCTGCATACATCATTACCAATGTGGAGGCCAAGTGGCCTGGATCAGTTCATGACTCGAGGATGTTCCGCGAGTCAAACCTGAGCGCCAGACTCCAACGTGGTGAGAAGCCTGAAGGTTTGCAGTATAACTCTCTTGTCTCCCTCCTTTAATACGCTTCTTGCATCCACTCTATATTACAGGAGAGTTTGACGGCCTTCTGCTGGGTGACAGCGGTTATCCATGTCAAGCGAGGCTACTGACCCCATACCCAGACCCTGAACCAGGCCCCCAACAGAACTTCAACCGGGCTCACTGCAGTACGAGAGCCCGGGTGGAGACGACCATAGGCCTGCTCAAAGCCCGTTTCCAGTGCCTACGTCAACTCAGGGTGACCCCCGAGAGGGCCTGTGATATTATAACGGCATGTGTAGTTCTTCATAATATTGCCACTATTAGAGGAGAGCAACACCCCGCCCTACAAATTGAGGAGCCAGATGATGACCCTGTCCACCTGCCAGCAATCGAGGACGGCCAAGCAGTCAGAGACGCAATCTGCCATGATCACTTTTGAATGTTAAGCACCCCCACCACCATCACCACCCCTAGAAATAAAAAAATAAAAAAACATGAAGCGCATTTCAGTTGGTTTTCTTTATTTCCTACAAATACAAAATACAGTTAAGTTAATGTGTGGGAATCAGTGGGAAGAGACCTCTTGGTCCCATATCAAGAAGCTACCTCCATAGGCCTTCCTGGCTCCTCCACTGTAAACGCAGCAGACGTGGTTCCTTCCTCATCGTCGTCTTCGTCCTAGATGAGTGATATGATTCAGTATTCTTAAACTACCATTCAGCAAAGGCTTTCGAGTATTGCCTACTTACAGTTGGAGGGTCTGCTGTCATGAGGGGGTTCCAGAAGGTGAATGGCACCATCAGAATCAGTCAAGACAAAAGGAAAAATACATGAAAGGGAAAGAAATATTTGTATGAATAGGCTTACAAAAAGAAATATTGCATATTATATTATGTTATATTATGCAACGTCATAAAACAAATTAATTGCCTCCATGCAAGCAGTTTCCCCTGCAACAGTCTGTCATCGTGATTGCACAAGACTAGATTTAAACTTACGCATTGACTCGAGCAGCAATTTCCTCCCATGCCCTCTTCCTCTCCTTTGCAGCTGCTGCAGTATTGCACTTTTTTTTTTTTAAACGTGCTGTAATTTGCCGTAGGCTTGCATCAAGACTTGCAGCTCCACTGATGTAAAACATGCTGCCCTCCTTCTCCTTGTTTCCATGGTTGATCAATGAATCTTGGCTCCACAGATGCTGGCTGTTTACAGGGCTCTCAAGTTTCACGCAATCAGCGTGAGACACACGCATTCCCACCCGTTCACACGCTCACACGCCACACATCGATGATTACAGTAAGTCAGTAACCTACACATGCAGAGACCTCAACACCTCATAGCATATAAACTCATATGATAAACTAAAGCCCTATGCTATTGCTATTAACAGCTGTATTGACGGATTTAGTCTCTGTACAGCCATTTCCAGCCATTTTCCCCTCCGCAAAAGCAGCATTTCTCATATATCTCAAATATAAGTTCTGATACTCATGACAGTGTAATGCTCATGTACCAAAGGATTAAGGATCTCCATGTTTGTGACACCTATATATATAGATATTAATGACTTTATTCTCCCAAATAATAACTTTATTCTTTGAGATTAAAAAGCGTTTTTTTTTCTAATTGTGCCCCTTATACTCCGTTGTATTTAAGAGATAATTATACTTATAATATAGTGTTTATATCTGGCGTGCACGTGCTTAACTCCAGGTGAAACTACTCGGAGTTGCTAAAACTAACTCAAATCAGGTGTTGTGAAACCGGAAACTCAGAGCTTCCTATCTCAGAGTAGATCATCTCAGATGCTGTGTCCGAATTGCCCGCTCGCATACTACTTGCTACTGCTACATACTACTGCTAGATCCTACTTCTACATACTGAACACGTTGGCCCAATTCGGACACATTAGACGAGCGGTGGGGAAAGACGACCCCCGCAGGCAGAGAGTAGGTACTGCGCCCGTTTCAGACTCTTTGAATGGTAATTGTGCAAGTGATGGATGCTGCTGTATTATATTCCTACACTGCTTTAGAAATTCACAAAGTAGCTTTTCCATTACTTTTAGCCTTCATTCACTCACGTGGTGATCGTTTGTTCAATGAGATCTGCCGGATTACTGCAGCTGCCAGCATTTTTTTGGGGCTGTCAGGTTTTGCTGTTTTCCGAGTCTCAGAATTCAATTCTGGTAAATGGACCAGTTTTTGGTTTTTGAACCACTGATAGGATGAAACAAAGACCAAAGTTAATAGAAATGAATATTTGTAACCTACAGAAACAGACAAACTTACAGAATCTAAAAAAGAAAAGGTATGAAAAAAAGGCACTGCACACAATTTCTTTAAGTAAAGAAGCATTTTGGATGTTTTTAATGGCACCTGTGTGTTATAGGAGAATAATACAGTAAAATCAATATGGACGTTCATTTTTGACCTCCTCTTATTAACAAAAGCACAGAGATTCCCTTCAGCCAACATGAAAATCAAGAAACAGTTCAGCAGGTTTGACATAACAACATTAAAAAGTGTTTTCAGGAGCTGTCACATCTCAGGTTTGATTCCAGCAGCAGAGAGTTTGTCACAGAGAACTTTATCAAATACAAAATTGGACAAAAGTTTGTGGACAGCCCTGTGTGTAACAGCATCATGTCACTGCTGAGTCCAGTCTTTCCTCGTCATGTTGAACCTGCAGCAGAGATTTCAGACTCCAGAGCATCAGTGAGGTCCAGCACTGATGGTGGTTACCAGGTCTGGATCCAGCTCTTCCAGTCCAGTTCCTCCACAGTAAACTGGGAAATCCTTTTCTTTAAACAGTTTTGTAAAATATAAATGTTGGCTGGAACAGATTTCCATTCACAGGTCTGAGAAGCTAAATTAGTATAAAAAGAGAGGTCCTTGGAAAGATTATGGAAACACAACATGTTTTAAATGCTCCTTTTTAAGTGTCATTTAAATTTGAGACTATTTTTTAGTCTGCAGGACAATTTTTAAATTAATTTTCCTGGTAGAAATGTAAGTTTTTGGCATTTAAAAACTAAGTTGTTCGTATCAGCATTTCAAATTAAATTCCATGGGTCCTAGAGAGCTCCTAAAGTCCCATAAAGCAAACTATTAAAGTGGTATTAATGATGCCATAATTTATTATTTTTTATTAAGATTACTTAAATCTCAACTGTTTAAGGAAATGAGTTGATCTTACCCCTAAATTTATACTTGGTCAAACCTTTTTCCCAAACTTAAACAGCCACTAGACTTTTTGGAGTTCAATTATTTAACCTGCAAACTTAAATTCAGATATTAGAATCGAGTATAAACCTTGAACACTTGTCAAAACTGGAGGACAAAACCGATACATGGACAGGTTCATATCTTTTGCACCCAGATAAAATGATCACCTAATGGGACTTCAAGGATTCTGTGAAATCCTGCAGGGTTCAACTCCGACTTTCTAGTGAAAAGTAACTGAGAGGGAAAGTTTGCATGAAGCTTCAGGAAGAACAAAAGGCAGCTTCAGTGTTCAGTCTAGTCCAGGTCTCCTGAGGATCACTTAGAGTCTGAGGTGGGTAAGATAAAATGAAGTTTACGAAGACGTCACTCTGTGATGAAGTGAACGAAGGTAACGGGAAACACTCCTCTCCTGGTCGGCTCTCCTTCAACGTGACCAACCTGAAACGCAGCACAGACCTCGACTCAGAAAATCCAATGTATGAGTTTGTAATCAGAGAGAAGTGATGATGCGTTTCCTGTTTGGGGGGTGTAATCATCACTCACCCACCAATCGCTGTCCTCCTCCCCCTCCACTATGATCACCTCCCCCTCACTGAACGTCAGCTCGTCTGGATTATCGGCTGAACAGTTGTAGATGGCTTTCACCCTCTGAGGCTTCTGCTTCTGCAAACACACAAATACACAAGTTTTATAGAGACACTCGTTGAATACGATTTCACCCTGTAGGGTATCATTGCACTTGTCTTAAATCTTTTAACCCTAGAACACTATCGACGGGTGATTTTCACACAACCAAACATGTTTGTGTGATTTTCATTATGTTGCGTTTGTCTGAGTATCATGGGTCTCTGGGTAGCTTCAGCATTGCCTTTGACATCTTTGAAGGCATATTTGTTTCCCAGATCCAAAACCTGCTTTTTCCTACAGGCACATGTTCAGGTGATATTCACCTGGCAATAGTGATAGAGGGTAAAGTAGGTTTGGGTGGATTTGAGAGCTGTATGAAGGCGAATAAGGTCAGCAAGAGTGGTCCTGGAATTTGTATGCTTTCTTTATTTAGTGCAGTAGTTATGAATAACTATCACAAAATAATGATTTTCAAGGGAATTAATATGGTGATGAGAAATATCATGAATGCCTAATCTTAGTTATTTTGATGCATTGTTATATGGTCCCCCTCATGGCACTTTTTTACCTTTTTCCTCACTTTGGACATTGCACGGTTAAAAATAATAAATAAATAAATCCTTTAATTGGTCATGTATTGTCCTATTTTGATATATTTTGATGACAAGTACTTTATATTATTTTTGGCTAAAAATCAGCTGGCAATAGTGATGGCGTTACTAATTTTAGCAATAGTGTTTTAGGGTTAACTCAGTAAAATGACACTAAAGTCTTCGTATCTCTTTTCTGTGCTCTGCTGTGTTAACTTAAAAACCCCTCTGTGTTTGTGTCTCCGAGGACTTACGGAGTAGGTGCTTCTGGGTTTGGGTGTTGGAGGATTTGGACTCTGGGGGGATTTGGACAATGATGCTGCAGACAAAGAAACAACAAGTTTAGAATTCATTTAATGTTAACATTTCGATTGGTTATTTGGACCAGGACCTGTCCCAAATGGGTGGCTTTTACCTCGTTTGTCCAAAGAGGGCGTCCTGACGGGAGGTCTCTGTGGAGGACTCTTCCCTGATCTGAAATCAATCAACATCAAAGAGAGTTTAACCCACACCCAGTACAACCAGCCCAGACCCACACTAATCTAAGAATAAGAATAAGAAGAACTTTATTAATCCCAGAAGGGAAATTCAATATCTAGTTCAGATCTGTTAAGTCAGCTACGGTTTCACTATCCGGTATGGTCCAATAAAACCCAGTTCAGTCCAGTGTGCTTCCAATTTGGTCACCAGGCCAATTGAAATCAGTACAGTCAAGTATAGTCCATCAAAGCCTCTTAAAAACCAGTGCAGCCAGTTACAGCCCAGTACTGTCCACTAATGTCCAATGGGATCAACCACAGTCCAGTACATACCCAGTTGGTGATTTTGGTGACTTGGGTCCAGGTGGTCTGCTGGTTTGGTGACTGGGGACTGGTGGGGGGAGGGGTGGAGCTTTATAATGAGGTGGAGGTGGGATGCTAGGTGCTATGGGTGATGGGGGGAGTCCTGTTGTTGGTGGGGGAGGAAGAGGAGGGAGGGGGGTGTTCTTGGCCGACAGAGTCTTGGTGTCTAACATGCTGGACCTCTTGCTCACTGGAGGAGGAGGAGCTGCCGGGAGAACTGGGGGGAGACCAGATCCAGGATTACTTTGGATTCAACTTGGAGAGGAGTAAAACCTGATTCACAAGAATCTCCAGGATGAAAGGTGCACATCAACTCAAACTTTTACAGGATGAAAATTATTTATTCAACCAGAGGCTGAGACACCCACCGTACATTGACGAGTTCCTTTCTGGAGTTTGAGGGTTGGGGGGGTCAGAGGACGATCTTTGTCTTCCAACAGTTTCCATGGGGGCAGGTTTACTGTGACCTGAACATGCAAGAAGACCAAACAGAGACACAATACACTCATTATATCAGGGAATAGATAAATGATATATAGACTGGGGAGCAGGATTTTAGGGGAGTTAAGAAAAAAATCAGATTTGTGAAAGTGAATCAAAGTTTTAATCCAAATCCAAAAATCCAATCTTAAAACGTGTTCAAGTTCAGGTTAATTTTTGTAGTGTAGATTTATGTGTAGATTTGTTCAAAAAGCAAACGACAGACCCACCTCCTGTATTTGGTTAATCTCTTATTGATCTTTTTAATATTATCATCAGTTTGTTTTAATCTATTTATTTTTTTACATCCACACTCGAACCTCTGTTTGGCACTCTAGGGGGCAGCGGTGGCGTTGGTCCCGGTGGTGGCAGATTGAGGTCCATCATGGTGCCATATGTCTCGTTGCTGATCATCATACTGGGCCGCTGCTTGTCCCGCGCCAAGAAGGCAGCATCCCGGGCCAGTGCCGCCATGTTGGGCTGCATGGGGCTGCTGCCCGGCACGAAACAACTGACCGGACGCTCGTCTCTCCTGTTAGGGATTGGCTGCAGGACACAGGCAGTTAAGAATCTGAAAATACACCTTTAAACTTTAAAATCTTTAAAGAGATTCACAGAGAAGCAGCTGACCTTGTCCTCCATCTCGTCTTCGCTCTCATCCAGGTCCTCGTTCTGGAGACGCCACTCGTACTCCACATGGACATGGACGTTAAACTTTCCTGTCTGAGCCTGAGTCAACTGAGACACACAAACAATACTGTGTTTAATGTAATATCAATCAATTTAATTTCGATCTGTCCATCCAAATAATATCACAAACTTTTAATGAATGAAAGACACATGAAAATAAATAATCTGAACTTTCTGAGTCACAGGTTAATACATAGATAAAACTTTACCGCCCTCAGGTTTTAGAGATTTCAAGGGTGAGTCGACACATTCACAAATATATTAGCTGTTATTCTGAATAACTTTAGACAAAAAGTCTTGTATTGTAACAGTTTCACAAGTTTATTTTTTTCCAGTTTTTGTTTTAAAATCAACAGAAAGCCTCACCAGCTCTTCACAATGGGTGTGTCGGAGGCGTTTGGCAATGTCAAGTGGCGTCTCTCCTGCTTCGTTAGCTGTGGAGACAAATTTAACGTCAAATGACGATCCAAACTCCAAACTGCTTCTTCAGCTGCTCCATGCAGTTGGGTTGGGGCTCACATTTTAATACTTTATACCATGAGAATTGAAGGTAAAGATATAAGCATACTGATGTTCAGAGTCTAATAACAGGGATACTAAAGTAGCACTGCGTGTTTGTGGTCTTACTGATGGACACTGAAGCTTTTCCTCTCAGCAGCAGTTTGAGACACTCGCTGTTGCCCGTCAGACAGCAATAATGCAGCGCTGTACTTCCTCTGGCCGTCTGCTTATCCAGGTTACCGCTGACATCAAACACAAGTACATGTTTAATTGACATATGGGGACCACACAAATCTTCTTTTACTACACATCAGGGGACCATCACTCATAAGCCCCTTACCAGGTCTCCTATAATATAGGTCTAATAAAAGGTCTAATAAACTATAATGCATTCAATAGTGAAGTACATCTGTTTTTATGGCAAATAGCAACATTAACAAGGAGCTTTAAGGAAGTAAGCTTTCACAATGAAATAAACAAAGCAAAATATTGCACAATGAGCAGATTCAGTAATTTCCGGAAGAGTGGGCTTTCTTTTAGCATCAGCAAAACTTAAGATATTATGAAGCAGGTTCTCTATCTGACCAACTTCAATTTTAGAGTTACCCACAAAAATACGTATGTCTCTCTTCACCGCGGGACAGAAAGATTCATAAGATCTTTTGTGCCCACAGCCATGAGACTTTACAATTCTTCTATGAACAGTAGATGATTTTTTGAGACATGACAAATGAGACTACAGACAGTTGAATTTCCCTTCGGGGGTAAATAAAGTTCTTCTTATCTGATCTTACCTTATATTACAACTATAAAGCTATTTAGGCAATATATGAAGCTAAAACGCCACAGTCCTGCATGAAGGCACATGTCTTGCACACAACTATTACAGACAGTAGAAAAGAATACCAACACCCTAAATTGATTAAAGAATCAATGCCAATACTACTGTACTTGTACTGTACTTTTGTATTTTGAACTGGATCTAAATTGGGTTTAGCTGTTTAAGACTGAAACTCTGTCTGAAGCTCTTGAAGTGCTTTTGAGACAAAAGGCGCATAGGTGTAGATGACAGTATCATCAGCATAGAGGAGTATTTTTGATTAGATGTACTCACTCAGATCATTTGTAAAAATACAGAACAGAATGGGCCCGAGAATAGAACCCTGGTGGACACCTTTAGTGATCTTAAGACAAACAGATTTATGTCCCTCTGCATAGACACACTGAGTTTGAGCTCTGTCAAAGAATTCTTAAACCTGTTAAACCAGCAGTTCTAGGTTTGATTTGTAGTAGCTAATAATACACTGGGCCCCATGCTTTAGACAGATCTACAAATAAAGCAGCTGAATGTTGTTTTATGGCACCAATGGATCATTTGCAATCACAACAGAAGCAATGATGAGTGTAAACAGATCTAAAACCACAAAGAAAATCTCTTAAATACTTTTGTCTTATAAAATCTGCTTCAACTGTCAATTCACCTGGCTCCTAAAGATCTAAGCTTAGACTTACAGTTTATAAAGGAGGTTGTAATTGTCTTGTATGCAGAGGATGTATCATGAATTATGAATCTTTCAAGTTTGACGGGACCTTTTTACAGTCCTGAGTCTGAATATGTTCAAATCATCAAAGTCAGTGCCTGTAAATTTCATCAACATACTGGACATCAGTGCTCATGATAATTGATGTGAATTTTCACTGAAATGGATTAAACAAAAGACACTTTAAAAAACTTTGGACTGCAGTGGTCACCTGTTTTGGGCAAGGAAGTCAACGATGTGGAGGGAGTTTCTGTCACCCATTCGGACTGCCAGGTGCAGCACGGTTTCTCCAGGTTCCTGAAAGAGAAAAATTCATCTCAATAGAAACAACCTTCTGATTAGCTAAAGGAAATTTTCATCAAACGTCACTGAATTCAGGCAAATCAGCAAATAATGTTCATACAAACTCTTAAAGGAAGTTTCGGCTTATAGGTAACAGTGATAACTACTGCACCGGTCAGAAAAAGAAGGTCAAAAATATGTAAATATATTGTTTTTTTTCTTTTTTAAATATATCTTTAATAAAACTACTCAGATTTCACCTTTAGAAATGAAAGTTTTTACAAGTGACAAAATCTCTGAATGTAAAAACATATAACAGGAAATAATCAGCTTATACATACATGTTCATTGGGCTGTGTACTGGCCTCCATCAGGTCCACCCCCTCAGCGTAGACCTGAATCAGGGACATGATGTCTCTGTTCTTGACGGCCTCGTACAGAGTCTGTAGCCTGGATGCTGCGTCGGCACACAGCCGCTGAGCGAAACGCTTTTCAGTGTACTTAGCCGTGATGTAGTCCTTCCTCATCTGCCTGGAAACAAAAATTCAGAGATCTCTCACCTTCATATTCAGAGACTCAGGTCACTTTAGATTCCAAAACATCAGAGTTAAATCTGGATTTGGATTATCTAACTCACATGTCACTGCTTGGATCGGGTTTAGTTATGTCCTGCGCTGAAAGGTCCGCCTCCATGATTTCATTGAAGCTGTTATTTCCCACGTTCTTCGCCAACTAAAACGCAACATGCCAGTTTAAAAGCAAATAATGGGTATTTTACATGTTGGAAAAATATGTTACAGTAGTCTTCTCGAGATGGTTAAAGTAGACTCACCAGCAGCTCCGAGGTCCCCAAGACGTCCAGGTCCAGACTCTGGATCCTTGAGTAGTGGACTCCCATTTCTCTGTGGATCCCAGAGCACTCGATGCAAATCAGAACCCCAAGGTTGGTGGACAGCCAGGTAGGAGCTGACGGGACCAGAAAGTGGAACCATTATATTTATATCTGAACGCTTTACTCACTTACTGAAGAAATGCAGATTGGAAATGAGAAATTACATGAAGTTAAACTCTAGATTTCAGAATATGTCAGGACAAAGACTAACCTGCATTTTCTACACAACATACCAGAATTTATATCAAACACTATCCAGTAACTGATTTAGATTTATCATTCTGTCATTGGGGAAAATTAAATGTGTTTTCTTTTAAAAAAAATATGCATGATTTTTCATTTTATTTAACCAGGAGAAAACCATATTGAAATTAAAAATCTTTTTCGCTAGAGTGTCCTGGCATCCTGGCATGACATCGGTACTGTGAGGGTCGATACTGATATGATGACCATTACTTCAAAACACCTGAAAAACTGGCCAATAAGTTAATTTTCCATCTCTGACTTTGATTCATGTTTATTGGGTTGATCCGTATTACTTCCAGTTTTAACGTTTTTTTAGAGACTGTTGCTCGTCCGTGCACTCTTATTCCTTGTATTTGCTTTAGTTGTTTAGTTTTCATTTTTGTTGTTGTTGTTGAATTCATACTGTTAAATATTTCAAACCTCCTCTTTCAAGAGGAGCTGTCTTTTGTTGTTGGTTCAACCTGTCACTGAGCATCAGAGTGAATATCAGTCATCACTTGTCTCCCCTGACTAATCGTTTCCGCCTGTTTTCAGGCTCTGACCCAGACAATGATGTTTGATTTCTCATTCAGTAACAACAAAACCAGCAGAGTCGGCTGCTGACAGACAGCTTGGCAGAAACTTGGGACCTGTTCGCATCTCACAGCTAAACAGAGAAACTCTGCAGCAATTCATTCCTGCAGAAACTCGTCTGACCAGCATGACTGTCAGCTGAGGAATGCACCAGGTAATACAGCTCCACGTTGGTGGCAGAGTGGTTGCTAATTACAGTGCTGGATGCAGCAGTGGTGAGAGCGGTATCTCCACAACCTCACTGGTAGTAATATTTACTTTATGCTCAGCTATCACAAACAGGATCCCTTCAGCTGCAGCCTGAGCTCTGGCTGTGTAAGTAACAGTAACAGCAGTATTAGTACCAGCAGATCTACTGACCAGGAGCTCCACAGTCGCAGCAGCTGTTGTTGCCACTCATCCTCTTCACCTCTCCTACGATGGCTTTGGTCAGCTCCTGAACGATGTTGTTCTCTCCTTCGTCCTGGTCACCTTTAAACGCTTTGTTCAGCGCCTCTTCTTTGCTGTTCTGCAGCACGGACACCCAGCTGAGACATGAAAACACCACATCAGATCAGAGCTTCAATATGGGTCAAATTTCAGGAGCAGGTGAGTGAAGTCTAATGTACTCACATCTGACACTCAGCTTCATCCTCAGCCTGGAAGTGATACGTTCTGTCATCTGTGGAGAGGAAATAAGAGATTATATTTATAAATCAGTCACCATGTTTAAGTGTTGTGTTAACAGATATAGGCGTGTCTGCTGCTCACGTGAAAACAGGTCGAAGCTCTTCTTCTCATCTGGGTTCCTTTTCACCTGGCAGGTGAGCAGGTTGAGTTTGGCGGGTGGTCTGTTCGCCTGAGAGACAAGAAGCAGGGCAAAGAATCAGACTTTAGCAAAAAGTAACAAAAAGGACAGCAAAATAGTTTTTCCACTTACTGTGCATTAAAGAAGTTTTGAGTTGTAAAGACGTTTGAAGTTGCATAAATGTGTGGGATGCAGATTTCAAACAATTTCAATAATCGTGATATCAGTGTAAATGAAAATAATAGTGATTTTGGTTTTTACTATTATCCAGCAGCCCTACCTCTCACCCACTCAATGTGATTTCAACCTCAGAGCCTCAACACATCATCAGCCTGATTTATGAGCTCATCCCTGCTGCTTTAACTATGAAAATTATTTGGTTTATGGCTGAGTAACTTCAAACTGATGACCTTGGCCTTTAACTCAACTCACATTTGTGTAGACTGCTTGCTAGCTTAGGTAAGTAGTGCTAGTATGCTAGTTAGTATGCTAAATTAAGATATGTTGAGGAGAATAATCTGACCATTAACTTTTCGTTGTTGATAATAGATTAAATATCAAATATCTGCTAAACAGTAGCATATAAGGATCATCAACACTGTGACAATGCTTTGACTCTTCTGTAAACAAAGGCCAGTTTGAGTTGGATTTGAGTCTCAGCTGGTACTGAAACCTGGAGCTGTACATCTGTAAAGACCTTCATTCAGACTCAGAGCAACAGACTGGAAAAGACACCTGAACGGCGGGTAACATAAAAAAAGCAAACATCTTCTCAAAGGGAACTCATGTAGAAACTCACAGATACCATTACACTGATTCTGGAAAGGCAGAACTTGCAGGTTCATTCATGTCTACAGAGCTGTGTAAAAAATAACACCCAGGAGCAGTTCCTGAAATACCTCAGTATTTTTTTCCTGGGTGGATCTTTTTCTACCAGCTGTGCACACAAATACACACCCCAGAGGATGAACCATTATAACCTTTCTTTGACTTTTCATTGAGGTCAACATTTAAGCATGTCAAACCTTGATTTATGACCTGTACTTGCAGAACTGCTCCAGCTCTAACTTTATATTTCCATCTTATATATGAGCATACATGTACATGTTAGCTTAAGATGCTATGCTAAGATGTGAGGCCCAGTGGAACACTGCAGTTTCATTCTTGAGATGATACATTAAGTTTATTTATTGCTGTTTTCAGTTCGCTGCTCTTTACGTATTTGTTCTCAAACCAGATAAGAAGCTAAAATAAAAAGGGTAACAATGTGAAGACTGTATCAGCGTTAAATTAGCATGTTAGCATTGACGCTGTAAGCGTGTCAGCAAGGACACTTGAGATGATAGCTTAAAGAGTAGCAAGGCAAAGCAAGAATTGCCATGTATTATGCTTATTTCTGAGAGGCTGATGTTATTAAAAAAAGTTTTTGATGTAAAATATTGCAAATTTGTTGTATTTTTAAAGCAACCCATAACCACAGAAACGTTTTAGATCAAATCAAAGCTGCTGTCTTGACAGCTCTTGGCTTCTGTAATGCAAGTTTGCCTAAGAATGGAGCCTGGTGATGTTTTAAAGTTCTGGTAGGAAGGTCTTTTAGACTGTTGTTGGTGGTTCTGGAATTTAAAAAAGTGATTACATCGTTAAAATCACCAGGATTCGTCCCCTTTGGACCATTAATATCATTATTCTTTCAGGTAAAATCTTTTAATTATATCACAAACAAAGCCCTAAAGCCCAGACGTGCTGAATATTTCTTATGCTGGGCTTTTTGTGCTGAAATCGGTGTTATGCTGTGAGAGCTGAAGCAGAAATGAAAGGTTGAAAAGTGAAATAATAAAGCTGCATTAGTGAAACCCCTCTCCCTCCCACCAAGCATCTCAGATTTGAACCAGATTTGTCCTGTTCCCACCCTTCTCTCTGTCATCCTTTTCCTTATGCTCTTTCTTCTCCTCCTCTTTCTCTTCCTCTGCTGCTTGCTCTGTCCTGATTCGCCGTTTGACTCTTCATGTAAAAACTTCAAAATAAAAGAGGAAGAAGGAAAAAAAAGAAGGAAAAAAATAAGAAAATAAAACCCAGAAGGAGACGTTTCATTGGCTGACGGCATGCAAGCAAAAGGGCTGAGCTTCTCATGCAGGAGGGCCAATAGAAGAAGAGGGTGTGGCATCTTACCGTGCCGTGGCAGATCGTCAGGAAACCGTTCTTCACCGAGCATTTCCTCTTCTGCCACACTTTCCTCAGTCTGCAAGGAGATGGGACTTGCTGACAACACATTTTGGTTCAAACAATAAACTCCTGTGTCCAGCTGAGACGGTCTTCACTAGCTCATACCAAAGGTCCAAGTTTGACATCAGCAAAATCCCAAAACATGACATATTTGGGTGCTGGTGTGATTCTAGGATGTGTTTTCTGGTAGCGGCAAGCAGCTCGCAATGAGAACTTCACCAGACTTGGGCTAAACCAGAACAAGCTAGATTTGAGTCTCAGCTGCTGTTACTAAATCCTTTAGTTGTCCAATCCATAAAGACACTCTATGAAGACTCAGAACCACAAGCTGGAAGTTTCATATTAACAGCAGGTGACTTATAATAATAAAAAAAATAACATTTAAAAAAGAGCTAACCTGGGAGCATAGTGTATAATTTTCAGGTCCTTTCGTGGAAAGCTGTGTAAAAAGTAACACCCACAAGCCCTGTCTGACTCCATATCAATGTAAAAGCAGACAAAATAAAGCGTTTCAGAGTCTGATAAGCACTGCAATGAGGGTAATCACGTGAAAATACTACAAAAGAATCTTTCAAAGAGTGCGCAACATCCCTCTAGTGGACTTTGTAGATACTGCATGTTAGCCTCAAAAGGTGATCAAGAAGTTTTTGTTGTGGTCGACTTTAAAAAAAATAAAAGTGAAGCAGAATATTTTCTGATTTAAAGTGAGTTTGTAAGTATCCGAACAGCTGCTTTGAGGAAAAGTCATTTTCCTGTGGAACTCTGGGATATGGAGTTCACTCACCCCTCGCTTTTCTTAAAGAGGAATCCGGAGCGTTCCGTGCCGTGAGCCTTGTTTCCCTGCAGCTGATGGAGGCTGTAACCTGCGTTCTGTTTGGCCTGAGTGTCCTGAAAAGACCCAAGAAACCCCCAAAAACATGAAACATCCGTGACTGTAATCTGAAGTACTGTGAGCTTCCACTAGAGTTCAGGGAAGAGGTGAGAGGGGTACAGCAAATGATAGAATACAGCTGTGACATGTAAATAACTTATTGTACCACAGTGGTCAGATTTCAGTGTAATTGACCTGAATATTTCAATCCATGACTACATGTAAAAGGCAAATATGGTCGACTTTTAGTCCACTTCATTTAGTTTTTGGTGCCAAGACTCAGGGCAACAACACAAAAGTCAAAAGCTGGTTCAGCAGTGCTCACGTGTGTGAATAAGATACTACTGTAGTTGATGTACGACATATTTTCACTCTGTTCATGGAGGACTGAGATAAGACTCAACCTGAAGATGAAATAAGATTGGATCTTATCTTGATGTTGGGTCATTTCAGACAATATAAACAAAGAGCTGACTAGACCTGCTGTTGTTGGAGAAAACATTTGTAGTGATTTGATGCTAGATAAATCAAGAGCGATTGACTGATATCTATTTAGAGAAACATCTATGATAGTCTTTATCAATGAATGTGACATGATTTCCTTTGTAGTTTTCACACAGAGCAGTTAATTGTAGGTAACCATGACAGATGAACACCATCCTCTCTCTGTAGATGATGATAATCTTTAATATCAGTACAAACTCACTTCTTTCGGCTCAGTCTGCAGCGAAGCCTTCAGGACGTCCCGCAGCTGAATCAGCTGTTTCCTCTCTCCATCCTGAGTCTGTTTGATCTGAGGAGACACACATTTATAAAATCTTATATTAAATCCGATCAGGGCTTACTAACTTGGTATCTTTACACTGGGTCTTTGTAAGCATACAGTAGTCTGGTTGAGACCAGCTTTTGTGGAGCATGTAGGGAAAACACTCGTTACGAAACAAAGATTGATTGATTGAACAAGTGTCCTGTTTCATCTTTAACCAAATAAATCACAAGTTTACTAACCTCCTAGAGGAAAAAAACAAACAAAAAAATTACATTCAAGAGGACCAGGACATCCTGAACCAATAATCCACTGCCAAAATCAGTAATTTCACTTACAGAACAGAAGTGATCTGTCTGCTGACTGATCTGGAAAGTTTGTTTGAAATCTGAACTTATCAATAAAAACACAAAAGTCAGATCACAACACAAACAGACTGACTGACTGATAGTTAACCAACAGTAGACTCAAAACTCATGTCATCATCAAAGTAAAATCATTATTTTTAACAGTGTAGTTTGATACGTTGGCAGAGTTACATAACAGCTGTTTTTGGTTAAATAATCATGTTCCTCTTTAATAAAAAAGTCTCTCTTTGTACGGATCCTTTCTGTAAAGTAATATCACAACAGTCTGTGACAATAACAGAAACTTTTAGTGGAAATGTTTTGAAACATAGGCTGTTACAAGTTGCACTTGTAACAGCCTATTTACCGGCTGCAGCATCCACTCTATATCTTATCTGTATTTGAACTGCGATAATATCTGAAAACAAAATGGGACTAAGATTAAACCCCACTAGAATTGAACTAGTTACGTGTTGCAGCCCGACAACTGAACTCTTAATATTACAATGAAGTTTTAAGTCCTCACCGCCGTCAGGTCTGTCGTCAGTTTCTCTACTGTGGGTTTCAAACTCTCCACGGCCTTCAGACCATCCTGGAAGAAACTGAACACACAAAACAGAACATTTTTAGTACACAAAAACTTTTAAAGGAAACAAACTTCTTTAAGGGAAACTTTCAGGGTAACATCGAATTATCTGTTGCTTCATTGCACAGACAACCTGATCAACAATTTATGTATACAGGCTTTTTATTTGAGACTCTATTCATCAAAACTCGCAGCCACACCCTGCTAAAACAAATACGTGGTGCCCCAGGGCTCTATTTTAGGACCACTGTTGATTACAATCATATCAACAGTAGTCATCAGAATGTCCCTAATGCAAATTTTCATGTGTATGCAGATGATAGAGTTATTTACAGCTCCACTCCAACACAGGCTCTCAGTCCTTTACATGATGCTTTTGATACTGTTTGTATTGTTCAGCATAAATAAAGCTTTTCTGATGTGCTGCTGCTAGTTATAGCCAGGAAAATCTTGGGATGGTCTTTTATTAGGAGTTTTACGGTAAGTGAAACATGTAAGAAAAACTACATGGTATTAATATGTTTATTCTTGTTTGCTATTCTTGGGTGTCACCGTTTTCTTCTAGATCAACTTGAATCTTCCTGATATCTGTTGGAATTTCTCTTTCTGAGTAATATCATGTTTGTCCTGCTTCATTCTGACTCGTGTGTGCATGTTTTTCTGCAGAGTGGCGTACTTGCACTGAGCGTGGTAATACTTGATGAGGTTCTGGAGGAAGTCGGCGCCTTTCTTCACTTTGATCTCGTTCACTTTCAGGAGATACTGAACAGAGAAACAACACAAGAGGAAAAAATAATGATTCTAAAAGACTATTCTGACTTTTTTGACATGTTCCATCATTCTCCGTTCAACCATGTACTGTTCAATTTACATGAAATGTTGATATCAGTAGATATCGTTCACCTCATTTGTTACCTCACCTCACACATCTGCAGCTGGAAGAGTCGTCTTTCTTTCTCCATGTCTTCTGCGATCTCTCCTGCTGTGAACTCAGTGCGGATCATCCCGTGTTGCTTGGCGTGCTCGCGCTTCTCCTTCTCGATTTTCGCTCTGCAGAGGTCAAAGGTCAAATTCAAAACTCCAGGAATCACAGATACATTTCTAAAACTTCTAAAGAGGCCTCTTTATGTCTTACAGCTTGGTCTCATAATCCTTCCAGGCCTTGTCAAACGGCTTCTTCAGATCCTGGAGGAGGATAAAACGTCATGTGATTAATGAGGGCCTCGACCAATCACATTGCAGCATTCATTCATGACAGTGAACACAGTGAGAGAGGACTTTGACCTGTGATTCATTCGGGAAGTATGTCAGGATACGCTGCACGCTATCAGAGTTATTTTACAGATAAAAACACGGCAGGGAGGCCGAACACCGACTACACTGACCAGGTCCTCTTATTTGAGTGTCTGAACTTCTTTCATTTTCATTTTTTATGGGTAAAAGACTGTTTAAATATTTGCCTGAGCTCATGTAGTTAGTTTGTTCAAAGGTTCATGCAACTACTTTTTGACATTATGAGAGTTAAAATTAGAAAAATCCAAAGTGTCCATGAAAAGTTCTTCATAACAATCGTCAGAGATTTTCAGGCCAACAGAGCAAACGTCACACTGACCCCTTTGACTCCCTTCAGGTCTCCTTTTAGCAGACTGTCCAGAGGAAACGTGATGATGTTGTTCATGTTCTGCAGCTGAAAACAAGAAGTCGTGTCAAAGCTCAGAGCTTGAGTATCATCGTATAAAAACCTCTAAAGGTCAGTTTCACATTTACGTTCGACCCCGCTGTGGGATGAACTCCCTTACCAGGTTTTTGAAGAGCGCCGTCATCTCTTTGGTATAAACTGCGAATGTTCGGAAAGCCGAGCCGACCTCAGCGTTCTCCCTGCTGGCACAGTCTCCAAACTTCTCCATGGACTGGATGAACTGCTCCTCATTTTCCACGTGATCTGAGACCCACAGAAAACATGTTAGACTACGATATTTAGCACATAACCACATAACTTTTGAAATGGAGGGGATTTTTTCCACATTAATTTAAAGGAAATAAACCTGGAAAACTATGAAATCAAAAAATTGAATTGCTGCAACAGAAGATCCAAACAGGGAGTTTTCAGACCGCCAGAATCCAAGTTTTTGCATACTTGTTCTTACTGAGAAAAATAGACTTGGTCATGTTTTGGTCAGAAGAAAACATGCTCAGCTGGCACTGATGGTGCTGGTATTCAGAGATACTGACAGCCCAGCTTTGCTAGTCTGGGAAATATTTCTTCATGTCACCTTTTATGATCATTTAATCATTTCTGGTGGCTGCTGTGTCTTTCAAAAAGAGCTCTTGGAGACCTGGTGCACAGCTGCACTGAGTGTCTCCACTGTACCCAGCTGATTAATACTGCTTAAAGCTTACAGCACCACCCTGATGGGTTGATGTGTCATGGTTCTGCACACTGTCTTTCTGTACCTGATAGAAAATGAGAAAATAAAAGATGCATGTTCATACAGTCTGGAGGTTGTTGTGGCATGGTGTGAGAAAAGGTCTAATCTTCCACCCCCCTGGCTGACCTCTAACTGTGTTCATCTGCTGTTTGGACATGGTTTAGCTTTGTGATGCATTTTTTTAAAAAATATACACGTAAAAGCAAAGAGTATGCTGCGAAAATGAAAAATTAGGGTTTGAGCTGAAACTCTTCATGGAGCCATAAAAACATGGTAAGAGCTCCTAACTCAGCAGCTACATCCTCTCATTCTGATTTCATTCACTGAAATAACCAAACATTGTAACTGTACCTCCAAAACCAAAACTTTCCAGGGAGTAAGAGGAAAACTTGATTTTTTTCCCACGCAACTAAACACTGCATGGGAATCCCTAACAAACTTTTTTACAATCTTTTAAATACAACATGTGATGAAATGTGCAGATCTGAGGTTTCTGTCCAGCAGGAGTTCAGACGATCATATCACAATCAGTTTAAGGAATAAACTATAACGTTGGTTTACTTCACTGGACCATGAGGGTGTTTGGTATTATTTGATCTTTTTTCCTCTCTGTGTCAGTACAGGCAGTTTGGTTGATGAGGCGGGAGTCTCCCTATGCATGCTGGGACAGGAGCGCAGTATGACAGGAATGTTTGGAAGTGAGACTCCACCTGCCTGAACACAAACCCACCACACAGTCTCTGAAGACCTGAACGCACCGCCGACTCATTGTTCACTGTGGTGTTTCCAGGAGACTTCAGAGAGCTGTAACAGGTTCAGTTCTTGGAGGGGGACTGAAACAAAGCTGAGGTAGAACAGCAGGTCTGTCTGAGCTCCACAGCAGAGTCGAATTTTCATTCAGAAACTCCCAACAGTTTCTAAATATCAAATCCTTACAATACAAGTTTTGGACTTTGAAAATTTTTATTCCGGTCACGGAGTCTGCAGTCTTAAGAAGTCTGCATTAAGACAGACAGACAGCTTCTGACCTGATTTGACTTTAAATTTGGCCGAATCAAGAAGTTACTGACACTATAGAGAGTGATGAGGAGACCGCAAAGTTACCTGATGAGGACTGAGACAGAGACTGATCTGTGAGTGGATTTTTTAAGTTGTAGTTCTGTGTTTGTGCAGACAGGAAGTGACTAGCAGAGTGAGGTTTTGTGGGTATTTTGGGACGGACTGCGACGAGACTCTGTTACTCACTCAGACCCGAGGTGTTGATGGCTTTCACCGACTTCTTGATCTTGTAGAGAACTGATCTGTCCACGTCTAGAGCCTGAGGAGGACAAACAGATTCAAAGGGAGGGTCAGGAGGCCACAGCTTCAACCACAGCAAGCCAGTTTGACACTCTGGCTCTACATTCAGACAAATACACACATACAAAGAGTCTGTCTATGTGTCATATCTCTCACACTGATGGGCCCCTCAGTTTTGTCAGGGTGGATCTTACAACAGAAGCAGCAGAAAGGCTGAGGTGTGTTAAGAGATAAAACAAGATTATAATAAATAACATTTTCACTGACTGATCACTTTGCTGTTCATCTTTTTGCAGCTTCATATAAGCACTAATTTAAACAACTATCATCTGATAGTTTATTTTATTGTTTATTAAGAGCCTCAAGTCTGTCTGGGAAGCAGCTGTGCATCTTTAAACAGGAGAAATGTCACCCTGTTTCATCTCCCGTCCCTCTTTAGCCTTGAAGGACACCTACATGCTGTATAACCACTCACAAATTTAGAGCTCTAGATCATCGCTGCCTTTTTTCCTTCTACTGCCAGTTTGCTGTCGTTGTTGGAAAGAAGTGACGATCAGATTTGATTCTTCATCATCCTCTGACTCTTTTTTAAGACCAGCTGAATAAAATCTTCCTGCTGCTTCTGCAGCGTTCAGTTATCATAGCAAGTCACATGTTTTAGACGAATTCTTAATGAATTAATGACACAGAAAAATACTCAAACTGTATTATTCTGAACATCATAATAGAATTCATATTAAACAGTTACAGATACGTAAACATTGGCAGCAGACACTGATGAAACTGCCTGCAGTGTCTGCAGACTTGAACTCTGAGAGGGGCTGAAATATTGACACCTATAGAGGTAAACTGAAGGTCTGTTTGTTTGGCTTTTAAACATGATATATTACCATTGCTTTGATTTCTAATTAATTTAACATTTTTGGTTGATTTTTGTATCAAATTATTGACATTTTATTAATTACCAACCAATTTTTTTAACTTCTCATCTGTATTTTTTTTTGTCATTATAACTTTTTATATGATTGACCCTTTCACCTTTGAACTCTTTTATTGTTTTTATTACATTTATTTTATTTATACTGATCTGCATTAGTCTTTACCTCTGAATCCATTTTCTGTTTTTTCTTTTTTTTATGTATCTAAAGTTCAATCATCATTATTTGACTTCCTGTTGTCCAATCAATTAATAAGCTTGTCATTATTTTTGAATCTGTTTTGTGAATAAATTAGTCAGCCTTACTGATGAATTGGTCTATTTCTAGATTATAGTCCTCTAAAATGTGTTTTACAGCTGCTAAATCCACAGAATTTAAATTTAATGGAGTAAATTATGCAAACACACTTGAGTTTCACATCACTTTTGAGATCCAGAGTCGGCGCTGACTCGGTTTAATGTCTGAAAAAACAAACAGCTTCTTTTTTTCTTCAGTTTGATAGTAAAAGTAAAAGACCTTCAGTCCTACCTTCAGTTTTTCACACTCAGTAAAAGTGTAAGCGGCCTTCACACACTGAACAGGAAACAGTTTTAGTTTCAGACTAAAACAATTCAAAAGCGTGAATGCAAAAACTTTATTGTCCTTCCTCCAGTAAAATCATATTAAGGTCACATCAGGAGGCTGCATGTAAATGAGCAGCTGAACAACATCTAATCAATGCAAATAAACTGATCTGATCTGCAGAGGATCAGCTCAAACAGACCAGTGAAGGTGTGTTAGAATGCTCATTTCTTTTTAGAGATCCAGAATTGGGCGAATAAAGATTCATTCTTTATGTTTGCAAAGACCTGAAAAATTCCAGCAATAAACTGACTCTCAGACACCTGGAAACACCTTAAAGCCTCTGGAGACTCTTCCAGGACCAAAAGGGACAAAAGTTTCCAGGAATTCAGGAGCTTGGCCTGATAAATCCAGACTTTTGTTGTGTTTTATTCTCATATTCTGACCATGTTTATGGATTTGTTTTTTAAAGAAGCTGAACAGAGCTCAGAAACAGGAACACTGATCTACTCGTAACTCTGTCAGTTCACACCGTCAGCACTTTAATCGTCCTGAGCTTGGAGCTTTCTGCAGCTGAGTCACAGCTCGGTGAGTCAGCACGTGAAACATGCAGACCATCCAGAAGCTCGGTTACTCTTTGACTCAAAGATAAAGTCGAGTTTGTGCCGAAAACTGACAACTTGAACAAACAGAATATGGTCCTGGATAAAAACATCACCACAGTACAACCATTTAATCACAGTGTTTACATGGACTTGAGTACCCTGGTTATGAGCCTCACTCTGGTGTTGATCATATTTGGTAAATTCAGCCTCCCAAACACAGATGACTTTGCAGAAGAAGCACATGTAAAAAAAGAGTTAGACGCATTGTCGCTAAACAGGAGGTCAGATCTGCTTCTGTAAATAACCAACACTAGTTCTTGGCACCTCTAAATATCTTTGGTCTGTGGCATTAGTTTTTCATAAACACAGGTCAGTTAAAATTTCAGTACCGGCCTCTTATGTGGGTCTTTATGTCAGATGACTGAAATAAGCAGCTGCAGGTCTCTGATCTTTCTGAGGTTAAAAATACATCTTAAAAAAGCTCCAAAGACCTAAACCTGGAGCATATTTTCAGCTTTCAAACCAACAAAGTCCTGCTCTGACCTACCTACCTGCCTGCAAACTTATTTTCATATGCGCTAGACACACTGACAACACTGCTGAAATTTTCAAATGCAGGTATTTCTAAAGCTGCATCATGAGAGACATTTGGTCTTGAATAAAAGCGCCTGTTACGTTGCAAGAATAACCAAAGAGGACGTTTGAGAAGTGAAAACTTTTCAATGAGATATTCAGGTTTCTTTAAACTGTCCTGTGTAGCACTTTCTCTTTTCTTTTTAAAGAAACCTCTAATATCATTCTATCTAAAAACACATTTTTATTGATAGGCTTTACACGGGGCGCATATTAAACCCTCAGTTGTAACTTTTATTTCAATTTCAGGCAGTGTAACTGCAACATCATGGGTTTTTAACCTCTAAATGTCTACATTTTTACCTTTTTTTCCTCACATCATTTTTTTTTCTTTCATATATTGGTGGATTTTTGCCTTCGTTACTTATTTAATGCTGCTACATTGTGTTAATCATAATTCTACTCTCATTTCTGCCTCATTTCTCATGGGCTGAAAAGTTTGGGAACCCTCTAAACAACACAAAGACCTACTTAAGACATCTCAGCTTGCTCAATGATATATAAAAACCTCAAAACTGGTTTGAAAAATTGTGATCTCATCATCTATCTCTGAAAATCTTTGGTGCAGAGTTCCAAAACACCTGAAAATAAACTCTTTAAAACACGATCCTTTGACAAAATGAATAATATTTGCATCTCTGTCTTAAATTATGTTTCACTTTTCTGAGGTGTACCAGTGTAAGCTACACTTGTATTATCATCATTATAGATATCATTAATATTGGCAGACCATCTGCTGGTCTCAGTTCCAGTCTTGGTAGACAGCTGTCCTTCAGTGATTCTGGTTCTGCCTGAGTTTTCTGCCTGTTGAGAAAGTTCTTCTTGGTTAAAGTATATCAAAGTTGGGTCTCTGTAAATAATATCACATTCGTAATGTGTCCTGAAATAACTTTGGTTTTTATGATTTGGCCCTTTGTAAATGACCCCTCTTTAAAGTCTTCACAGTGTACACTGACACCTGATCTGTTTGGGATCATTTAAATAATTACGCTGCTGATGAAAAAGCTACATCCCTACACTTTAAACATGTCAGGACGTGACAGAGGAGTTTTAAAACGCTGTGAAGGAGGACGGACAGTTTAAGAGAGGAGGATATGGCGGGAAGGATCCATTGGAGATACTTTAAAGGCCCCAGACAGGGTGAGACGGGTCCTGTTCAGACTCGATCAGACAGGTGAGTCATGGACCTGTGTGGCTGTGATCGTCCCAGCATGCATCAGGAGGGGAAGACACTACACACTGTTCAGACCTGCGTTTATAAAAAAATCTTCAATCTCCTCAAAGGATGGTTGAGATTTCCTCACTGAGCATAGAGATAAGAGATCTGCAGAGAGGTGAATGAGTGATTTTTTGTGGACAATAGATTATGTTTATTTACCTGGTGTGCGGTTATATGATAATGAGATGGAAACAAACACAGACGCAAATGGATAATTAAATACACATGAAGAAAAATGATTTAAAAAAATAGAAAATAACAAACTATAGATAAAAAAGGAACAAACAATGTAGAAAAGTGGAGATATTGATGTCTGAAGATAGTCAAGCAGATATGAATGAAGCTAGAGATAAAAAAGATATATGAAAGTGAGGCCAAATCTAAATCCATCCGTAACAAGAAAACAGAAATCTAAAAACACTCATAGACTCACGAGTGGGCTGAAGCCAAACTGCCACAAATGTCCATGTTTCTAATTTCCATCTTTTGTCAACAGTTTGGAGGACATTTCACTGTCTGTTTCTTGCTTCAAAGTTGCACCTTCTTCTCTCTTCTGCATTAGATATCGACTTTCTTTACCTGTGCCTCAAACACAGCTTTGCAGAGGACATGAAGTGACATTTGCTTCACTTTTCTAGCCAAAAAATAGCAGATGTATGGGCTGTTTTCTGCTGTATGATTAGCCACCGAATGTACACTCTGAGTAAAAATTCCCTTTATATTACCGTCATCAACTTAGGTTTTACTTCCTGTCAAGTGGTCTTTATTAGATCCTTGTTTTAAAGGTCAAGAAAGTTTTTATTGTCTCTGTATAATTTGCAAGATAGGAAGATAATAAAATTAAGTCCTGTCAATAAATAATACTAAAACAAACACAAATGATGATAAATGAAAACTGCATCTCTAATAAACCAGATTTAAAGGGCAATACCAACAATGTGACTGCTTTACATTTTCCACTGCATCTCCTCATGTAACCTTTGACCCCTGACTGCTAATTCCTGTCAACAAAGCTGTACCATCATCCCTATATTGCAAAACCGAGAAGCAGCTTGTAAGTCTTACAAAATGAAGAGCTGCAAAAGATTGAGCTCAACTGCTACTTTAACAGGAGGAAGTGTTTCTCTCTGTTCCTCTTTTCAGCCAAAAACTAACAAATTATCGAACACCCTTTATAAACTGGAAATATGAAGGAGTTGCACAAAGAGATGGTGGAGTGACAGAGGCCTGCAACACTGATCTACTGATCTGAAATAAAGTCAAGAGTTTTATAAATCAAGTGGTGACAAACCCATAAGACCAGTATGTATACTTGTTGATCTGCTTTTATGAGGACAATGGGAAGTTTAAACGATTAACAAAATCCCTGGTTTGATTCATACCAGTTCACTCCCATTTACAGTAACAGGGCATGTATGGACTTTCCTACCTCCTCCAGAGCTGCCACCGCGTTCCTGCAGTGGGACATCCGTGTGGTGAAGCTGGAGGTGGTTGGAGCTTTGTAGTCCTCATTAGTCTCTGAGATAAACTCAGTCACAGATATGAGCTCCGGCATCCTGATCGGCTACAACAAATCAAATATGAAAAACTAAAACGATCTGCAGTCAAACACGCAGCCCCAGGTGAGCACAGCAGCCACACCTGGACGGAGTCAAAGTGATCCACAGTGTCACAAACGGCCACCAAAGATCCTCTCCTGGGTCCGGTTATCCTTGTTCCTCATAGCTGAAGTTTTGAATCAGTTTTCCTTAAACTCCGGGTGAGGTTTCCAGGATTTATTTCCATGATTTGTCCCACTGAGAGGCCCGAAGAGCACGGACAGTCCCGACACAAACCTCCGTCCTGCCGCAACTGACACCACCTGAGGAAACTGCACCGCGCTGGGCGGAGACACACAGAGGGGGAGCGGCAAGAGGTCTCACTCCGCTGCTATTTCCGGGGCCCACAAACACCAACAGAGTATGGAAACAGGAAGTTTACAAGTAAACACCGGGTTTAAACTAACTTCACATCTGTAATTGATCTCAGGAGTTGTACCTTTAATACTTATTATCTAAAATCACTCCACCACTTGCAGAGAGACGTGTATAAGAAAATGAGCTTCACTTTCACTGTTATGGTCTCAATCATTAGTTTCCTTTCCTCTTCAACACATTGTGGTCTACTGCTGAATTACAGAGATGACTATGCAGGATACTTTCACTCCACAGCTTGTTTTTACTTGGTTATGAAGTCAGCTGTTAAGTCAGCATTAAAAATTATAAGAGGGAACTTGTCTTTTTTAGTTGTCTTATTTGCTTTAGTAAGTTGTGTGATTGCATCAGTGTGAATTTCATCCTGTTTCATAAGCATTTTGATGCTTCAAGTAATGTATCAACATTTGCACTCTTGACACACCACACTTTATATGACTGAAAATTGTCACACTATAAAAATCCCCACTGGCACACTTAATACTAAGCAGCTCTTAAGTCCTATACCGGGATAATGTACACACTGAATACAGCAAATAAGTATTTGTGAGGATTGTTTTCTGTATAAATTCAAAGCTTTTGTAGATGTGGCAGCAACATTAGTTCCTACTGTCATTTGTTGACATTATTTACCACCACTTGTCAAAAGTTTCATTTGCAGTTTGATTGTGTGAATTATACTTTTAGGTCTATTCTCTTTTACTTCACACTAGCACTAGTATTTGTATTTAACATGTATGCCCTCTGCTGGACAGACCGGAGAAGCACACCCCACGTTGTATTGTGTTGACTGTATTATAGCTGCTGTAATGGAATTGAAATATGTTTAAATAGGTTATTTTGTTTGAAATGATATTTATTCACATAGAATAGGAAGGATATCTGAATTTAAACTCAAGTGATATTAATTTACTAGTGTATTTTTGGCTGACTGCTTTGCTGTGATAACATTATAGGTTTATATTACAACTGGTTTACCTTATACAGCCTTATAGGTTTGTCCACGGTAGAGTAGTTAACTTACCCTAAGATTAAATACCTTTAACTAATTTTTTGCCTTTGTGCTGTACTGGTCAAACTGTTTATGATCTATAATTGTGTTTCCTTCCTTTCTTCTGGAGCTAAAAAAATAAATAAAAGTTATAGCTCTCAAAAAATAAATAAATAAATAAATAAAGTAAAATGAATAATGAATAAAAATAAAAATCCCCACAATTTAAGGCACTGTGTTTAATCAAAATGAGATAACATTTTTTTTTACTGATTTCTTTGTCCAAAAAATATTTATTTTCTTTTAAAAAACTATTTCAGCGATAAATGGGACTTAATTGTTTGCAAAAATGTTAGTTTCTATCTCCTTAAATGATCAAACCTTACTTTCCTTCAGTTCTGGTATTAACACACACCCATGCTTCTCTTGACCTATTCACATGCTAGCTCCTAATCCTTTCTCTTTCTGGTCTGTTGGCTTTTTTCATCTGTATATTTTAACCAAAACACTAAACCCAGATTTAATACAAACAAACATCTCAAACAAACACTGCGTACATTAACTCTTGTCAGGAGTGAGCACTCCATCTTTCCAAATGTAGACAATCTGTGTCACCTGCCTCGAGGTGTGGAGGTGGTCCTAACCGTTATAACGACATTTCTGTCGCCTTGGCTTTGTACAAGAGAGACTTTGAGTAATCACCTGGTTCATTCTGTGCTGATAATCAGAAGTTTATTGATTCTGTGTCTGATAAAACTTTATGAATGTTTACCCACAGTTCACATTTAATCTCAGGAGATTATATACTGCATATTTTGTTTACTAATACTGCTGTTTATAATAACTAAGATTTTAAATTGGGTGAAAACAGGGATTCCTGTATGAACCCATGATTAAAACACTGCTGCATTAGTATTGGGATGCCCAAGCTACATCAAGCTTAGATTGCAGTTGTGCTTTTCCTGTTACACTCTGATGACACAAGACCTCTAGTTTGATTTTCTGCAAGTTCCCTTTTTACTTCACTTTCCCCTTTTCACTCTCTTTGTCTTATGCTGCAAATATAAGGAAAATTAGCTTATTAAAGTTACAGGGAATTACAGTTAGAGTTGGGTTTTTTTTGTAAGTGTAGATGTATGAGGTACTTTCAGAAGCAAGTGCATTACAGGGGATCCTAATCAGCTCTGCCTCTGTTGAGAAAACAGCTGCAAAACCAGAAAAGAAGCTCAGACACTATTAAGAATTCGATCATTACAGCATTACACTTGCTCTTGAAAATACAAATATTAGAAGAATAGAAAAGGGAATGAAAAGTCTAAACATTATGAAGAGTGTGGAGTGGTAGGCCATTCGTAAGGCAGGGAACTCTGCCTCCTGTTAAGTTTCACACTGACATCAAAACTAGTTAGTGGTTGAACAGGTGAGTGTTGAAGACACCCAGGCATGTTGATGCAGTTGTACTATTTGTCCAGGAGATGGGGCTAAATAAGCATATAACTGTTTTACAGGTGCTATGACCAAAGTACTTCACTGTTAGCCTGGCTGGGCCATCCTGTAGCATGAATCACTTGCCGTTTCTTCCCACACCTGATTTGGGGTGTACATAAACAGAGCATTTAACGTTTTTCCACATAGGAATACAGCAATGCCATTGTAATCACTCCCATCAAACAGCTATAGTTGATATTCATGTAATAAACCACTCTTAGACCTTTGTAACCAGTTTGAAAAGGTTTGTCTCTTTCTATTAATATTTGACTCATTTCAGTCTGGACATGAACACAGACTTTGGACTGTATTTCAATAATAAAATAATACCTGCTGCTGCCAGTTACATGATCTTTCTCTGGTTGGTTTCCTGAGAGAAGTTCCTGATTAATTTCGCCTTCACTTGGCTTCATGCAGTTTTTCACCGTCAGAAGGTAACATTTCATCATTTTTGTGGCGACATCTGTTACCTAAACTAGAAACAGTACAGATAGTAATGACTTGCGTGGCACAGGTGTAATGAATGGCATACCAGACAAAACAAGGCAATCTTGGTATGACTGAGTGTCAAGGAAAATGGAAATGTAATATACAATGTTTGCTACTCTCTTAGCTGGTGTTGCAGTTGTGTCTCAGTAAATTGTACTTATAGAGGAGAAATCCTCATGAAGAAAAGTGCGCTAAACATACAGGATAGATTTATTGCAGGACTATAACCAATAAGAATGTTATCATTGTACGATCCACTTCTCTACTTAGCCATGCCAACTTTAAGAAAGCTCACTGTGTGCAAGTAATTTAAGGAGTAGCACGGACATAGCATGTGCTATGTGTGCATTGATAAATAAGACATCTTTTAAAACATTGTTTTTTCATGTAGCATTACGCACAAATGGGAGGTGGAGATGAGGTTCAGGCACAGTCATCTAGAAAATGTTTTTTAAGTGTTTACAGTAGAACAGGATGTACATGTGCTCAGTGAAATTTTATTCTGAGGATTCACACTCAGTGAAGAAACCCTCTCCATAACATCCTCATCACAACATCTTCTGCTACTCTACAACAAGTAAGAATTAATTTTAAAGCCAACCAGATGCCCCCCTGTTTCTCTACAACCCAAGCATATGGGTAGATACTGAGACACACAGAGAAAATATTTCTCAGGTCCTTACTGGTTTAAAGTGGAGGTGAGTGCTTCTAAAGTGCAAGGGGGAAAAGTACAGTTTTGACTTCTTGATCAGATCTTATTACTTGAACCAATAATAGAAACAAGTAGTCTATTGTAATGAGACGGCTGGTGATTTGAACAATTCTCTCATGAATTATGAAAAAGGAACAAGTTATGATCCAAATTTATGACTGAATGAATTTGAAAAGATTAAGTTGCACAGGTTAGTCATATGGACTATTTACATCATTAGCGTATAACAAATAGATGTTGGATCTCATAAGTTTTTTGCAGATATTTACGATCAACCTTGATCATTGGGTCCAAGAAGCACTTTTGTTATCTCATTCTCTGGTTGATAACAAAAGTGCTTTTCCGTTTTAGAATAACCCACAATGACACTGAATGATGCATGAGAAAATATACTACAAAGAAAAAAAAGAAATTTATGTTCAATATAATCAGCAGACCCAACGCATAAACTACCAGACTCAGTATTCTCTGTGTATTTTCAAGATCTAATTTTTTCAGTCTTTTAAAGAGGACACTGTCTTGGCGTTAACCTTGTAAACACAAAAGGAAACGTACAATAACTGAACTGAACTATTAAAAGCTCAATTTGAGTTTTATTGTAAACAAAGACAAAGTTGTTAAACAGGAACAGTTGCTGCAATTGTGGTCTCTGTCCATGAAAATCTGTTGAATTATTTGTTAAGTGCCAACTGGTGGGAGAATCAGAAATGACGTGTCAGAGTGCATTTTGCAGCTGTGTTATATAAAGTTTGTTGTAATGAATGAAAATAATTTTTGTGTGAAGGTGAGAGCTCTGCTATGAATCAGCGTGAGAGGAGAAAGGAGAGAGCCCTACCTTCTAAAACCACCCTGTGAGGGGACATGACAGCCAGACCAAAGCTCAGAGGTAAGAATCTCGAACTGTTCATGACTCTTCTCTTAGTCAGAGCTCAGCACTATATCATTATTTTTACTCAAAACTCTGTGTTGTGTTGAAGCCCAGATAAGCGGCACAGACCAGACTCTGCCGAATTTGGACGGCTTTGTGTCCATGAAGAATGATAAATCTGTGGCAGAGCCTTTTCTTTCCAGAGAGGGACAGTCCTCAGTTTATGGAAGGTATGGATGTAATTTGTCTGTAATTATCTGTTCTTGTTGAGATGAGTTTTAATCTCTAAAAGTTTTAAGCTGGGCTAATAGCTCTCAGAGGAATCTCAGAATATTTGTGACAATTGGCACTGGTCTTTTTACAAATTTGCTTATAAAACTTAGGCTTATCCTAGCCACAGACTAAGGATAGTAGTTTTAGGTTTAAAAAAAAAAAAGAAGAAGAAGATTGAACCATGTCATGTGTTGTGAGAAAAAACCCATCAAAATATGGTCAAACCTTTAATTCTTTCTTTTAAATCATTAGGAACACTGAGGGGGGATCACATTCTCCAGAGGCAAGCTTTTTGTCCATGAAGAGTGACAGATCTATATACAGACCCATCGAGTTCAAATATGGACAGGACTCTGCTGATCAAAGGTACAAACATTAAAAGTCTTGTACTATCTGTTGTGGCTGAGATGTTTTTTGATGGCTTTGTTTTGAATAAATAGCCCTTCAAAACTTATTATAGTGGGCACAGATATTTGACCAGGAACTAGCTGATAAAAGACAAAAAGCCAGTATTCACAGAGTTTTATGGTTTGTCATCACTGGGCTTAAATTACAGCTTCTTACTGCCCTTTTGCATAAGAAGATGCAGGATGCTCAAATGAACTATTAACATGATTTCAGAGTAAAAAAACTTCCAGGAACACATTAATTTTCTCATTTCTTTTTCTGTAAATCAGAGGGTACAGAGTGAAGGGAAAAGATTCTCCAGAGCCAAGCTTTTTGTCCATGAAGAGTGACAGGTCTATATACAGACCCATCGAATTCAAACATGGACAGGACTCTGCTGATCAAAGGTACAAATGCTAAAAGTCTTGTGCTGTCTGTTGTGGCTGAGATGTTTTTGATGGCTTTGTTTTGAATAAAATAGCCCTGCAAAACGTGGTTGGTCCTGCACTTGGGAAGTAGCAGTCTGCCATTGAACAGGCTCCTTTGGTTAATAATGACGGTGTTCAGAGGGTGACTGGCATCCTCCATAATGTCTAGTAATTTGTCCATAATTCTCATCTCTGCAATCGTAAACAGAGAGTCCAGCGTCATGCATACCACAGAGCCGACTGCTCTCCTGGCAACCACAGACTGATAAAACATCTGCAGGAGTTTACTGCATATGTCGAAAGACCGCAGCCTCCTAAGAAAGTACAGCCTGCTCTGTCCTTTCCTGTACATTTGGTCCATGTTTGATGTCCAGTCCAACTTGCTGTCCAGCACAGTCCAAGTTACTTGTATAAGTATACAGCCTCCACCTTGACTCCTTCTGGTCATGGTGGAACTGGTCTTGACCTCCCAAAGTCAATGACCAGCTTCTTGGTCTTCAAGGTGTTGGGGTACAGATGGTTCCTGTGATGCCAGACAGCAAAATCCCTCACCAGTGGTTCAGCAGCACAGGTCTTGAGTAGTCTAGGCCACACCTTGTCTGAAACAACTGCTGTCCTTGGCTGTACCTTCCTCAGTTGACCTCTTAAGTCTGTGTTGAGGTGGGGGCTAAGGAGGAAGAGGGGAGTACTGTGATAACTAAGGGGAGGTGTGTTGAGGGAAGAAAGAAAGATGGTTGCAGTGAGAGGGAGGGCAGGGGGGACACAGGCTGGTTGAACCTGTTGAAGAAGTTGTTCAGTTCATTCGCCCTCTCCACTGTTACCTCTATGGCTCTGGTCTTGCTGTTGTGGCCTGTGATGGTAATCACACCTTCCCAGACCTCCCTCCTGTTTTGATTACAATATGAATGAATATGAATACAATATGGTTTAAGTCAGTGTAAGTTGTTTGAAATATGTCTTGTGTTGTAAAATACACAAAAACTCTTAGCAACATGATCATAACCTTCATCTTTCTTTTAAATCGTTAGGAACACTGAGGGGGGATCACATTCTCCAGAGCCAAGCTTTTTGTCCATGAAGAGTGACAGGTCTATATACAGACCCATCGAGTTCAAATATGGACAGGACTCTGCTGATCAAAGGTACTAACATTAAAAGACTTGTACTATCTGTTGTGGCTGAGATGGTTTTTGATGGCTTTGTTTTGAATAAATAGCCCTTCAAAACTTATTATAGTGGGCACAGTTATTTGACCATGAACTAGCTGATAATAGACAAAAAGCCAGTATTCATAGAGTCTTATGGTTTGTCAACACTGGGCTTAAATCACAGCTCCTTATTGTCCTTTTGCATAAGAAGATGCAGGATGCTCAAATGAACTATTAAAATGATTTCAGAGTAAAAAAAAAAATTCCAGGAAAAATTAATTTTCTAATTTCTTTTTCTGTAAATCAGAGGGCACAGTGTGAAGAGAAAAGATTCTCCTGAGCCAAGCTGTTTGTCCATGAAGAGTGACAGGTCTATATACAGACCCATCGAGTTCAAATATGGCCAGGACTCTGCTCATCAATGGTAAGAATTGTTTGTTATTGTCTGCCTTATGTTCCAGAAAGATATTGATGTTCTCCTTTTTTTGACCTAGAAGTATAGACAGAAAAAAGTTATGGTAGGCACCAAGTAAATAAATTATTATCTTTTACTCACTAGGAAAAATTTGAAGGAACTAGATTCTCCTGAACCTGTCCATGTGTCTGGAAACAGTGATGGGTCCATGCATGTGCCTACTCAGTTGAAATCTGGAGACTCATCAGCTCACCCAAGGTAAAAAAAAAAAAAAAAAAGGAAAACGAAACAAAATGTATCTGTTTTTCAAATCTTGTCACAGGCTTATAATTTAGGTGCTTTTTTCTAACATTTCATGCGTTATTTTTTTACAGTAAGTACACAAAGTTAAGTTTCTGTTCCACCATGACTTTATTTTTACAAATAACTTCTGCATGTTTGTTTCCTCCACAGAGTTCTTGAACACAACATTAAGGTTCCTGATCGTCAAACAAGCCTGGACTCCATCTTTGTGGTGTGTGTGAATATTCATGTTGCTGCTGATAAATCCATCCACAAACCAAATACTAGCCCACAATATAATTAAGTCTCTATATTGCACTCCACTCTGCAGACAAGCAGGCTTTCTATCTGTGACTGATGATTTAGCTGTTGTTCTTCGAGTTACAGTTTACATTTTGTTCTGTTTCAGTTGCTTGAGGAGAACATTATCAGTTTTGTAAAGACAGAATTGAAGAAGATCCAGAGAGTTCTGAGTCCAGATTACCCAGAATGTGCAGAGACTCCAAGAGAAGATGAGGGTAGAGGGCAGGGAAGGAGCAGAGAGGCATTTTTGAGGATCACTCTGCACTTCCTGAGGATGATGGAACGTGATGAGCTGGCTGACTATCTGCAGAGCAGTAAGAAGATTTGAACAGATTTGCCATGATTTAAAAGAGGAAATGGAGACAAATTGGGAGATGTTTGCATTTAAAAATATACTGTTAATACGATGCACACATCTGCATCACATCTATGAACTGTAAGAGACTGCTCAAAAATGATTAGCTGATGAGCTCCCACAGAAGAGGAAAATAAATAATATGTTTTCCATTTTAAATTCATCTGCTTCATCATTTCTTCAGTTAAGTAATTACATTTCTTTTTTGTTTATTCAGGAACTATTGCTGCAGAGTGCAGACACAAACTAAAGTCTAATCTGAAGAAGAAGTTCCAGTGTGTGTTTGAGGGGATTGCTAAAGCTGGAAATCCAACACCTCTGAACCAGATCTACACAGAGCTCTATATCACAGAGGGAGGGACTGGAGAGGTGAACAGTGAACATGAGGTCAGACAGATTGAACAAGTGTCCAGAAAAACATACAAACAGCAAACAACTATCAGACAAGAAGACATCTTTAAAACTTTACCTGGAAGAGATGAACCAATCAGGACAGTGATGACTAAGGGAGTGGCTGGTATTGGGAAAACCGTCTTAACACAGAAGTTCACTCTGGACTGGGCTGAAGATAAAACCAACCAGGACATCCAGTTCATATTTCCGTTCACCTTCAGAGAGCTGAATCTGCTGAAAACGAAGGAGTTCAGTTTGGTGGGACTTGTTCATCACTTCTTCACCGAAACCAAAGACGCAGGAATTTGCACATTTCAAGACTTCCAGGTTGTGTTCATCTTTGATGGTCTGGATGAGTGTCGACTTCCTCTGGACTTCAACAACAACGAGATCCTGACCAATATTTCACAGTCCACTTCAGTGGATGTGCTCCTGACAAACCTCATCAAAGGGAACCTGCTCCCCTCTGCTCGCCTCTGGATAACCACAAGACCTGCAGCAGCCAATCAGATCCCTCCTGTGTGTGTTGACATGGTGACAGAGATCAGAGGGTTCTCAGACCCTCAGAAGGAGGAGTACTTCAGAAAGAGATACAGAGATGAGGAGCAGGCCAACAAAATCATCTCTCACGTCAAGACATCTCGAAGTCTCCACATCATGTGCCACATCCCAGTCTTCTGCTGGATCACCGCTACAGTTCTGGAGGATGTTCTGAAGACCAAAGAGGAAGAGAAGCTGCCCAAGACCCTGACTGAGATGTATATCCACTTCCTGGTGGTTCAGTCCAAACTGAAGAACATCAAGTATGATGGAGGAACTGAGACAGATCCACACTGGAACAAAAAGAGCGTGAAGATGATAAAGTCTTTGGGAAAACTTGCTTTTGAGCATCTGCAGAAAGGAAACCTGATCTTCTATGATTCAGACCTGCTAGAGTGTGGCATTGACACTGAAGTAGCTTCAGTGTACTCAGGAGTGTTCACACAGATCTTTAAAGAGGAAAAAGGGCTGTACCTGCAAAAGGTGTTCTGCTTTGTCCACCTGAGTGTTCAGGAGTTTCTGGCTGCTCTTCACGCCCATATGACATTTACAATCAATAGAGAGAATTTGATGGACGAAAAACCAACTTCACTCCCTAAACCCATCATGAATCGAATGAATCAACCAAAACATCTCTACCAGAGTGCCGTGAACCAGGCCTTACTGAGTCCGAATGGACACCTAGACTTGTTCCTCCGTTTTCTTCTGGGTCTTTCTTTGCAGAACAACCAGAATCTTCTGAGTGGTTTGCTGACAATGACAAGTAGCTCACAGACCAACCAGAAAACAATTGAGTACATCAAGACAAAGCTCAATGAGAGTCTGTCTGAAGAAAAGAGTATCAATCTATTCCACTGCCTGAATGAACTAAATGATCACTCTCTGGTGGAGGAGATCCAACAGTCCCTGAGATCAGGACATCTCTCCCCAGATGAACTTTCTCCTGCTCAGTGGTCAGCTCTAGTCTTCATCTTAATGTCATCAGAAAAAAATTTGGACGTGTTTGACCTGAAGAAATACTCTTCCTCCGAGGAGGCTCTTCTGAACCTGCTCCCAGTGGTCAAAGCCTCTAACAAAGTTCTGTATGTGGAAACATAAAAAAGTCTGTGGGATGGATCTTGTTCATGAAAAGAACAGTTTGATCAAGCTTATTTTATTAATCTTCTTTTTCAGGTTAAATGGCTGTTACCTGTCTAGGAAGAGCTTTGAAGTTATGTCCTCTGTTCTCACCTCCCCGTCCTCTGGTCTGAAAGAGCTGGACATGAGCAACAATAACCTGCGTGATTCAGGAGTAAGGCTTCTGTCTGCTGGACTGAAAAGTCAGCACTGTGCATTGGAAACACTCAGGTCAGAAAAAGCTAAATTTTTTAAGTCTCATGCTATCAAAACCTTTTTTCCTTTTAACTCCTTTAACATATTTTTCTGGATTCAGAGACAGAAAACTTCCCATTTGTATTCCTTTATGGAAGTTTGAATGAAAGCTACAAAAAGCACTTAGAAGTGAATTCAAGTAATGCATTATGTCAGATAAGTTGGATATACATTTTTTAATAAGACACATTTCATCACTGGCGAACTCAGTCTCAGTTACTCTGTTTCGTGTTGGTTATTTCTTGTCTCACTATCCCGAGTCTGCTAATTTTAAATCTAAAAAAAAAAGAAAAAAAAAGTTTTTATATTCAGGCAATTAAACTCTAAATTAAACTAACCCTTAAAAAATAGTACTCCATTTCCATCAAGTCTGAGCTGCTAAATGATGCTAAAAACTACTTACTGTACCTCATATTGGAGAAAAGTATCACTCTGCAGGATCAGTATAATACGTTCTTTTTTTGTCACCTATATTTCTAAAAAAAAATGCTAACTATAACATGCATTTCTAATTTAGACTGGCTGGTTGTCAGGTTACAGAGAAGGGCTGTGCTTTCCTGGCATCAGCTCTGAACTCTAACCCCTTCCATCTTAAAGAACTGGATTTAAGTAACAACAACCTGCAGGATTCAGGGTTGGGATCGTTTTCTGATGCACTTGGAGGCCCACACTGTACTTTGGAGATTCTAAGGTAAGGATTTGTAGGTATTTTTCAGTGCTTGGTTTGACCAATCCTGGTTTCATTCAGAAGGTTCAAATTAGAAAGAATGCATAACAACCACAGAATATTACTGCTGATGATCTTGTGAAACTCCAACCCCCATTTTTTCACTAACTCCAGGCTTTCAGGCTGTCAGGTCACAGAGAGGGGCTGCGCTTTTCTTGCTTCAGCTCTGAGCTCTAATCCCTCCCATCTGAAGGAATTGGATCTGAGTAACAACAACCTGCATGATTTAGGAGTAAAGCTGCTGTCAGATAGTCTGGGAAGTCCATATTGCAAGCTGGAAATTGTCAGGTCAGATTATAGGTTTCATTGAAACTCTTGGTTACTTAATCACTTTTCACTTTTGATTAAGTTCACATTTTGTAAGACTGTGTATGTCTTGAAGATTTCCATCTTTTTTCTTTGTAATCATTGTGTGACACAGTTTCTTTGTCATTCCAGACTGTCAGGTTGTCTGATCACAAAAGAAGGCTTTGAATATCTGGCATCAGCCCTGAGAGCAAACCCCTCCCATCTAAAGGAGCTGGACCTGAGTTACAATCATCCAGGGGACACAGGAGTGAAGCTGCTGTCTACTGGACCAACAGCTCAAAAATGGAGACAGCTCAGGTCTTTACTGATGACAGACAGGCAGATAGAAAAGAGCTCAACACTCAGTTGGTCAAGAGTCATGGATGATTTGTTTTAGGTTAATAGGGAAGGTATTTAGAGATTTTGTCAAGCTTTTTATTTAACTGAATTTTATTTAGACACAGAAAGACATCAACAATGGAGGACTTTCTATACCTGTGGAATTTATTTAATTAAATTCTAGCTGGGTCGATATATACATAGCCGAGGCTATTATTTACAGGGTTCCCATCAGTTGTTCTTGTAGTGAAAACTGTTCTTCCTGGGGTTCACACATAACAACACAAAGTGTTCAAGATAAAAGATAATGTAGTTATCAAAACCCAATCAGACAAAATCTGCAAGCAAGTAGGGTTCTAAATTAAATCAATTTGTTCCAAATTTGATGGTATTTGTCTTTTTAGTCTGACAGGTCTCAACACAGTCACTTTTAGGTTAAAAAAATGTTCATTCCTCTATCCAAAATGGATCGAGTGACCAATATGATTAGTTAATTATTATAAAAATATTGATGTGTGCAGATCATAGGTTATTCCTGTCTCTTCCTCCAAAAAAGTGAAAGCGTGATGGAGACAGTTGGCTCAAAAGAGTTTCAGCCTGTGTTTTAGTGACAAATTCAGGACTTGTGTGCAGCAATTAGGACTCATGTTAGACAACCACTCAATCTGACTGTGTTTCTTCTTCCAGGGTGGACCATGGTGGAAAACAGTGGTTAAGACCTGGTCTGAAGAAATGTAAGTGTGGAATCATTTTGTCTTACAGTGACCGAACAGCAGACTGGCAACTAACAAAAAAAATCCTTTATGTGTGTCTGATGATGCTGTGATGTTATTTATTTTTTTCTCTCCACCAGATTCATGTGAACTCGCACTGGACTCAAACACAGCACACAGAGAGCTCAAACTGTCTGAAAACTACAGGAAGGTGAAATTTGTGGCAGCGCATCAGTCCTATCCTAATCATCCAGAAAGGTTTGAACACAAGCCTCAGCTGTTGTGTAGAGAGGGTCTGACTGGTCGGTGTTACTGGGAGGTGGAGTGGAGAGGTTGGGTTCATATATCAGTGAGTTACAAAGGAATCAGCAGGAAAGGAAACAGTTCTGACTGTCTGTTTGGATGGAATGACCAATCTTGGACTCTTAGCTGCTCTGATAGAGGTTACACTCTCCGGCACAACAACAAAGAGACAGAACTCCGTGTTTCCTCATCCTCAGTCTCTCACAGAGTAGCAGTGTATGTGGACTGTCCTGCTGGCACTCTGTCCTTCTACAGCGTCTCCCCTGACACACTGATCCACCTCCACACCTACAACACCACATTCACTGAACCTCTGTATCCCGGATTTGGTTTCTGGTCATGTGGTTCCTCAGTGTCTTTATGTTCTATGTAAAATGGAGAGGACCCTAGGGTTTAAATGTTTTTTGACAACATAATTTCCTTCAAAAACCTTTGTAGAAAAATTAACAAGGTTACTCATACAGTACAAGGAATGAAACCAGGTAGCAGTGTCATCATACTTGAACATTTTCATTGTTAAAAAATTCAAACAATGTCAGACTTTATCTGTCTTGTAATTTTTCACACAACCAAAACAAAACAGTGATTGCTTTACATAGAGAAAATTTTTAACAAAGTAAGCAGACCTCTAAACCTGTAAAAAACAGTTAATTCCCTATTTTAAAGGAACCGTTTGAAAGTTAAAAAAAGCTCCTGTTTATGAACTACAAAAACACATGTGACTATTCACAACAAGATTTACATGATACATATGGGTGAAAACTCTGTTAATGATATTTTGACTGTTTAAAAGAAGTATGGTGAGAATTTCTGTCAGAAAACAACATATTTGTGTACAGGCTCCTCACTGTAACTTAAATGTAAAATTAAACGATTTGGGTTTTAGAAACTCATATTTTCACTCACAGTTAAAATGTTAGTAGATTTTATACGTATATATATTTTTTTAATATTGCTATTACCATGCTTTTTTGCTGTTATTAAAGTTAAAGATGTCTCTCAATTTTTGTTTATTCTGTATTTTTTTTAAATCTCTTTCTATTCATGAAGACATAAAGCATGGAAACTGAAAGTCTATAAAATAAATAAATAAACATTTCAAGCTCCAACATGAGTTCAGTCCAAGAGATGAGCACTCCCTATCAGTAACAACACTGAATTTCATTAGAGTCAAAGAGAGAAATAGGGTGGGGCCCCTTGGATTGATCAGTTGCGACAGCTATGACCCAGTAAATGTCTTTATCAGTAGTCTATGTTTGGCAACAATATACTGTGTGCTAGTTTGCGTACAAAAGCAACATGACGACACATTGTGATGACCCTGCTACCAGGTCACTCTGTGTCTGGACCTTGTTCCTGCCTCTGTGTTGCAGGATATGCATCCTGGCTGTGGGTTATCCACTGGATGAGCTGCACCTGCGCACGGTACACTCTGTCTACAGGAGATCTATAGTCCTCTATTTGCTGGAGGGATTGATTATCATATATTATGTATCTGATTCTTGGGCCTTTGCAACTTTTGTTGGACAAGGGGAGTTGGGTCCAAACTAAGCTCAACTATCTTGTAGAGGGTCCCTCTTTAACTTCAAATCTCCAGTTGGATCCCAGCTGAATCTCCAAAGCTCATCCCAATACGATTATTTCTTGCCAGTACAGTGAAGTGGATGGTGATGCTTGTACAACTGAGGCTCCAAATAGAAAAAGTCCACAAACTAAAGGGTGACATTGCATTGCTTACACTGGAGTATTTTTTACCAAGTGTCCTCCAAGCAGTGGTCTTCATCTGGTTCCTTTGGCATCTCTAATTAACACCAAGTATCGATTTGGTGTATTTGTATATGTGACCTCACTCAGTCTCTACACAGAGCAGTTATGTAACTGAGTGTCAGAGCAGTAGATCTCATCAGCCTTCACTTCCTCTCCTGAGTCTGAAAGTTCATGCTTCAGTGGCATCATTCTCCACTCATAGTCCTCCCTGACACACACACTCACACACTTTCACTGTATTGGAGGCAAAGACTCCACCACCGGCTGAAAGACACTGAAGCTGCCCCTCTGACAGCCAGTCTGAGAGTTTATTGAATCAATAGTTTTAATTAAAGTTAATTAGGTTCTTTTTACAGGCAGGGATGTACTCTCAGTATTGGAACACGACTCGTGATCGCAGACCGGACTACAGGAGATACACAGTGAGTATCACACAGTTTATCGCCTTTCTGTCAGATCCTCACTGCTCTCATCAGCCTTCGGTTTAGATGAACCATCCTGAAAACAAACCTTTAACACATTCATTTTCACAGTTTGTTATGGTGTCGGAAGAGAGGTACGAGTATGAAAAGTCTTATTAGTCTTTTAAGCAGAGGTGGAAAACTCCTTTTTTATTCTTGTATGTTGAAGCCAAGAGGTCTCAGACGTCTGTGTGCAAGACAGTATTTCTGCCGTACAGTTGACTTTATGGTGGTTTGGAAGGTTTAGAATGGTAATGAATTCACATTGATACTTTTGTCAAAGCAAAATTAGTCTTTATTAGGAGCATTTGTTGCATATTTAGACACACATGCTAAAGTGTGGGACAATTTTAGTGATCAAAATACACAATAAATAAGAAGGTGCTGTAAAAATAAGGAAAAGCTGAATTAGCCGTACATTACAGTTAAAAAGTCAGCCACCCAAACCCTTAAAACTGTTTGAGTAAGGCTTCAAATCTTGCCTTTTAACTGAAGTACTTTAAGCCTATAGGGGGCACTCAGTTTATTATTGGCAGGAGTAAGTGAGGACAAAAGAAGCAGTGGACTTTTTACGCTATATGAGAAACATCGTCAAGATAAAGTGCTTCTGCTACCCTGCAGACATGTTGCAAACTGACAGTAAGAAAATGTTTCTGAGTGACAGACAGTCGTGCTGAAGTTACGACTTCAAGTGTGGCTTTAGTTGGCTATAACTCAGTTAGCTGCATAGCTAGTACCCAGCGAGCATTTTGAGGTTGATTATACGTCTATTATCCCACTGAGCAAAAGACGTATATTAGACGTCTAGTCTAAATTTATACTTCATTTCAACGTCGGGATTCGGTCTATTTCTAGACGTGATTTATACTTCGCCCACAACTTCATTTTTCGATAACTTTTATGCAATAAACAACTGTAATGAGCATAACTGACCTCTAAGTACTGGATTACATTACTTATGATACCGTGGAGAGATATGCAGCATAGTATAGATGTAGACGTCATTTACACGTATAGATTTACAGTATACTTCATTTCAACGTCTAGATTCAGTCTATTTCTAGATTTATACTTCGCCCTCAACTTCATTTTTCGATAACTATTTATGCAATAAACAACTGTAATGTGCATAACTGACCTTTTGATACTGAATTACATTACTTACGATACCGTGGAGAGATATGCAGCATAGTTTAGATGTGGACGTCATTTACACGTATAAATTTATACTTAATTTCAACGTCGGGATTCGGTCTATTTCTAGACGTGATTTAGACGTATAAATTTATACGTCATTTCAACGTCTACATATAGACCGAATCTAGACAATTGATTTTAATCCACAATTCAAGAGTTGATTTCAATTCATCGCAGATTTCCAAGTGTTTCCACCACCACCCGCTGGAACTCTTGGTGAAAAGATATGATTTAGTAACATTCAATTCAATAATTAGAATACATTACTTAACATTTTGTACTGTAGTTATGCCACTCTTACTTTTCTCAGGCATTGGGTCGGAATAAACCCTCTTCCTCGTTGCAAAATCTGAGAACGAGACAATAAATAGATGATGAATATGGTGCTTAACTTTGGCTTTTAAACACAAAATCATATGCTGTTGCACAATTTTAAAATAGCCCCCACCCTACTTAAAAACCACTGCTAAACCTGATAAATCCTTACCTTGAATCCAATTCAAAAATTCATCCATGAAATCACCCTCCCTAGCTCTTTTTCTCCGCCACTCTTTCAAATAATTAGAGGCCATATTCAATTTGGCTGGAAAGAAAACACATGGAAAAAAGAAAGTAGAAAAATAATAACAGTGTGAACTTGTAGATCAACCATTATAAAAAATATATCTATGACAATTACAGTTAAACACAAATTTAATTATATGAAAAAATACCACTGGATAAACAAAATCAACAGTACTGGCATCAAAATAGGCTTCATTTTCTAACTTAATTAGATAGCCTAACTAGCAGCTTTTAAACTTGGCTCCAACAGAGAGAGCAGGCCCTTATTTACTTTCATGACAACACACGTTAGCATGGACTATTTGATGCTGTTGGACCCACGCTGGCTAAACTAGCCACAAGCTAGCCCTCATAGTAGCAACCAGGCTACATGCGAACTCGAGTTTAACATTTGCTGTAAATGCATTTCACCGTCACGCATCATGATGCACGATGGTGGGAGGACCAAAGCTTGCAAAAATAAACATTTTCTATAATATCTCCTTCAGCACCCACCTCGCTTCAGCAGAAAGTATAACTCTCGAACTCCGCGACTCCTGGTACTTCTGATGTACTCCGACGGTCTTGAGGTCGAGTGTGGACAGAGCGCAATGCTTCAGCCGGATGTTGTGCGGTCCACAATTTGAAGCCGTTTTCATGTTATGGTCCGATTATGGTACGATCTCCAAGCGAGTGTTAAGCTGGGCTCTTGCAGAGCTACCAAATACTTTTTGTCGCTCATCTCGTAGTATTGCGGCTATGCCGATAACTTTTATCGCGGACTACTTTGCTCTTGGCGGAATTAGAATCTACCAGAAGTGGTTGCACGGTGGGTCACGTGAGCGTGCTCCACCAATAAGGTGGCTGGATTATTGTCACGGTGGCAGCCGGTGTTACAGAGACGGATAAAACACATGAAATGTAAGAATTAAATTGAATTTCAGCGACCAACTTTGTTGTCGAGTACTCAGCAGGACCCAGGCTTTAAGATCCGAAGTTGTTTTTTATTTTATTTTTCTGCCGTATATGCGTTTTGACCGGATATGGCGAAAAGACCGGTTACACTCAGGAGTATGATGGTAGTCCCACAGATTGAGATCAATTCTGCAACGTTCAGTTATCATTTTAAATGATCAACTCTTGAATTGTGGATTAAAATCGATTGTCTAGATTCGGTCTATATGTAGACTTTGAAATGACGTATAAATTTATACGTCTAAATCACGTCTAAAAATAGACCGAATCCCGACGTTGAAATTAAGTATAAATTTATACGTGTAAATGATGTCTAAAAATAGACCGTATCCAGACGTTGAAATGAAGTATAAATTTATACGTGTAAATGACGTCTACATCTATACTATGCTGCATATCTCTCCACGGTATCATAAGTAATGTAATCCAGTATTAAAAGGTCAGTTATGCACATTACAGTGGTTTATTGCATTAATAGTTATCGAAAAATGAAGTTGAGGGCGAAGTATAAATCACGTCTAGAAATAGACTGAATCTAGACGTTGAAATGAAGTATAAATTTATACGTGTAAATGACGTCTAGAAATAGACTGAATCTAGACGTTGAAATGAAGTATAACTTTATACGTGTAAATGACGTCTAGAAATAGACTGAATCTAGACGTTGAAATGAAGTATAAATTTATACGTGTAAATGACGTCTACATCTATACTATGCTGCATATCTCTCCACGGTATCAAAAGTAATGTAATCCAGTATCAAAAGATCAGTTATGCACATTACAGTGGTTTATTGCATTAAAAGATATTGAAAAATGAAGTTGAGGGCGAAGTATAAATCACGTCTAGAAATAGACTGAATCTAGACGTTGAAATGAAGTATAAATTTATACGTGTAAATGACGTCTAGAAATTGACTGAATCTAGACGTTGAAATGAAGTATAAATTTATACGTGTAAATGACGTCTAGAAATAGACTGAATCTAGACGTTGAAATTAAGTATAAATTTATATGTGTAAATGACGTCTACATCTATACTATGCTGCATCTCTCTCCACGGTATCATAAGTAATGTAATCCAGTATTAAAAGGTCAGTTATGCACATTACAGTGGTTTATTGCATTAAAAGATATTGAAAAATGAAGTTGAGGGCGAAGTATAAATCACGTCTAGAAATAGACTGAATCTAGACGTTGAAATGAAGTATAAATTTAAACGTGTAAATGACGTCTACATCTATACTATGCTGCATCTCTCTCCACGGTATCATAAGTAATGTAATCCAGTATTAAAAGGTCAGTTATGCACGTTACAGTGGTTTATTGCATTAATAGTTATCGAAAAATGAAGTTGAGGGCGAAGTATAAATCACGTCTAGAAATAGACTGAATCTAGACGTTGAAATGAAGTATAAATTTAAACGTGTAAATGACGTCTAGAAATAGACTGAATCTAGACGTTGAAATGAAGTATAAAAAATACGTGTAAATGACGTCTACATCTATACTATGCTGCATCTCTCTCCACGGTATCATAAGTAATGTAATCCAGTATTAAAAGGTCAGTTATGCACATTACAGTGGTTTATTGCATTAAAAGATATTGAAAAATGAAGTTGAGGGCGAGGTATAAATCACGTCTAGAAATAGACTGAATCTAGACATTGAAATGAAGTATAAATTTATATGTGTAAATGACGTCTACATCTATACTATGCTGCATCTCTCTCCACTGTATCATAAGTAATGTAATCCAGTATTAAAAGGTCAGTTATGCACATTACAGTGGTTTATTGCATTAATAGTTATCGAAAAATGAAGTTGAGGGCGAAGTATAAATCACGTCTAGAAATAGACTGAATCTAGACGTTGAAATGAAGTATAAATTTAAACGTGTAAATGACGTCTAGAAATAGACTGAATCTAGACGTTGAAATGAAGTATAAAAAATACGTGTAAATGACGTCTACATCTATACTATGCTGCATCTCTCTCCACGGTATCATAAGTAATATAATCCAGTATTAAAAGGTCAGTTATGCACATTACAGTGGTTTATCGCATTAAAAGTTATCGAAAAATGAAGTTGAGGGCGAAGTATAAATCACGTCTAGAAATAGACCGAATCCAGACGTTGAAATGAAGTATAAATTTATACGTGTAAATGACGTCTACATCTATACTAAGCTGCATCTCTCTCCACGGTATCACATGTAATGTAATCCAGTATTAAAAGGTCAGTTATGCACATTACAGTGGTTTATTGCATTAAAAGTTATCGAAAAATGAAGTTGAGGGCGAAGTATAAATCACGTCTAGAAATAGACTGAATCTAGACGTTGAAATGAAGTATAAATTTATACGTGTAAATGACGTCTACATCTATACTATGCTGCATATCTCTCCACGGTATCAAAAGTAATGTAATCCAGTATCAAAAGATCAGTTATGCACATTACAGTGGTTTATTGCATTAAAAGTTATCGAAAAATGAAGTTGAGGGCGAAGTATAAATCACGTCTAGAAATAGACTGAATCTAGACGTTGAAATGAAGTATAAATTTATATGTGTAAATGACGTCTACATCTATACTATGCTGCATCTCTCTCCACGGCAGTGCTGGGCGATATGGAAAAAAATGTATATCACGATATGGATCATTTTATATCACGATAACGATATATATCACGATATAGCTATGGTATGCTTTCAGTTCTATGAAAAATTTAAGTGTATACAGCTGCACTAGTACAGTACCAGTACAAGACCAGCACTTAAAACTAGAAAAATGAATAAATAAATACGTGGCTGAAGTGCGTTCATGTCTGTGCTCACCCAAAGTTATGTAACACTTACAGAAAACGCTGATAGTGTGAGCCGAAGCACTCCATAATAATAATAATAATAATAATAATAATAATAAATTTAATTTGTAATGCACTTTACATTTACAAAAAATCTCAAAGTGCTACAGTACACAGTAAAAAAAGAGCAGCAACAATAAAAAAAAGCAATAGAATGACAGTCACAGATTAGCTTAAAAAAGAATTAAAAAAAAATATATATATATAGAGTTGCAATGTAAGAGGCAAGGTAGTAAAAGCATAAAGCATAGAGGAAAACTAACCAAAGGCTTTATTAAAAAGGTAGGTCTTTAGGGCTCTTTTGAAGAGGTTGTTCACACTGCTAGATGTTTCTCCTCCAAAGCTGCTCTCTGCCTCCATCATTGTTTACTTTACTCTTGAAGCACGTAGCAAGACCCGAGCATGAATCCGAGCGCTTTATTCGCCTATCAGGGGCAGACAGGTACGGTGATTGATTCGCCACGACTCCAGAAATGATTGAAAAACTACAGAATGTCACAAAATTACGTTTCCTCGCTGCTGGCTTGAAGGGTACAAATGCGCAGCCGCGCTCCCAGCTGACAGGAAGTCAAACCGCTGTTGTAGTTCTTTTGTGTTGCTAGCGCGGTCAAGAGTGTTTACTCTCACTGAGAGATGACTACAAAAATGGACGCACCTGTTCATCTGGTTGTTAAACACGGCTGAAAAAGATCATCTTTTCATGTTGTTCCCGCTCCTGCCCACTCCCGTTGCTTTTTTTCCCGTCCCGTCCCGATCAAGAGATAAATAAAAAAATGACTCCCATCCCGCGGGAATCACGTGACCCACGGGAATTCCCGAAAAAAGTCATCCTCCACAGGGAAGGTCCCGGAGCAGATGAAACAGGTGCCGGAGCGGCTGAAATAGGTCCCAGATCCGATCAAAAGAGGTCCCGGATCGCGCTCCGACTTGCTCCGGCACAGATTAAGCACTGCTTACAATGATCCCCTCACGTGTGTAACCCAGGTAACCCGCAACGGCGGGAGGCGCTGGACATAAAGAGGGCACGTAAAGCGGCGTCATGTCGCAAAATCGAAAGAGAAATGCAAGCCTACATGTCAACGCATCCTTTTCTTTGTAAGAAAATATTGTTTTCTTTCCCGTTCGACACCAAATACACTTACTGAATGTGCAATTATTGTTGTTGTTACTATGAATCATCTGATGGCACAAGCTCTACGGATTATATACAACCTATCGCCCGAAACGATAAGAATAAAAATGGCACGATAGACATTTTCTATCGTGCCAACGATATATATCGTCCAATCGCCCAGCACTACTCCACGGTATCAAAAGTAATGTAATCCAGTATTAAAAGATCAGTTATGCACATTACAGTGGTTTATTGCATTAAAAGATATTGAAAAATGAAGTTGAGGGCGAAGTATAAATCACGTCTAGAAATAGACTGAATCTAGACGTTGAAATGAAGTATAAATTTATACGTGTAAATGACGTCTAGAAATTGACTGAATCTAGACGTTGAAATGAAGTATAAATTTATACGTGTAAATGACGTCTAGAAATAGACTGAATCTAGACGTTGAAATTAAGTATAAATTTATATGTGTTAATGACGTCTACATCTATACTATGCTGCATCTCTCTCCACGGTATCATAAGTAATGTAATCCAGTATTAAAAGGTCAGTTATGCACATTACAGTGGTTTATTGCATTAAAAGATATTGAAAAATGAAGTTGAGGGCGAAGTATAAATCACGTCTAGAAATAGACTGAATCTAGACGTTGAAATGAAGTATAAATTTAAACGTGTAAATGACGTCTACATCTATACTATGCTGCATCTCTCTCCACGGTATCATAAGTAATGTAATCCAGTATTAAAAGGTCAGTTATGCACGTTACAGTGGTTTATTGCATTAATAGTTATCGAAAAATGAAGTTGAGGGCGAAGTATAAATCACGTCTAGAAATAGACTGAATCTAGACGTTGAAATGAAGTATAAATTTAAACGTGTAAATGACGTCTAGAAATAGACTGAATCTAGACGTTGAAATGAAGTATAAAAAATACGTGTAAATGACGTCTACATCTATACTATGCTGCATCTCTCTCCACGGTATCATAAGTAATGTAATCCAGTATTAAAAGGTCAGTTATGCACATTACAGTGGTTTATTGCATTAAAAGATATTGAAAAATGAAGTTGAGGGCGAGGTATAAATCACGTCTAGAAATAGACTGAATCTAGACATTGAAATGAAGTATAAATTTATATGTGTAAATGACGTCTACATCTATACTATGCTGCATCTCTCTCCACTGTATCATAAGTAATGTAATCCAGTATTAAAAGGTCAGTTATGCACATTACAGTGGTTTATTGCATTAATAGTTATCGAAAAATGAAGTTGAGGGCGAAGTATAAATCACGTCTAGAAATAGACTGAATCTAGACGTTGAAATGAAGTATAAATTTAAACGTGTAAATGACGTCTAGAAATAGACTGAATCTAGACGTTGAAATGAAGTATAAATTTATACGTGTAAATGACGTCTAGAAATAGACTGAATCTAGACGTTGAAATGAAGTATAAATTTATACGTGTAAATGACGTCTAGAAATAGACTGAATCTAGACGTTGAAATGAAGTATAAATTTATACGTGTAAATGACGTCTAGAAATAGACTGAATCTAGACGTTGAAATGAAGTATAAATTTATACGTGTAAATGACGTCTAGAAATAGACTGAATCTAGACGTTGAAATGAAGTATAAATTTATACGTGTAAATGACGTCTAGAAATAGACTGACTCAGGAAGTTGAAATGAAGTATAAATTTATACGTGTAAATGACGTCTAGAAATAGACTGAATCCAGACGTTGAAATGAAGTATAAATTTATACGTGTAAATGACGTCTAGAAATAGACTGAATCTAGACGTTGAAATGAAGTATAAATTTATACGTGTAAATGACGTCTACATCTATACTGTGCTGCATATCTCTCCACGGTATCAAAAGTAATGTAATCCAGTTTTAAAAGATCAGTTATGCACATTACAGTGGTTTATTGCATTAAAAGTTATCGAAAAATGAAGTTGAGGGCGAAGTATAAATCACGTCTAGAAATAGACTGAATCTAGACGTTGAAATGAAGTATAAATTTAAACGTGTAAATGACGTCTACATCTATACTATGCTGCATCTCTCTCCACGGTATCATAAGTAATGTAATCCAGTATTAAAAGGTCAGTTATGCACATTACAGTTGTTTATTGCATTAAAAGTTATCGAAAAATGAAGTTGATGGCGAAGTATGAATCACGTCTAGAAATAGACCGAATCCAGACGTTGAAATGAAGTATAAATTTATACGTGTAAATGACGTCTAGAAATAGACTGAATCTAGACGTTGAAATGAAGTATAAATTTATACGTGTAAATGACGTCTAGAAATAGACTGAATCTAGACGTTGAAATGAAGTATAAATTTAAACGTGTAAATGACGTCTAGAAATAGACTGAAACTAGACGTTGAAATGAAGTATAAATTTATACGTGTAAATGACGTCTAGAAATAGACTGAATCTAGACGTTGAAATGAAGTATAAATTTATACGTGTAAATGACGTCTACATCTATACTGTGCTGCATATCTCTCCACGGTATCAAAAGTAATGTAATCCAGTTTTAAAAGATCAGTTATGCACATTACAGTGGTTTATTGCATTAAAAGTTATCGAAAAATGAAGTTGAGGGCGAAGTATAAATCACGTCTAGAAATAGACTGAATCTAGACGTTGAAATGAAGTATAAATTTATATGTGTAAATGACGTCTACATCTATACTATGCTGCATCTCTCTCCACGGTATCATAAGTAATGTAATCCAGTATTAAAAGATCAGTTATGAACATTACAGTGGTTTATTGCATTAAAAGTTATCGAAAAATGAAGTTGAGGGCGAAGTATAAATCACGTCTAGAAATAGACTGAATCTAGACGTTGAAATGAAGTATAAATTTATACGTGTAAATGACGTCTAGAAATAGACTGAATCTAGACGTTGAAATGAAGTATAAATTTATACGTGTAAATGACGTCTAGAAATAGACTGAATCTAGACGTTGAAATGAAGTATAAATTTATACGTGTAAATGACGTCTAGAAATAGACTGAATCTAGACGTTGAAATGAAGTATAAATTTATACGTGTAAATGACGTCTAGAAATAGACTGAATCTAGACGTTGAAATGAAGTATAAATTTATACGTGTAAATGACGTCTAGAAATAGACTGAATCTAGACGTTGAAATGAAGTATAAATTTATACGTGTAAATGACGTCTAGAAATAGACTGAATCTAGACGTTGAAATGAAGTATAAATTTATACGTGTAAATGACGTCTACATCTATACTGTGCTGCATATCTCTCCACGGTATCAAAAGTAATGTAATCCAGTTTTAAAAGATCAGTTATGCACATTACAGTGGTTTATTGCATTAAAAGTTATCGAAAAATGAAGTTGAGGGCGAAGTATAAATCACGTCTAGAAATAGACTGAATCTAGACGTTGAAATGAAGTATAAATTTATACGTGTAAATCACGTCTAGAAATAGACTGAATCTAGACGTTGAAATGAAGTATAAATTTATACGTGTAAATGACGTCTACATCTATACTGTGCTGCATATCTCTCCACGGTATCAAAAGTAATGTAATCCAGTTTTAAAAGATCAGTTATGCACATTACAGTTGTTTATTGCATTAAAAGTTATCGAAAAATGAAGTTGATGGCGAAGTATAAATCACGTCTAGAAATAGACCGAATCCAGACGTTGAAATGAAGTATAAATTTATACGTGTAAATGACGTCTACATCTATACTAAGCTGCATCTCTCTCCACGGTATCACATGTAATGTAATCCAGTATTAAAAGATCAGTTATGCACATTACAGTGGTTTATTGCATTAAAAGTTATCGAAAAATGAAGTTGAGGGCGAAGTATAAATCACGTCTAGAAATAGACTGAATCTAGACGTTGAAATGAAGTATAAATTTATACGTGTAAATCACGTCTAGAAATAGACTGAATCTAGACGTTGAAATGAAGTATAAATTTATACGTGTAAATGACGTCTAGAAATAGACTGAATCTAGACGGTGAAATGAAGTATAAATTTATACGTGTAAATGACGTCTAGAAATAGACTGAATCTAGACGTTGAAATGAAGTATAAATTTATACGTGTAAATGACGTCTACATCTATACTGTGCTGCATATCTCTCCACGGTATCAAAAGTAATGTAATCCAGTTTTAAAAGATCAGTTATGCACATTACAGTGGTTTATTGCATTAAAAGTTATCGAAAAATGAAGTTGAGGGCGAAGTATAAATCACGTCTAGAAATAGACTGAATCTAGACGTTGAAATGAAGTATAAATTTATACGTGTAAATGACGTCTAGAAATAGACTGAATCTAGACGTTGAAATGAAGTATAAATTTATACGTGTAAATGACGTATAGAAATAGACTGAATCTAGACGTTGAAATGAAGTATAAATCTATACGTGTAAATGACGTCTAGAAATAGACTGAATCTAGACGTTGAAATGAAGTATAAATTTAAACGTGTAAATGACGTCTACATCTATACTATGCTGTATCTCTCTCCACGGTATCAAAAGTAATGTAATCCAGTATTAAAAGATCAGTTATGCACATTACAGTGGTTTATTGCATTAAAAGTTATCGAAAAATGAAGTTGAGGGCGAAGTATAAATCACGTCTAGAAATAGACTGAATCTAGACGTTGAAATGAAGTATAAATTTATACGTGTAAATGACGTCTAGAAATAGACTGAATCTAGACGTTGAAATGAAGTATAAATCTATACGTGTAAATGACGTCTAGAAATAGACTGAATCTAGACGTTGAAATGAAGTATAAATTTATACGTGTAAATGACGTCTAGAAATAGACTGAATCTAGACGTTGAAATGAAGTATAAATTTATACGTGTAAATGACGTCTACATCTATACTGTGCTGCATATCTCTCCACGGTATCAAAAGTAATGTAATCCAGTTTTAAAAGATCAGTTATGCACATTACAGTGGTTTATTGCATTAAAAGTTATCGAAAAATGAAGTTGAGGGCGAAGTATAAATCACGTCTAGAAATAGACTGAATCTAGACGTTGAAATGAAGTATAAATTTATACGTGTAAATGACGTCTACATCTCTACCTATGCTGCATCTCTCTCCACGGTATCATAAGTAATGTAATCCAGTATTAAAAGGTCAGTTATGCACATTACAGTTGTTTATTGCAAAAATAGTTATCGAAAATGAAGTTGAGGGCGAAGTATAAATCACGTCTAGAAATAGACCGAATCCAGACGTTGAAATGAAGTATAAATTTATACGTGTAAATGACGTCTAGAAATAGACTGAATCTAGACGTTGAAATGAAGAATAAATTTATACGTGTAAATGACGTCTAGAAATAGACTGAATCTAGACGTTGAAATGAAGTATAAATTTAAACGTGTAAATGACGTCTAGAAATAGACTGAATCTAGACGTTGAAATGAAGTATAAATTTATACGTGTAAATGACGTCTACATCTATACTATGCTGCATATCTCTCCACGGTATCATAAGTAATGTAATCCAGTATTAAAAGGTCAGTTATGCACATTACAGTTGTTTATTGCATTAATAGTTATTGTAGCAAACCCCTTTTTGGTTTTATGTATTGCTGTTTATCATTTTGGCCACAAGAGGGCAGCCTTATACTGTTAAAATGGTAAATAAGTTAAAATCTTAAAAACAAACAGTTAAGCTACTGTCAATGCATTTTTGCATGATTCGAGAGTATAAAGTTATAGTTCATGATTTGAGTTTGTTATAAGAAAATGTAATTTATGTATTTTATATGTATATTGCTCATTTTGGAGCTTATGTTATTGTGAGCTTTTATTTTGAAGAGATTGCTAACCAATGTGTCACTTCCTCCTGGCTGTTTTGTGCGGGTAAAAGGAAACAAAAGGACGGTCACGGTATGAATGAGCTAAGGTAACGGTGAAAGTAAGAGTTTAAGGTAAAGGAAAATAAAGTAATAAATCTACGTTAACTAAAGAGTGAAGCAACGAAGAAGGTATAGCTACCCCCCGAGGAGGCACAAGGTTAGTTAGAGAGTGTGTATGTTATGGTTTACATTACGTTACTGTGCTAAAGCTAAGCCAATTTGCTCTCACCTTCGGTGAAGCTATTAGGTAATGGTGCATTGTGTAAACAGAAATGTAATTTCATTTTTTGTGTTTTGTTAGTTCTCACGGTGATTTCATGGAGCTGATTTATGGAGCGGTTTATGAAAATAAAGACAGTTTTAAGAAATCATCAGTCGAGTCCACCAATCTGTCGGAGGGTACGCTACAGTTATCGAAAAATGAAGTTGATGGCGAAGGATACATCACGTCTAGAAATACACCGAATCTAGACGTTGAAATGAAGTATAAATTTATACGTGTAAATGACGTCTACATCTATTCTATGCTGCATATCTGTCCACGGTATCATAAGTAATGTAATCCAGTATTAAAAGGTCAGTTATGCACATTACAGTGGTTTATTGCATAAATAGTTATCGAAAAATGAAGTTGAGGGCGAAGTATAAATCACGTCTAGAAATAGACCGAATCCAGACGTTGAAATGAAGTATAAATTTATACGTGTAAATGACGTCTACATCTATACTATGCTGCATCTCTCTCCACGGTATCAAAAGTAATGTAATCCAGTATTAAAAGATCAGTTATGCACATTACAGTGGTTTATTGCATTAAAAGTTATCGAAAAATGAAGTTGAGGGCGAAGTATAAATCACGTCTAGAAATAGACTGAATCTAGACGTTGACATGAAGTATAAATTTATACGTGTAAATGACGTCTAGAAATAGACTGAATCTAGACGTTGAAATGAAGTATAAATTTATACGTGTAAATGACGTCTAGAAATAGACTGAATCTAGACGTTGAAATGAAGTATAAATTTATACGTGTAAATGACGTCTAGAAATAGACTGAATCTAGACGTTGAAATGAAGTATAAATTTATACGTGTAAATGACGTCTACATCTATACTATGCTGCATATCTCTCCACGGTATCATAAGTAATATAATCCAGTATTAAAAGGTCAGTTATGCACATTACAGTGGTTTATCGCATTAAAAGTTATCGAAAAATGAAGTTGAGGGCGAAGTATAAATCACGTCTAGAAATAGACCGAATCCAGACGTTGAAATGAAGTATAAATTTATACGTGTAAATGACGTCTACATCTATACTAAGCTGCATCTCTCTCCACGGTATCACATGTAATGTAATCCAGTATTAAAAGGTCAGTTATGCACATTACAGTGGTTTATTGCATTAAAAGTTATCGAAAAATGAAGTTGAGGGCGAAGTATAAATCACGTCTAGAAATAGACTGAATCTAGACGTTGAAATGAAGTATAAATTTATACGTGTAAATGACGTCTACATCTATACTATGCTGCATCCCTCTCCACGGTATCACATGTAATGTAATCCAGTATTAAAAGGTCAGTTATGCACATTACAAAGGTTTATTGCATTAAAAGTTATCGAAAAATGAAGTTGATGGTGAAGTATAAATCACGTCTAGAAATAGACTGAATCTAGACGTTGAAGTATAAATTTATACGTGTAAATGACGTCTACATCTATACTATGCTGCATATCTCTCCACGGTATCATAAGTAATGTAATCAAGTATTAAAAGGTCAGTTATGCACATTACAGTGGTTTATTGCATTAAAAGTTATCGAAAAATGAAGTTGAGGGCGAGGTATAAATCATGTCTAGAAATAGACTGAATCTAGACGTTGAAATGAAGTATAAATTTATACGTGTAAATGACGTCTACATCTATACTATGCTGCATATATCTCCACGGTATCATAAGTAATGTAATCCAGTATTAAAAGGTCAGTTATGCACATTACAGTTGTTTATTGCATTAAAAGTTATCGAAAAATGAAGTTGATGGCGAAGTATAAATCATGTCTAGAAATAGACTGAATCTAGACGTTGAAATGAAGTATAAATTTATACGTGTAAATGACGTCTACATCTATACTATGCTGCATCTCTCTCCACGGTATCATAAGTAATGTAATCCAGTATTAAAAGGTCAGTTATGCACATTACAGTTGTTTATTGCATAAATAGTTATCGAAAATGAAGTTGAGGGCGAAGTATAAATCACGTCTAGAAATAGACCGAATCCAGACGTTGAAATGAAGTATAAATTTAGTTTAGACGACTAATATACGTCTTTTGCTCAGTGGGTAGGCTCCTATTGGTCCACGTGACAAAAATCGCTTCACCCCCTGCATATTCGATTGCGCGTGTGCAAGTATCACTACGCCGCAGAAGGGAAATAGTTCGACACCGAAACACTGATTACTAAAAATCGACAGGATGGCATGAGTAGATATTTTTTTTAGTACTTACTATCAATAGAGCTATTTTATGAATCACAGTTTATGTTGCCCCACTGAAGTGGAACGAACCAACACGATCTCGCTCAGCCAATACAGCCTATCCCTCAGTTTGCAAAGTTTTAACTGATGCCCCCTTCTGGCCTGTAGCAAAAAGCCTGGAGACGCAGCGTTTCTGTTGCATTAGTTTTCCGGATGTGTGTGACAAAATTCAGATGAGGAGGAATCACAGACAAATCAGGGACTAACCAAAGCACCGTTATCATGAATTCACGGTCTGTGTGATCAGCTAGAAAATGAAGACCATGAATAAGAGCTGTATTTTTCAGCTTTGGCATGTACTAAACTGAAAAGGTAAGAAGCAAATAGTGCTGTTCGATTTTCAGATTCAGAGTTGCTTGAGTCTTTGGACTGTGAAGGAGGCCTGTTGAGACTGAAAAAATGAGTCGACTCCTCTTGGGCTGTATGGTGGAGTTACTTTGGGTCATAGTTTGCAGACCATTTGAAACAAAAGTTATGAACTAGGAGTCAAATAATTTAAAAATGTCAATGTCAAACAGAACCAAAGTGTTTGGAAAGTTGAAGGTTTGTCCTGGCATGTCGAGTAACTCAACATTTTGCTTCATACTTTGTGCCTGAAGTTAAAACTCAAACTAAGTTTGTTTAAATTCTGGGAATATTCCTTTCTGACTGCAGGTGGTGGAGGGTGAGAGTCCTCTTCCTCTTGGCTCAACATGTCGCCGGAAGCGCCTTCGCTCTCTAGGTGAGGATGAAGAAGAGGCGAGAAGCTGCGCGTCACGCCCTAACCCTGAGGGCTCACTATCAGCCAGCGAACTGAGCCACTATGGCAAGCTGGAGGAAGAGGAGGAGGAGTTGCAGAGGCTGTGTCAGCGCTGCCACATCATGACATCACATCTGAACAGACAAGCTACTGCTCTGGCCGACACTGCAGCTCTGAAGGTCAGGAACAACACTACACTTATAAATATATCAGAAAGACAGAAACCTAAATTAAGTTAGGGTCAAACACACCATAACACAGAGTTAGACACCCTGTCGAGAGATGAATGTTGCTGACCGCTTGCTTCTGTAGTTATACCAACTTTAGTAACGACCGCAGATAGCAATACAGAGAGCCAAGCGCTCAACCAAAAAGCCACTCTATAGCCACAAATAATGCTCAGAGCAGCACCTAACTTCATCAACAGTACATATAGGCTGTCAGAGGGGCAGCTTCAGTGTCTTTCAGCCATAGCACTAGCCATCAAGCATCTATTTGGCTTTGCCTGATTTCTTTAGTAAAGAGACCAAACACAACTCACCTACTCTCCTCCAGCAGCCCCTTGTGTGTAGCAAGACCTCTGGGCGAGTCCATCGACTGCAGCGGGGGAACACAGCTCAAGGAAGAACATTTATGATCATTCATCTCTCAACGGGGTGTCTAACTCAGTGTTATGGTGCGTTTGACCCAAACTTAATTTTATGCCGGAATATCCCTTTAAGCGTAAGAGATTGCGTATTACTTAAGATGCAGCATGACCAGAAAAAGTATTTCCTAACTCAAAAGGTTCATGCAAAGGCTGTCATTGGCCAAGAAAGGGATGCAATAATCCATTAAAAAGTTTGGTACATGATTTGAAAGATTAAACGATTTTATGTGATATTACACAAACACTGTTGACCAATGAAAACGCTGGTTATGTTGTCAAAAGATTCTATAAATTCAACATTTTATATTTTTCAGATTTTTATTTGGTGTTAAATTGTAACTATTGAAAACCCTGGTGATGTTGTTGCTCATCTGTCCCTTTTTATCTCACAACATTAGGAATAATTTGATGAGCTTATAGGGTGTGTTTCTTCACTGAGCATTCATTTTTCTTATGAAAGGACTTATCTTGAATGAGAAATATCCAGCTGAACTACAGGAGCCTATTTGAACATAATGTCTTATCGCATGTTATGTGTTCTGGTCCAGCTCAGCAGACAGCAGCATCAAAGAGATGGAGAAGTTAACACTTTCGCAATTATTAAACCATGTTGGTGTGATATTCATTTGATTGGTCAATGAGCTTTTAGCCTCTTTTAGCATTAAGTGTATATGGCTGTCTGTGACTTCATCGTTTTTTTAAGGGTGTTTAATGTTGTGTTGTGTTTTAGTCAACAGTGAGCCCAGCCTCTGTCAATAAGAATAGTTTATTTTAAAAAAAATCATTATTTACATTATAAAACAAACAAATTGTGCATTTCATGAACTAAAGGAAAACATGTACACATGTACTTATTAATTGATAGGGAAACTGAATGCAGAGAGACGTAGTGGATGATTCCTCACTTTCTGTCCTGGTGCTGTTTTCTTTGAGTCACTTATGGGGTCTCGCCTCAGCCAGTGAAGTTAGTTTGATGTTGAGCTCGACTGTCAGCTTTTTCTGCCGGGGCAAGAGAGCTTCACTCTCTGTAGAGTTAACTCTCTCTCCCTCTGGTTTCTCTGGCTTGCTCTGATTTATTCAATCATCTGACTTCACTGCCTCTCTCTTTATTCTCTCTTCCTGCGCTTGCTTTTCAACTCAGATCCTCACTCGGTTGGTCATTTACTTGTTCTGTACTCTGCTGACATTGGATACTGGGATGTTTTGGTGCTACATAAATTCCTATTGCACAGTGCAGTGTTAAAAAACAGAGTTCATTCAGTATTTCTTAAGAATTCAGCTATAATAGTCTGTGCAGTTCGGCTGAAATGGGACACCTTGTTGAAACCTCAGATTTCTTTGTTTCCACACTTAAATCGACCACAGCAGCATTTCGTGGTCCTGAGAGGAACTGCACCCAGCTTCTTCTGATGAAGTTGCTGATAGGTGCAATCTCAGATGAACAGAAGCTCATTGGTGCTCAGAGTTCAAAGAGGACTGAGGGTTTCAGGTCAGTGAAGCAGGAAGTTGAGTCCCCGCTGCAGTAAAAGCCCTGAGGTCCTGCCCTGTCAGCAGAAAAATTCTCAGTTAGCAGGAGCTTTATGAGATCGACACCCTGACCGATAATCGAACCGCCTTTAGCTCGAGTTTGCTGGGAAACGCTGAGTGTTAGTTCTAAAGTCAGTCGGGCAGATTATTATTCAGATTAATATCACAGCATGGATTAAAGATAATGCTGATAGACCTACGGTCGGTTTAATGAAGAATCAGAGAACGATTTTCCTCCTGAATCTTATTTCAGTTTCAAGCTGAGGCTTTTTCCATTAGGGGTGTTGAGAGTTCAGTGTTTTGTTAGTGCTTTTCCTGCTAAAATGTAATAATCAAAAATATCACTTTAACTGAGCTCCTCTGGTCTGAACAGAGACTTTTTTTAGAAATAAAACACAGACCCTGGGACTTTTGTGGATCCCAATTCCTTTAGCTGCACCTCCCCAGGTCCCTAGTGTTTGTGCAGATCTCTGGTGCTGTAGACTTTGTTTTTTTTTTTTTTTGTGAAGAATCAGGTTTGAAACATTCACACTCAGAATCATATCTCAGTCTTCAGTATTTAGGATACTCACATGTTCAAAAGGAATCAGTGAGACTTAGATTCAAGTTTCCTGTAGTCTCATCCTCACTCTGCCATCACACATCGCCTCAACATGGCTGAGTAAGGAGGAGTTCAGATCTCTCAGTCGCTCCTCGCTACACTAACAAGCATCAGACAAGTCAACGGCCTGCAGGGTGGTCAAACAGAGCTCTGCAGAAGCTTAAGGGGTCTGCAGTTTTTTTTTAACATTATGATTCTGCATTTTTTATCCTCCTACTGTGTTAAGGTCTGTACCGACCCGTTTTTGATTTTAAATGCTTAAAAGAACCACTTAAATAAGTTTCTTTGCATCAAGACTTTGACTTTTCTATTATATTGACTAAATGATAAAATGCTCTTATTAAAATTATGGCACTTGTCGTGTTAGGGTAACTGTTGACCCGGTTAGATCAATATCTAATAATCAGAGAAAAAACTGAAATCTTAAGTGCACTGTCAGGCACCACACTGACAGTCAGATCCTCTTCCAGTCATGTGAGATTGAGGAAATTCTCATTTTGCCAGGTTTTTCTCTGCACAAAAAACAGCCTCAGGCATGTTGAGACATGTGAGATCAGTTCAGTATGGATGTCTGTGTGAGGGGTGTACTGACAAAGAAAGGCCCAGAGGCCCACTACGAAAAATATTATAAGCAATATTTTCATGGATAATGAAGTGTAATAAGGCAACCTAGAGATGAGAACCAAATTGGATAATAGAGAGTTGTTTTTAGTGTAATTTACAGCTGATTTAAGACAAAACCAACCCTTAACATGGTGGGTGCATAGTAAAAGCTAACACAGGAGGAAGGTTAAGTAAATGATCAAAGACTATCAACAAGAAGTTCATTGCTGATTGATCTAATGACTAGTGAACATTTTTCTGTTGAAAAAAGTTCAAAACATTTCAGTGGACGCAGCTGAATGGATGTAAACTGGTTAAAAAAATGAAGGTTCACATCTCGGACACGTAAATTCAACATTTAAGCTATGTTAAGACCAGATTTGCTTCAATCACAGGATCCCTTTCACATTCACACGCTGTAACAGGGATTTTTTAGATAAAATGATCACGGTACAGTCACCCACAGAATTCACAGATAGATCAGAGGTACAGTCAAGAGTGCACAAGTGTTATCTTGTAACTTCTGTCAATAGACGGGTTTCTGTGCCACGTCATTACAGGTATGCTTACTAGCGGAGTCAACAGAGAAAAAAAATGACAAGAAGCTGTTGTGCTATAAATCATCATAAACATTTTTGCTTTGACTTTGTTAGCATTCACTAACATTAGGACCCTGCTCCTGATATTAGAAACATCCAAAACAATGTCACAACCTAAGCTGAGTGAAATTCATGGACATTTAAGCAAGTGTTTTTTGTTTTTTTTTATTTGTGATGCAATGAAACACAAAGCGATTATTTCAATGATTTGGCCTTTTAATGCAGTTGTGTCAGGGAGAACTTGCAAACAATACGGCATCTTCACTGATATCAGTTCACTCTGAAGCAGGCTTTTGCCCCCTGGTTGCATGCACACCTAGTATTGATTGTACACAAGAAACCCCTCTAGAAAAGAAGTGGAGGTGCCGTCTGCAGTTTCACAAAGTGCCACTAGAGGGGGCCTGAACCACCATTTAAGAAACTCTGATTGAGGCTTTTGTCCTGTCCATGTCTGAAGATGTTAAAGAATAAGCAAACAAGAAGAAAAAGATGATGATGAGGAGGAGGACAAGGAGGTGATCTGGATCATAGAATGATTAATCTTTTTAACTGAGACAGTCTCTCCTCTGGTCTGTTGTTGCAGCAGCAGGGATCTGGACTCTTTCCCTCCTTTTCATCTTGTCTTTACTTTTGTATTAATCCGGGTAAAAAGGGAGGAGTCATTCAGGCCTACAGGACAGCTGCTCTGCTGTGAGGAGCCTTAGAGGAGACTGTCTCTGCACTGATAACACTCTCCGTGTCTGACCTGCAGCCACTCAGCCTCACTTTAGAGCTGCTGGACGCTGTTTCATTTTGGTCACATGATCCTGACTCAAACTAAGCAGAGGGTCAGCACATACAGGAGTGTGTTGTCATGGTCTCACAAGATGTTTCCTGTGGTAGTGAGTGGTCCTCTCTGTATGTTCTCAGTGTTGGGGTGTCTCCATAAGCACAACAAGCCAGTCCTGTCGGATCTGGACGTTACATGAGAATGGGTTTTGTTGATGCTGAGCAGGTCTTGTTGTTCCAGCTGTTTGTCTCCTCTTTCTCAGAAGACAAACTGAATAGAAACATTATGAGTATCTCCCCATCATTGCCATGTTTGCGCTTATCATAACATTTTCACTTTTCTTTCGTTTTTTGGGGAACTTTTTATCCTTCAGCCGATCTTTGACCTTAATATCTGTTTTGATGAAAGTATGGGGGCTGCAATAATTACACTGTTTAGTACAAATGGATCTATTTTTGTATGTGAGGGGAGCATGAGTGTCCCAAATATAAAGGCTCAGAAAAAAGTCCTGCCAGTTTAGGTTCTCATAAGATACCAATCTTCCTCAGCTGAATTTTTCTTCGAATAAACAAAACAGTGTCTCTTCATATATTTATTGTAAAAATCAGATGTCATAGAAACAGGTATATTCATTTAGCCAGATTAAATCGATGGCCTTGCTGTGTTTTACGTGTTCTCTGCTCCATGGTTTAAAGAAATAAAAGCCAGCGTAGAGACGTTTTCTGCTCGCAGCGTTTGTGATTAATGAGATAATTAGAGCCGAGGGAGGCCAGTTCAGCTCTTACCTTCAGCAACATCAAACAGACTTTAAAAGAGTAATTAGCAGCCAAACGCTCTCACGTTCACAGAGGAGAATCAGAGCGATGATTAATGTGAGTGTCGTCTGAGATGAATTAATTTTCTCCATTCAGAAAAACAAACTTATCCCGTGGGGAAGGGAGAGAGAGGGGGAGATGTTAAATCTGCAGTTTGAGGAAATGTTTGAGTTTGTATGAGCAACACTCAGAGGAGCAAAATGATGAATTAACACTGTCTATTTGTCATGAGGAGAGACAGTTTACTTTTGGTTAGGGTGACTAACTGGGTCTCTGGGTCTCTGTAGTACAATTCAAACACTGAACAACTGCGTCCAAAGCCTGCAGTTAGAATAACAGAGAAAGATACAAGCCTCAGGGGGTCAGAAACACCAGGATGTCCTACTACATCTGAGGGACACGTATTAAGACTAAAGGGTAAAGAAAAGTAAACCGGGACTCAGACTGTCAGACATTTCTTCTGCTCAAAAACCAAAGAAATCTAAATTGTAGATGAACTGTTTGTGGGAGTCGAGCAACAGCAGGGAAATTGTTCTGTGCAGCTGCTGTGACGCCCTGCTGTCACCTTCACTGAATAGAGGAAAGATTTACAGGACTGAAGCGTGCAGGCAGAAAGTACCAGACTGGTGGTCTGCAGTCAGACGTGAAGGCATCTTCAGGAGGATTCAGAGGAGTCTGAGAGCTGAGTGGACTCTACAGGTCAGTGTTTACTCTGAATTATAAACAAATCAATCGAGGCAGATCTAGAGCAGCAGCAGCACCTGTGACCTGTGAGGTAAAAATCTAGTTTGATCATCGTGGTCTGGCGTGTCGTTAAGAGTATTTGTGGTTGAAAAATCATCTCCTTCCTGAACAAGAAGCTGAGTCTCTTTAGGGATAATTTCTGTGATGTTTGCAAATTTGTAAATTAATGATTAGGAGTAAAAACAAGAACTTTTTATGTAGCAGATGTCTCAGTCTTTTTCACTGCTGCAGGGTAAACACATCTACTAAATCCAATCTAGAGGGACTGCAAAACTTTTTGTACATATTTACAGCAAATATTTGCAGATTTTTTTCCATCTTATTCAAATTATTTAAAAATTTAGAAGACTTAGTTTAAACCTCATTCACCTGACAGGTCAAGCAAAATTCCAAGATGTTACACACTGAAAAGAAGATCTGAATTGACTGTACTTTGTAAAATATCTGTAATTTTTCATTTTCTTATTCCAGTGTCAGATTTTTACTCAATACAAGTGATTTAGTTCTTATTCATGGTCTTGAATACGTTGACATTTCTGGACTTTTAAGGTAAATGTGGCTGAAATAATCTTAATGAGACACTTTTTTTTGGCAGTGTTGGATTTTGAGACCTAAAAATATTTTAAAATAGTAACAAAATGATGCTTTTAATCAGAAATTAAACTTTCTGAAATGTTTTTCTATGACTGCTGCAGAAATGAAGGGATTCAGGTTTTATATTTTCTGACTTTTGCATGACTCTAGTTTATATCCTGATGAATTCCTCTTGACTTTGCTGTGAACTCTGAGCTGCTGTTTGACCTCCAGCCAGCTGCCCTGCAGGACAAAAAGCAGAGGTCAAAGGTCAAACAAAGAGGCAGTAAAACTTGAGTGGAGCTGCAGCGATGAAGCTTCACATTGAAACTGACCTCGGACCAGTTTACAATGTGCACTTCCACATACTTCTAGGCACTTCTGGCTTTACCATCTGCGGGTTTGTAACCCCATCCATCCCTCAGTTATTGCAGCCGTCTGATTGGCTGTCTTCTGTGTGTGGAGTTATTGAGCACTCTGACACTTGTAGTGGAGCTGACCTGCAGTAATGATCCCGACAGACTGACTGTAAATCTGCTTCTGGAGACGCTGACGGCTTTTATGTCCTGCTGCCGCTGCCGCCATGTGTTTGTGCGTGTGTGTGAGTGTGGGTGTGAGTGTGTGTGTTTATGAGTGTGTCTGAGCAGCTGGTTGATAGACGGCTGAGAGGCAGATCAGTCTTTGTGATGGAGGGTGAATAAGGTGCAGACAGAGCAGCTGCTGGTTCATAAAGTCTGTAAGAAAATTTTAGCAGCGAGTCAAACTCTCACACAGTTTTGTCAACAAACAATTTCATTTAAAAGTTCCCAAATGATTTTTTTATGATTTGCTTTTTTGCAGACAGGATCACAGAAAACTGGGCCCTCTGTTTTCTTGAAACTTACTTTGAGGGAGCTGCCTGTTCCCTGAAGCTCTTATCAACTAGTTGAAATATTGATACTTTTTGCAAGTTGAACTCTGACTTGTAATCAAGCAAACAACAAAATCTCCCAAAATCATTGTTTTTGATTCACTTCAGCTGTAGCTGAAATCAGAGTCAAATCATACAACATGTTTGAACTCAAAGCTGGGCTTACATTTTAGCACAAATATAACAGGAAACTCACGCAGTTACCCAGACTTTCAGTTGTATTATTCATGTCACTTAGTTTTCGGAGGGAATCAGTTTCAGTCTAGAGCCCCCGAAGTTCGCCTGGTGTGGCCAGACTCTTGTCGGTTCCATTCTTTTAGATTTTCTTTGCAACAATTGCATCAGAAAAGGTGATTATGCAGACCGACAACCAGTCAGATAAACAGAACAGGTTCTCTCGCACAGGGCAACAGAAATGAGGATGTGTCTTGTAGTGTTTCCTAAAAAAAAGGGCCGTAACAACAATTCATCATTTCTGACTTTAACTTTTTTTTTTCTTTTTTAAGGATTTGACTGAAATGCCTTCCTGAGACCCTCAGACTGTGTAATGACCTTTGATTCTGACCTGCCCTGTCACTCTTTATAGGACCCATCCTACGCCTCCTTCCTTCTCAACAAGCTCCAACGCTTCCACTGGCCTCGTCCTGACCGCCATGCCTCTCCTGATGCCCGCTGTGGCGTCTGCGGTGCCTCCTTCCACCAGTTGAGGCGTCTTGCTCTGCACCGTGCCCTCGGCATCAGCAGAGACATGACACCCCGCCCTGCTGCGCCCACAACCACAGCTCGTCCCCTTCCAATCCCAGAGGGCGGCTGGAGAGGTGATGAGCTCCCAGTCAAGCAGCAGAGATGGTCAGAGGAGGAGCAGCTGGGGGGTGGGACTCCGTGGGGATGGGGCGGAGTTCAGAGCACCTACCTGGGAGGGGGTGGAGCCAGAGGGCTGGCCACAGTCACACCTCTCCCACTGAATGCACAGACCTACCTGGAGGGGGTTTGGAGGGTGTCCTGCTACAATCCTGAGGATACTACGGTGAGCACAGAGAGACACACTGCATGTGAAGGGACCAAAGTGTGAACAGATTTAAACATGTAAACATAAGTTACAACAACAAAAACCACAAAACATAATCGAATACAACTAAAATCAAAAACCTCACACCATGTACAAGTTAAACATGTAAACATTTTTAATCCAGCTGTACAAATAGACCCCTGAAGAGATATTCTGGCGTAAAATTAATTTAGGGTCAAACACGCCGTAACACCAAGTTAGACACCCCCTCTAGAGATAAATGTTGCCAACCGCTTGCTTCTCTAGTTATACTGACTGTAGTAACGACTGCAGGATAGCAATACACAGCAGTCTGAGGAGCCATCAATAAACCTCAACCAAAAAAAGCCACTCTATAGCCACAAATAATGCTCAGAACAGCACCTAACTTCATCAACAGTATATATAAGGTCCCAGCCATAGTACTAGCCACCAAACATCTTTTTAACTTTGCCTAATCTCTTTAGCAAGGAGACTAAACACAACTCAACTACTCTCTTCCAGCAGCCACTTGTTTGTAGCGATACCTCAGGCCAGTCTACCAGGACTGCTGCGGGGTGACTCAGCTCAAGGAAAAACATTTATGATCATTTCTTTATCATTTCCTTGAAGTAATAATCACCATGTTAATCATTTTGCATTGCAGACGCAGTAGTTCTTCTGCCTTAGCAACTCAGTCTGATTGCGTTTCCATGAAGAAATGATCATAAATGTTCTTCCTTGAGCTGCGTCACCCCGCAGCAGTCCGTAATGGACTGGCCAGAGGTCTCGCTACAAACAAGCAGCTGCTGGAAGAGAGTAGGTGAGTCGTGTTTAGACTCTTTGCTAAAGAAATCAGGCAAAGTTAAAAAGATGTTTGGTGGCTAGTACTATGGCTGGGACCCTATATGTACTGTTGATGAAGTTAGGTGCTGTTCTGAGCATTATTTGTGGCTATAGAGTGGCTTTTTGGTTGAGGTTTGTTTATGGCTCCTCAGACCGCTGTGTATTGCTATCATGCAGTCATTACTAAAGTTGGTATAACTAGAGAAGGAAGCGGTTGGCAACATTTATCTCTCAAGGGGGTGTCTAACTCTGTGTTAGTGTGTTTGACCCTAAATAATTTTATGCCGGAATATCCCTTTAACATGGATGTTGATAGGGTCTTCTTGACTTTTGGAGAAAGCCTCAAGTTGAGAAACTGAAGTCTTGTGTTGGGTCCATTTTTAAATACGGAAAGTTGACTCTTGGGTTTGACTCAGCCCCTAACTTTCTGACCTCTTGAGACTGGCACATGGCCTTGAATGGCCACTTAATGAAATTACGGAATAATAAAGGATCCTAATCTAATTATGAGTGGTTCATCTCCCAGTTGAAGTTGAACTCATGAGATCATTTCTGGTGGAGCAGCTGTTAATGTGAGATGACGGCAGTGGCTGAAAGAGAGCCAATAAAGCCTCCAGCCGCTGCAGGGATCCATGTCTTTATTATCCACCCCATTATTCCCCATCAGCATGCTGGGAGAAACCACTCCTGTTCCCCCCCCAAGGACCCCAATCCCTCACAAAACTTAGACTCTCAACATCCGAAATAGAAACCTGCATGTGAGCTGCTTAAGGTTTCAGAGTTTCTGCTACAGCCGCAGACGGGGCTCAGAGAAATCCCAGCAGACATTAGAGACAGAGATACATTTAATAACATCATTCAACAAACTCATATGTGCCTGTACAAGAGTTAGACGTGGATCTTCCAGAAATTCTTTTAGCCGTGGTTTTTACTGAAAACACTTCATTTGAGAGCTCTTGGCAGGCTCTTCTGTGCGCACATGATGGTGAATAAATCATTCAGATACCGTGAAATCCTCCATGTTTTCACTCCAAAGACGACAACAACAACAAGAACTGAACCAGGACCAAGAACAGGTGGACATAAGCTGATTATTCTCACAGCGGCCAAGAAGCAGATACACAATCTGCAGTTGGCAAAAAAATAAAACCTTTATTGTATCACATCTATGTAGTATTATGTCATATGTAAAAAGGCTGCAGTTGCCAGTGTTTCCATGTTTTTACCTGAAAGATTTTAGCATGTGACCAACACTTTTATTGATTATAGGTGATGTAATAGGTCAATAGGGAGATGTCTCAAATATGTCATGAATGTAAAGGGGGCCTAGAAGTCCAGCCGTATCCTTAACTGTCGAGTTAAAACATGCCAAAATGAAGAAGCAATGTCTAAATCAAACACTCAGGGATATTCATTTTACTTTGCTTCTGCTCTGATCACACGTGTGAAATTTAGAGAAGATTGAACATTTGTGAGAGTTTTAAACAGCTGTCTGTCCTGTTTTATTACAACCAGCAACATGGGACAAATAAATGCATCCCTGTTCCCTGTCCCCTGGTCTCTGGCTCAGGTTTGTGTCTCGGCGGTTTCGTTCTGGCTGTTTGCTCGGCTCGCCTGCAGCTCTCTGTGTAATCCTGTTAGCTGGCAGAGCGTGTCCCAGTGAAACCGCTGAATAATGGACTCCCCAGTTTGTGTTTCCTGTTACCACGTTAATCCACCATAACCAGGCCACAAATCTCAGTCCAGAGATGAACAGAACAAATAAACAGAAAAGCAAGAGAAGAAGAAGGAGGAGGATTGGAAAAGGCCTGTGCACTGACAGAACGAGGGCATGTACAACACTGACCTACAGAATCATCGTAATGATCGATATGAAGGTCATGGATCTGTGATATTAAAGGGTAAATCTGTAGACTAAAGCTGCATATTTTACAACTTCAATATAGTGGATGAAACTTTGCCAAAATTAAAATGCTTTCCAGCTAGCATGACTCATTTTCTTGTTAGCAGGCTAATTAAATTCAGATTTTAAAACAGCTCAGCAGATCTTAGTGTTCTCCAGCTGTTAGCATGACTCAGCAGGATTGGCAGTGAGATAGGGCGGGCCTGAAAAGAGCCTCAGTTGTTAAAGCAGCTGTATTGTGATTGAGCAGAATGGGGACTCTGGATACCAGTGAACAGGCTAATGACTGCAGATTATTAGTTAATGACCTCCTCATCCAGAGCTTCCTCCTCACTCAGCTAATGAAGATTCAAGCTAATGAGCTGGTAGCAGCGGCGGCCATGTTTCCTGCTGCTTCGTCTCCTCTGGGATCAGCTGAGTCTCATCACTGTTGGAGGATGTTAATTAATAAATCAAACATCTTTTATTTTGGCCCAAGATTTGAATAAACAGTTTCTTCAAGTAAGGGGATAAATGCTGCCTAGAGAAAACATTTATCGCTTTATACTTTTCTTACAAGTTTGATTTCTGACCATTTTTTAAAAAAATTTGGAATAATCTACTTTTCTATTCATTATCAGATAATAGGGTTCTCTTTTGCCATGGGTTTTGGAATAAATTGGATCCGTCTGATTTGATGAAGATATAAACTTTAAGATTTTCTAATCCAGATTACAGAAATCCTTTGTATTTATATACTTTTGCCACAGGGGGCGCCAAATTCACACATACAGAAAGAAATATTTCATGTTTGATATTGTTTCTATTTGAAGAAAAACTGGTACTTTTTTCAAAACCAATGTCTACTTTATAAACTCTTTAGATATATCATTATCCAAGTGCTTGTCCTGATATTATTGATCAAATCCTTCCCAGAAATTTTAACACCACAATATGAAGGTTCGGTCAGGATAAAATTGAAATTTTATGGTCTGATTGCACATTCTGTTCTTATGAATGATCTTTCCAAAAGAGATGATCCATTCTGATCGTTTTAATCTGATCAAACGATTCTGAACATCTGGGCCCAGCTCGAGTTTTTTCCTCGAGCTCATCTTTAAGAAACTTTTTTTAAATGAATAAACACTTTCTTTACAATGAAGCATCATTTAAACATTGCTGTCAGTTCAGTAACATTAATATTCTCGTGTATAAAATTTCCTTCTTTCTCATGTGTCTTGTGTTTCAGGGTTTGACTTCAGACTATATGACCTTAACTGGCTCGATACAGGAAATCAAACCAGCAGGTCACAGCATTGCCACCCAGACGAGCCAACCCCCATCTGCTGCAGCCTCTTTCTTCATCAGGTCAGTGAACGCATCACTCCTTAAAACCTTTAACCTTCATCCAAACTCAGTGCAACAACTTTGAAAAGTTGTGTGTCCTTTCTCGAATTACACAGTTAAGTGTATGATCAAGCACATATCCTGGTATGTGTACATGACAGGGAACAACCTCAGCCCCATTTTAAGACAGGAAAACCCTATTACATAATATACAGCAATTTCAGTGTGTTTAGGGGCTTTTAGCTGCACACAATGTTCCAAAAATGTCATATAATTGGGGTGATACAGCACACGCAGTGTTTCTATCTGCAGGAAAATGCTGACACATCTCCTCCCTAATGCGGGGTCTTGTATTTGAAAGGGTTAAAGTTTCGATCTAAAGGGCCTTTTACTATGAAGGGAAAGTTAAAACGAGAATATTTCTACAGTGAAAAGGCCTGAATCTCATGAATTTATCCCCAAGCATTAGAAAAATCCTGTAATTTCATGCCATCCTCTCTGATCCAGATTCAGTCGTGAGAACACGCTCTGAAAAGTAAAACCAGTCTTCTCCCCGTACAGAATCTAATTGGCAGGTTTTCTATTTTTATCCAGTGTGAGTGGTTGGAGCTGTCAAGGAGCAGCTGAGCAGCAAGGCCTTCAGGGTTCAGAAGGGTTTCAGTGTGACAAGAATTACAGCTGGGTTTGTGTCTAATCTGGATAAATTGGTGTTGAATAGCTGATGGAGACTCACAGAATGAGCAGAGTCTGTGTGGTGCCCAGAGTGTGTAAAAAACTCACCAAACCTTTGGACTGGATCGTGAGACAGACGCGAACAGACAGAGAACAGCAGTGCTCTTTTTAAGTTCCGGGGACCTCTGACTGCTGCAAAAAAGACACCTTTTTACCTCTTTTTTTTCTTTGTCACTACACAAACACTCACCTCTATCTTTACTGAAGGACACATACATATCTAAAAGGATTCCACTTAAACTTTTAGTTGAATTAATGTTACAGAAATTCAGCCCTGCTTATCAAAGTACCAACTGCAGTTCCTCAAGTGCCCATAGGGGGCTTTCTCCTAAAGTGAGTCAGTCCTCATAGAGCCTCATGTTAAAATGTCAAACTCAATGGCAGAAATAAACATGTTTACATCCTGGATTTAAAAAATTGTTTAGGTCTCTGAAGCTCATTTCTCTGTTCATGAAAACTGTTCAGGCTAAACTCCCCAGTTTACAATATATTTAAGATTAAAGTTCAGGGAAATTAGGGGCGTGGCCTCTGTGAGTGACAGGTGGGAGCTGCAAGCTGTCAATTAAGCTAATTCCGTCACTGAACTTCATCTCCGGGTCACTTTGGGGAGATTTTTTCATGTTGGATTAATAATTGCTGTACTGGATTTACAGACCCTCAAAGAAATCTGACACAGTATCTTTACACTCAGTAAAATTCTGATCTGGATGTAAACATATGAGGAGCTGAGGTAGGGGTTTACCATACCTTAGTCACATATTGCCATACATGGGAGTCAGGATTTTCTCAGTGTCTAAATATGGTCACTGAACTATGAACATAAGGCGCTAAAAATCACTGAATGATGGGTGATATCGTGGCGGTGACCTCAATCACTACCTTGGTCTGTTTTCTGAACAGGTGAGAGGACACCTGTGAGCTGCAGCAGTCTTTAACATCTCCATATTTATGGAGTACAGTTTACCACGGTGCTCCTCCAGCAGCTCCTCAAACACCTGAGCCCAGCTGAAACTCTTCAGACAGGTCTCAGGGTCATTGTTACCCAGCATCCACTTCAAAGACTTCCCAGCATGCATCTGTAAGTGGGTGGTGAGGGCTGAGAGGAGGCAGCAGAGAGTCACTCTGCTTTTATCTGAGGATCTTTGAAGGCTCCATTAGCCTGCAGCTCCCCGCTGAGCACACACACACATCTAAGATAGAGTTCCTGCGCAGTTACAGCGTGGTTTAGTGCTGTTAAATCCTGCAGAACTGGTCCAGTCTGAGTGGATGCCATGGGTGAGCGCCAACATCTGTTCTACAAAGCCAGTTTAATTATCCAGGTTATCTCAAGTCACCTGATCCACTGAAACTCACAGTCATGGTCAAATTGTCCAATCACCAAATGATCAGCAGAGACGCCAATTGATCGGGATGATCTAAAAAACATAATACAGACTCAAACCAACAACAACCATGACTACAGAGGAAAACTGACTGTGTGAATATCCAAGGTCACAAAACATCTACTCTCCACAATCAGAGTTTTTATGGAGGATGAAAAAATTGAAGGGATGTTCCGATCTGGATCTCAACAACTAGACTTGAGCCGATCTAAAGAGGATAAAAGTTTAAAAAATGAAAAATAAATAAATCAGCAGAGAAAAGGCGAATGTGAGACTGAAAACAGAAAATCTGTAGAGCATGGAGAGAAGCCAGAGACGGACATTCAGGCTCTCTGCCAGCAGACAGTGAGGAGTCGACAGTTGGAGGTTCAACAGGAGACGACCGTGTTAACATGAAGCAAAGTGAGAACGCTGGCAGACGAGTGGGAGTTATTTCAATATGGCAGCCAGAGATGTTTTCCCTCCATCTGTTTGTCAGTGTGCAGAGAAATCCCCCTCCACTGCCCAGAAGACACTCAACAGTTACAGTAAATACACACACATTCATCGCACAACACCGTCTTAAAACTCTCATTCATCATGAAATTTACTTACTGTAAATTTACTGCTACACAACTTTAATCATTCACTTTAATATGGACATTGTTTCCAAAGCAGCATAATCACTAAACAATTGGTTGCATTAAATACCTGATTCTGATTGGTCAAAACCCTGTAACAGTAGCTACGTTTACATGGAGCCAAATATTCCGAATATAATCGGATTAGAAGCCCAATCGGAATGAAAATGCTCCATATAAACACCTCATTCGGAATAAACAGGCCCATTCCGAATGGAATTTCATTCCGATTCACAGGGGTAGAATTTTCCTTTTCCCATTCCGATTAAAAGCAAAATCCTGTCATGTAAACGGTGAATCGGAAAGTTGTCAGGCTGGGTTCTGTCTGCGCATGCTCTGTCCTGATGTAAACAAGCAGTGACGTATGACTCACATGGTGGGACATCATGTGACAACATCACGTGATGTTTGAAGGTATCACGTGTCTGTAAATAGCTGTTCCGATTGAATGCCGTGGCACATGTAAACACCAGATCAGAATAGATCGCTTCCATGTAAACAGTTCGCCTGGGAGCTTCAATCGGAATGATTATAATCCGAATGAGAAAAAAGTCTGCATGTAAACGTGGCTAGTAATAAGGACACCAGGAACAACCTGACCCCACAACACATCATATCAATCCACATGGAGGAGTCCAACGTGTTTCACCTTGACCTGTTGACACAGTGGAAACCCTAATTCAACAGCTTCAGCGACATTAAAGATATTTTATTTTTAGATCCTCTCATCTCTACAAACAAACCATGAGTGTCTGTGTTGATAGCAAGAATACTGAAAGTACTGAAAGAATACTGAAAGCCTTATTTCCACTTACAAATGTCCGTGTTTGTGAATCTGCTTGGAGTGTGTTCAAGGGATTGAACTGTTGCTGTCGATTCCTAAGAAACCATTGGTGGTGCGCTTTCAGAGCTCAAATGTTATTGTTTCTCTGGTTCTGGAAAATTTGTAACCGAGTACTTCATGGACCTAGTTTCGATTCCCTTTCTCATCTACAACAGGATTTTTTTATTGTAAGAACCCCACTTTTCTATCTCATTGTGGGGTTGATCACTTCAGGTCCTTGTGGATCCTTGCACGTCCAAAGCAAACCCCCTTGCCTCTCCGAATCGCTGAACCCCTCGGGTGCCAACATCCATTTAAAAAGAAGGCGCCTGAAGCCATGTGACATGAAAACCGCCGACACTGCACCTCTGGAGGGGGGGTGTCGTGGGTAGTCAGGGGTGTTGGCTGGTGTCAGCTGATTTTACACCCTCTCTGTTTGGAGGCTGCTGAGCTTCAGTTGTAATTATCGCTGACAAACCCCAGAGTGGCGAAGTCACCAGTCATCCCCCCACACCCCACCTCCTACACCTTCCACCCTCCATCTGATATGTATGCATTAGCTGGTGTTCATGGTAGGGAGAGCACAGAGGACGAAGAGGAGGGTGGAGTGCCTTTGAACAGAGACCTTCATCCTGTGATAATTCAGCCTCTTGAGGAAGAGCTCTCTGTGTCTGAGATCATGAAATTATTAAAGTTGAATGTCCTCACACATGAAACCCAGAGACAGAGCCCCCCCAAGAAATCAAAGCTCATCCCACATTCAACTTCAAAACCGCAAACATGAAGGAAGGAGAGAAGAAGATGTCGTCCATTATTCAGGGGACAGAGTGAGACCTCGCCGTGGAAACATGTGAAACGTCTCGGTTCATGAACACAACAGGATGTTGGTGACGAGATGGAAGAGGTGGTGTTCACAGAAACACAGCAGAGCCCTGCAGACAAACAAACAAACACCATTGAGGATTTTTTTCTCTTCAAGGAGGGAGGAGGTCGGATCTGAGGCGCCAAACTCTTTGCTTTGGACTGGACCCGGGGTGGCAGTAGCTCAGGAGGTAGAGCGATTGGCCAATAACTGGAAGGTTGGCGGTTTGATTCTCCCCTACCCTTAGTCTGTCTGTTGTGTCCTTGGACAAGACACTTAACCCACCTTGCTCCCAGTGTGTGTCCTCCACTGGTGTATGATTGTGAGTGTTGTGTGGTGGTGGTGGGAGAGGCCGTAGGCACAAACTGGCAGCCACATCCCCGTCAGTCTGCCCCAAGACAGCTGTGACTACTAAGGTAGTTTACCACCACCAAGGTAAAAGTGGAAAACCTCCCCTTTAAGACCCACAGCAGCACCATAAGTGGGTTGTAACATCTTGAGTGATTAAAATAACACCTTGCCTTCAGACCTTTTCCGGTAAAACCCTCCAAAAAAGCTGAACATTAAATCAAACTCCCCACAAAGGAGGGTTAAGTTCCCCCAAAGTGGGTCTCTGGCTCTGGGCCCGGCTGTTCTTATCAAATTCCAGGAGTGATAATCTGGCTTCCTAAAATCTGTCAGAGCAACCAGACTCCCTGCATCAGTGTGTGAACGTGCTCCGCAGCTGCAGCAATGCACCAAAACCTGACCTGCAACACGGAGGCTGATTAACCATGCAGGGTCTGATGTCACTGAAACACAAGTCAGAGCGGCTCCTGACTTTGAAAAGTTTTAAGGAATGAAGATCAGAGTGAACCCGGAGCAGCAGAGGAGTGACTGCAGATTAAAGAGTGAAACATCAGGACTTTTCTTCATTTACTGATATGTGTCTGAATTACTGAAACAGTCCTTAAGCGGGGCTCACACTACAAGATAATTGTGCCCTTTTTGTGTCCAGTTCCCACAAAAGTCAGAAAGCCAAATTATCCTGTGGTGTGAGGTGTGTTAGAAAGAGGACCATCGAATATGGATGATCAGAGCCTCCTCAGTCTTGAATTATAAATATCAAACATGCTGTAAATAACCCTAACTCTGAGGACGACTGAGCATTCACTCCGTCTGCTGTCTCATTGACCAAATCGATATCATGTTGGGAAGCAAGCAAACCAAAGAAGGATGCACATCAAACACAACCATGGCAACGATGGTAAACATGAAGCATAAACCAAGATGGAAGTCAGAAAAAGAGAACCTACTTGTTGATATGTGGGGAGAATATGAGTGTTTACGCAAAACAAACCTGAACCAATCTTTCCCTCTTTTCTAAGTGTAGTGAGTCGAGTTCCTCTGCTGGAAATCGGCCTCAGCACATGCTCACTCTATATTTCAGACACCAAAAACAGCAGTATTTTACAGTACTGACTCCCTTCGTGATTTGTTCCGAGCTTCATATCATCTGTTCATCAGTCGGACTCTTTTTATTGCTTTACTTTATAAAAGTCGAACCTTCCTCACAGGGGAAACAGTCTGCAGAGCGATGCTTCCACTCATATCAGATAAGTTCATTCTGCAGAGAGCGTATGGTCAGTAAGTGTGAAATTGGACGTCTGTCAGATTCAAACATCTGCTGCTCGGGGTCTGTTTGTCTTGTATCGACCATGGTCCTCTGAAGATAGACATGTCTGATAACAAAGAGTTGGTTATTTTTGTTTTATGTGGTTCAGGAAGATGTTTTTATCCTCAGAGGAGGCGAGCTGCGAGATTTATATATAAAAACCCAGAACCGCTTAAGCGATGTCTTCCCCCAAGAGTTTTTTTTCATATCCTTCTATCACTCCTCGTTATCTTTGCAGGGGAACAGTTACTGATCCACCTCAAAAGTGGGGTATGATAAGTTTACCTCTCAGAGTTATGTATAAAAACCTAAAAAGCTCATTTTGGAGTCAGTCAAACTTCTTAGCTGCAGCAGAGCCTTTTGACCCAGCTTTAACCTCTCTCTCTCTCTCTCTCTCTCTCTCTCTCTCTCTCTCTCTCTCTCTCTCTCTCTCTCTCTCTCTCTCTCTCTCTCTCTCTGTGTGTCAGGGCTGTTTGATCGGCCGTCAGTTTTGAAACGAAAGTTGGAGGACAGATCCTAAGTTTAGACATGCAGACAGTGTGTGGGTGGGAAAATTAGCTGGAAGAAGATGGTGCAGGGGTGGACAAAGCTTGGTAAAAGCTAATGGCTAATGACGGCTGAGACACAAATCATCCTTTGAATTTAAGACAGACAGACAGCAGTGTGATGATCAGTCTGTTCAACCTCAGTCTGACCACTTTTATCATGGCTGCACTGTGAATGTCTGTGAATGTAAGTCAGTTTAACTTCCAGAAAAAATGTTATTCAGCCAGCTTGGTCTAAAAAGATTTAGGTATCTTGAGGAAGTTACTCACAACATAAAAAATATATTTTATTAAACAATCAATGACATTAATAAGTAAAGTCTCCTCTGGTCTGGGATCAGTGTAGAGTCTGATCACCACCTCCTGCAGGCCAACTCTGACAGATTTCCTCGGGCGGCTCACCTCATATTGATTGGTGTCTGGTTCAGGGTATTGATCTGGACTGTACTGGATATGGATCTGTGGATTGCCTCTGAATGATCAGCTCAGAAAACTCTCCCTCTCGCTCTCTGCAGAAATGATATTTTTTTCCTGCGGTATTGATCGCCTCCTCTGATCACTCATCATCTGTCAAATCATGCTCACTTATGGATTTTCTATTTTAGCCCCAGACGTGAAGAAGTTTGGACTCTCAGTCTGAAAAAGACTGAGAATATTTGATATTTGGGAGTTTTGGAACAGTTTTGGTTTTTGATTTCCTCTTTTTGGTCACTGACCAATCAAGAACAAGGACAGTAGAGTATGGATCTTACAGTGCTGTAGTACTTCACTCCAGGACTTAAGCTGCGTTACAGTTACCTCGGAAGTCGGTTGTCGGAGCTGGTAATGACGTTACACCCGAGTTGACGGCATTCCAGTTAACAGGTCGGAAAACCAAGATGGACGCCTACAGTTACCGTTGTTAGCTATTGTTTACAATTGTCAGCTGCTATTAGCCGTTGTCAGCTGTTGTTAGCTGCGATACCAGTTGTAAACAATGCATAACACAGTATCTTACTATTACAAACGCTGTAGCACCATGTTCATAGTTAGACGTTGGGCAGTATGACATATACCACTTATTTAATTTAACAAAAACAAAACAGAAGTGCTAATAAATAATACATTACAAGAGCGTTCACTGTTACTCTTTACTGTTGATGCACTGCGCTGCCATCTTGGATTATGACGTTGATGTCAAGTCGGGGTTGGTGAGGATCGTCCGACTTTCTGAGTCAGAAATTCAACTTCAGGGGGGCGTTCCAAATGAATTTCCGATTCGTAGCTCGGAAGTTCCTGACATCTGAGTAGAACTGAAGTGCAGCATTAGACTATGGTCTGATGTAGTCTGATGACTTGACATTCAAGTGCACACAAATCAGATTTGGACTTGGACTGGAGCATGGCTGTAGCAGGACTTTGAAGGTAAAAAGGAGTATTCAAACTTATTCACTGACAAAAACTGTTTAACTGAACTTTTGTTCCTTGAAATGTTTGACTCTAGTATCTTAGATGTGTTCACCTGCAGGCACATCCACATGCAACAATAAAGCAGTGGGAACTCAACTTGTTCTTGAATTCTTGTTTGGTGGCTTGGACTTGAACACTGAAGACTTGAAATTCAAATCAGATGGGAGGTTTGGGGACAGGACTCCAGGAGCGGTAACTTTAAACTTGGCAGTAGTATTTGACCGAAGCAGGTCTTGGGTGAGGCTGGTCTGTGAGTGTCCTTGTCCTGTAGCTTTATCAGATTGGCCCCATACTGTATCATGGAGACGATGGATGAATACCGGTTACTTTAAGCCTCCTGGTACACTCAATTTCACTGTTGCCTGCAGCTCACCTCTGTCAAAAAAGCACATTGTGGCCAATTTACTATCTCAGGTAAATAATTCATTAATTGATCCCATTTGATTGTTAGTTTATTTTTCCATATCTACTGAAAGATCCATCCACACATCTGCTTTTTTATCAACTACACACACACACACACACATACACACACACACACACACACACACACACACACACACACACACACACACACACACACAGTCTCAGTGTCTTTGAAGTCCAGTAGTGGGGGGGCATGAGGGTATCTGTCATCTCATGAAGTATTCATGTAGCATGTCAAGTGTGTGTGTAAGAGTGTGTAAGTGTGCGTTCACAGCTTCTGTGTGTCGACACGAGGAGGAGGCGGGGCTGTGAAGAGGGGGAGGAGGAGGAGGGGGAGAGGGAGGGCAGGGAGGAGAGGGAGGGAAGGTGAGTGAGGCAGACGGACGGAGGGACAGAGGGAGGAAGGAAGGCTGGAGCATCGCCAGCGTTTCCCGGCAACAACGACATCGAGAGGCAGGAATCCACCCGCTCTTCATTCACTCCTTTATTTCTACCTCTAATCCTTTATTCCTCCTCTGCTGCTGCTTCCCTTCATCCCTCCCTCTCTCTCTCTCCTGGAGTCAGAGGAGGAGGAGGAGGAGGAGGAGGGAGGGGTGGAGAGGAAGAGCATTGCGATACTGCAGGAACAGACTGAGGAGCTACAGGAGAGAAGAGAGGGAGAGGGAGGAGAGGTGGAGGAAGGAGAATAGGGACACTGAAAGGAAAAGAAGTGGACAACGAAGGGAAGAATTGAAAAAAAAACTGAGAAGGAAGGTGAGAGAAAAAGAGTGGGAATGAGGCAAAGTGAGAGGAAAAGGTGGGAGTGCTTGAACCAAGAGAAAAAAGACAGAGAGGGGGAGATAGATGAGAGATTAAAGTAGGTGATGGAAAGGTTAGGATAGAGGAAAAAGGAGGGAAAGAGGTCAAGTGGCTGCAGGGGGTAATAAAAAGGGATGAAATCTGATGTAGAGCGAGAAGAAGAGGTGAGGAGCATCATTTCATGATCTAAATGTTAGTTTGTTCACATGGACATTTGGTGCCAGATTTTTCTGAGTGAAAGATGGAAAACAGGTGAATCTTTGGCGTCTGCCTTGGTTGACAAACTGAACTGAACCTCCGCAGTTCGTTGCAGGATTTAACTATTTTCAGCGGATCATGCCTCGACAGAAACTCTCAACATTTTTCGTTGAAAAGTTTCAGCGGCTCGGATGGACTCTCACCATCAAGACTTCATGTCAGAGATGAATCCGAGGACTCTGATTGACGGACAGATGAGGGGGGTTCATTGATGTGTGAAGGATAAGTGGAAACGTCTGTCACTTTACTTTGATTGATGAGCGACTGAAACCTGTTGGAGTACCAACAACAGATCCCTGTTGAGTTCAGCGAGAAAGAAACATTTCTTCGCAGATGATGTTTGGATTTACAGATGACTGGACGATCAGTGGGCTGATATATTAAGAATAACTTTGGACTTATGTTTTGATGTTGAAACGATGGACAGAGTTGGATCTTGGAAACCTCATTCATTCTGAGAGTATTTGACAAGGACAGAGAGGATACCAGAAGTTTAACTTGAAGAACTTGCAACTATTGTTCTTCCTCAAGTCTTTGGTGACAAAACCTTTATCACAAAAAGAGCACAGAGATTAAGAGTTTACAGGTGGATGAAGTAAGGTTTATTGACTACTTAAAGAGAAACTGATTTAATTGAAAGATCTTGAAAGAAGATCTGGTTCATGAACAGGGGAGGTCTTGGAAAAATTCAATGTTTAATGAAAGATCTGTGAATATCTTTGTCTCCAAGACTATCCGAGATATAAAAAGATTTTAAAATACAAACAGGAAGATGGTCTCAGGTTTTCAGGTTTCTAAGCTTCAAATTTGGACTCTTGGGCTGTTTGATTTGATGAACAAGTTGACTAAAAACCAATAAAACTCCAAATTATTTCATGAACCAATGATGCTTAGAAGCGAATATGGCTAAACTAAGAAATCATCTTCTGATAATAAAAGGTTTGATGAGTATTAAAAAGTATAGATGACGCAGAAAACGTTGTGCCAAACTGAGTTTGTTGCTAACTGTGTTTGCAGACATTGGTCTGATTTATTTGAGAGGTCACTTTAGTGATACCTAAAGGATAAATTAATACTCTTGATTACCATTAAATGCTGAAATTAGAGGTAGAAACAGGTTTGAATGATCGGCTGAGACATTTTCAATGAGACTTTGTGAGGAATCCTGTCACTCAGATAAAATAAATGATGAAATGAGTTATTCTGACTAAAAACATAAAAAAAATCTGGACTTCCTCCTAGCTGGATATCGGTGGTTCTGACCTCAAATCTTTGTGTCCTTGTTGCTTGAACAGTTTTCTTCGGCTTTTGGATCAATCAAGTCTCTTTGAAAACTTCTTCAAAAGCTCTTTGAGGTTTGAACTGGATATCTCCTCAGTCCTGACCCGTTTCGCCTGAAAACTCTCGCTTTCCATCACTTCTGGTTCAACTTGGGGGTTTCCTCGTTGATATGCTTCTTCATTGATCACATCTTTGATCTCTGAGTCTGGATGCGATCACTCAGATGTTCTCCATCACGGTCTCACTGGATGAAAAAAGTTTTTTTATGATGGTGAATGAGGTCGAGAGAAAGTTTGGATCTGGTTTCTCTACAAGGCAAAGAAGTTTGAGCAGATAATGGATTGGAAGGAACTGTGAGTATCACTCTGCAGTTAAACCCTCTCTTTAAGTCATTTCTTCTGACAGGGCAGACGCTGTGGCAGTGAGTGGTGTGTAGGACTTGAAATTGATACTGTTTTTGTCTGTGGAGAGAGACCCCCTTGTTTTTACCAAATGCTCTTATACTGAAATTGTGTCCAAAGCAGTTCTTTGGCAAAAGGAGTGACTTGAAGCACTCTTTACTCCAGTTTAAGGGGAATTTAAGCTTTAAAAAAGTTATCATTAGCCATGCTGGAGATAGATAACATCAGGCTTCAGGAAATATTGATTCTTTTTTTTTTTATCTCTCAGCTTTTAACTTGTGACAGCATTCTCTAATATCATTAAATATAAAACAGAGTCTTAACACATGGATTACATAAAAGCAGATAGCTCATTCATATAAATGAGCATACCTCTGCAAAATGCATGGATCAGGATGGGAGAATCCAGCACAATCCTTTCTTCCTCTCCTCCTTCTAAATCATTGTGGTTCAAGGTCAGACCAGCACACAAATAGAAAGCTGCCAACGGTGCGGGTCGGTTTTCTTTGACTACCTTTAATAACTTTTGACATTAGAAACACAGACAAGTTTGGAGCGTCTCTTGCTTTATCATTATCAATGGGTAAGGATGCAGGTAGAGCAGCAGCAAAGACACTTAGGCTACATTCAGACACATTAAAGCCAAGGCAGCGGGAATAGCAACAAAGGTCACATTAAAATGATGGGCTTGGGTGGGGCCAGGATGCAGGTTGCAGAGTAAGCTGGTTATTGTCTGAAATGGGCTGCCTTTAGGGTCAGCTGACTTTGTGGTCTGCCTGAACTAACACTGGGTTCAGCTACATGAAATTACAGTAGTGTTACACAGTCTTCTCTCTGAGTTGTTTGAGTGGTGTTTATGGTCTGCGTGTACACTTGTAAATGTTATCTAGTGTCTTTGTTGCACTGGTAATAACTTTGTCTTAAACTTTAAGTCTTTATGTCATGTGTGAGACTCTGTACACTCTGGTTTTAGTCATCACTTGCTTTTGACTGAAACATAAATGCTGTTTCTCTCCATTTTATCGTCTAAAACGAGCTTTAGATTTGTGGATATTGATGTGTCCACAGGAGCAGATAAGACAGTAAAACCTGGTGTAGTCAGGATTAAACCATAAAGTTGGTTCATTCTTGTAGCGGTGGGATTGTTAACTTTTATGTCTGGTTATAAAATAACACATACTATCATCTGAAACTGGAAATACAGACTCACAGTATTAGAAAGCAGATTCCAGCCCTGTTCATTACTCTCCGAGGTCTCTTTCTGTACAAGGCTGTAAATAAATCACAGTAACATGTTTAACCCTTTATGTGCCACTGCTTCCACTGAACCAGGACCAGAGTTCAACCAGTAAGCGGTTTTTCTTTTGCCCACCAAAGTAAAAATGAGTGGTTTTGTGTTTTATCTTCAGGGCGGCTCAGAAGCTGAGTCTGTCCCGCAGGAAGAAGTCCCAGCCAGGCCCCGCCTCCCCACCCAGTGAGGTCCCAGGGCTCCTGCTTTACACCGGGGGCTTCAGTGGCGCCCTGCAGCTCTCCCCGCCCGCCATCCCGCCATGCCTCCTCCGAGCTGGGTCGAAGGTCAAGGACACGCCAGGGATGGGAAAGGTGAGACGTCATGTTGTTACCCAGAATGCAGTGTTCTCAGGCTTCTGGAATCTCATGAATCCAGATTGTGATGTTGACAATGCAGTAGGTTGAGGGAAACAGCCGGGTTAGGGTGGGTGGAGTGGGTGGGGTCATAGGGTCATAAAGATGAAAGAACTTCCTGTTTGTGTATGAAGGGACTGATTGACTCGAGGGTCTTTGTGCTCAAGGACAAGAAGCCATCACATCTAAGACCACTGTGGGAAATATTTCCCTGTTGTTGAACAGTGTGTTCGATTAGCCTTTAGTACCACTAGTTTGCTGAGTTACCATGGAAACAGTCATATAGTTAGTAACAGCAGAGTTTGATGGTTTGCATATCAATTCAAGCCTGTATATGATTGAAAATACTGCAAAGAAACCAAACATCAAATGCTAAAACAAGAAAGATGAATAAGAACGATTAACTGTTATGTTTAGTTGAGACAGGGAACCCAGCAGACCAGGTTCTGGAGTCTGAAAGTGAAATGCTGTCCCATCCTCGCCTCAACAGCTCAGGGTCTCCTTTGTCCTATTTTTTCATTTCATCTTACTCCAAATGTTTTCAATCTATAACAAATTACTGCTCAAAGTCAGGTGGTACATCTCCCCTTTTCCGCTTTTCCTAAATAAGCTGATGCAGTGATTCCCACTTCAGAGTCCTGTATGTTTTTAATGTAGTGTTTTCTCTTATACAACTTTTTTACCTGTTTGGTTAACTGATAATGATTGTCGATGCTGATTTTAAAACTGATAATTCATAAGATCAATAACATATATTTGGTACTGATATGCAGTTGACATTTCTCTTGAGTACAGGCATACAGATAATCGACCAAATGGCAAATATCAGCCCCAATAATTGGCTGCCCCTGTTTGATTGTCCCGCTCCAAACTTTTTGGAAAATGTTATTGCTATCAAATTTAAAATGATCATATATATTTAGTAGAACAGAAAAAAACCTTTCTATTTCAACACTTATATGTTCTCTTTGCACGTCTTCAATTGAATAAAAGCCTTAAATCATTTAAAAACCATCAAAACCTGTTTTATGAACATTTTAAACAAAGTCTGAACTACTTGGAACTGAGGATATCGTAGTGATAATACTTTCTGGAGGAAGAAGTCACAGAAAACTTCAAACCTTGTGTTTCGTGTCTCGATCCACATCTGAGTCAGTCTAGCCTGACAGAAAGAGGTGTGTCGGATTTTGACTCTTTAAAAGAAGTAAAAAGAGTTTACGATTTCAAAATTACAGTCAACACAGGAGCACCTTTATCCTGCTTTTCTTCTGGTGCCCAGCAGGGGGCAGCTGGTGTGTCTGATCTTAAAGCAGTGTGTTAGGTCCTGTTCTGGTTCTGATGGTTTTTATAGGTAGATCAGAGATCTGCTGAGTCAGCGCTGTGTACTGGCCTGGTGGTTGGGTTTAAAGCAGCAACAATCTGAGACACAGCAGATTTTTAATGTCGTGTTACTGTGAGCCAACAGAGCAAATCATCAGCAGACAGGACACTACTGATCTACGGTCGCTAGCAAATGCTCCTGAGCAAAGAAAGGAGAAAACTATAGTTGGATAAAAGTGAAGACAGGGTAAAGAGATTAAAAATATTTGAGAAGGTGATCGAGAAAGAAAGGTGAGGAGAGAAAGAAAGAAGCAAAATCGTACAAAGAGTTAGAAAATGGAAAAACCAAACCATGCTACAGAAATGTGAAAGAAAAAGCAAATAGAAGAGAAAAAAATGGAAGGGATGTGGTAAGGAAAAGGAGGACAGATAATGATAATAGAGGAATTTCAAAACAGGTTGAAAATGGAGGGGCAAATAAATTTACACAGAGGAGGGAAAAGGAATATCATCAGTGTGGTTTCACTTCTCTGTTAGAGCTGAAAGCTGCTGTGCTGCTCTCAGATCAGTTTATGAGCGATTTGCCGCTGTGACTTGACTTTATAACCAGCAAGAGCCAATAAACTGAGTCAAACACCAGAGACCTCAGACCGCTCTGCTGAGGTCTGTTCCTGTCACTTTACTGCCTGTTTTCTATGTCTGAGACTTAAATAGACTAATACTGTAAATCCCTGATAAAAACTTTACTATTTAATAAAAACATCAAGTGTTACAGTCTGTAAACGTTTTATAAATTTAAGTTATTTGTTTCCAGCCCAGTACATTGCAATTACAGGCTCTTTAGATAAATTATTGGCATGGGGGTCATTTTTGGAAACAGCCCTTAGTGGACATCAGAGGAACTGCAGGATCAACAATCGGTAGCTGTAATCCTTGAGCCTATTTGGATAAGACCTTTCGGGGAGACTTTCCTGATTTTGAAGTTTCCTTTAAAACTTTTGACTCCCACAGTGTAACTCTTGTAAAACCCGGTCCCTGATCAGCTCTTGCTCCACCGCCCTCTCTGATCTGGATTTCCTTTTCTTCTCCAGGTCAGGGTGATGGTCCGGATCTGTTCGGTCCACAGCAGCGAGTCCTCAGAGTCCATGTCCCTCCTGAAGGTAGATGGAAGAAAGAAGCAGCTGACTCTCTATGAGACCTCGGTTGGCGGGAACTCTGCCTCGTCCTCCTCCTCGCACAGACGGTCCTCCTCCTCTGCGCCAAAGACCTTCACGTTCGACGCCGTCTTTACGCAGGATGCTTCACAGGTCAGACAGAAGCAGGGACCACATAAGACTGTGACATGTTGGTCTTTGGCTGCTCCTGATTAGACTCTACCAAAAAAGGAGGGGGGATCTGGTTGGTGGACAGGCTGACTCAACGTCCTTGTCCCCTCCTTTAAGTCCAAGATAAAACAATGTTGATAGATTTCTATTTTTGAAAATGAGAAATTAATCACATTACCAAGCAGTCTAGCATTGTTTAGTCTCTAAATAGGCAATGCACTTCTGTACTAGACTGAAAACTCTCTGAAAAGGATGTAATTCCCGAAAATTGGCTGAAGGGTTAGCTGTCTATCACAGCTGTCTGTATAATGATAGATTGGGTGGTTCCAAAGATTTTAGACACATAGGGGAGAGTGGGGTAAGTTGAGCCACAGGGTAAGTTTAGCCAACACCTGATGCTTGGAAATTGTAAAAGAAATTGATCATGTGACCAAATATTTAGGAGATGGGCATCAATTCATGGAGTCTGTGAAGGTTAGAAGCACATGGGGGAAGGGGTTAGACATTTATTAGTCTGTCATAAGTTTTATTAGAATCATTTTAAGATCATTTAAAATTTGTTTTATACATCAATTTTGGTATCTATGAGCTACAACATGAGGTCAAAAACCTAGCATAAAAGTCCACCATTTTAGCCAAGAGGACTAATAAAGTCAACTTACCCCATACACGGGGTAAGTTGACCATAGGAGACCACTTTTTTTGGCATGCTATATTATCAAGACAGTTATGTTTACACTCTGTTGGTTTGCAGGGATGTACAACATCTTGAAATATATGCAGATAAACTAGTTAGAGACAAAACTATGATTGCCTTGATGTAGTGATCCGGAATATGATAAATGTCTCATCTTACCCCACTCTCCCCTAAGTAGAACCGATGTCTGATTATCTCAGGCTGATCCGTTGAATTAAAAACACCCTCACTCTGCAGTTCTACCGCCACCCTCAGCTTCTCTTCCTCCCCCGGAAAATACAAATTCGAGTCACACAGCCAAAGTTTGAGCTCTTCATCTACCGTCAGCGCTGCAGCAGCGAGCTGTCCGTCCCCTGAGATACTGCAGGAGGTGTATGTGGATCAGAGAGAGAGTGTGTGACAGAGGCTGAGTGAGTGCAGTCAGAGGGTCTGTGATGTTATTCTGACCTCCTCAGCGAGCGGGCGGGCGACAGGGAGTGGCAGCATTGAGACGGATGTGAAGAGTGGGATTCATAAAAACAGAGGATGACATTTAGGAACATTTAGGTGACTGTGCTCTAACATGATTGGTTGATGTTAACTAGATCTTGTTCCTGATAGGCTGAGGTGTGTTCAGGGACAGTGGCGGAGGTGATCCAGTCGGTGGTTAACGGAGCAGATGGCTGTATCTTCTGTTTCGGACATGCTAATCTAGGTATCTATACAAACATACACACACATACATGGTAAACACACACTCCTGTGTTGACTCATGCCATCCCTGTGTTGACTCCGCCCCTCTCAGGTAAGACCTACACCATGATTGGTCGAGACTGCTCCACTCAGAGTCTGGGCGTGGCTCCGACGGCGATCTCATGGCTCTTTAAGGTGATCGAGGAACGGAGGGAGAAGTCTGGCGCTCGTTTCTCTGTAAGGGTGTCGGCGGTGGAGATCTCCGGCCGGGAAGAGACGCTCACAGACCTCTTGGCTGAGCTCTCCTCCTCAGCTGGGGGCCACCCAGAGGCCCCGGGCCCCGCTGTGTCACTGAGAGAAGACCCTCTCTGTGGATCTCAGGTAGAGACTTCTTTGTCACCTTGTCTCCTTCCCTTCCTCTGCTCCTCCTTGACCTCCTCCTCACCTCAGGGACTTCATCCCTGTCCACAACTGTCCAATTAGTCCTGAACTTCCTCCTCTTATTCTGGCTCCCTCTGATATATCTCCCCTGGGCTCCACTTATCTGACAGTTTTTAATCTCATCTCACTTTAATTTTCTTTTCTTCCTTCACATCTTTTCTTTCTTTTCTTTCTTTTTCTATCAAACCTCATTCTGTCGTTTTCCGGCTGTTATCGTTTCTCTAAGATTTATCAGGGGAAACTCGTCTGTCTCCTCGTTTTTCTCTCAAAGTGAGACATCTCTGTGAACCCACCATGACTTCTTTCTTCAGCAGACTTCACTGCAACACTTTCCTCTTCTTTACTGCCTCATACTGTTGTGATAATGTCTAAGGGGAGGACACAGTGACAGGAAACGTCCTAAAAGATAGCCAGCTGTAGGTGCAGAGTGGTCACATCTTCCCTCTGTCGTCTGAGTCTTAGTGTAACAGAGCCTCCATTTTTGCTTGAGTATGATGAAATACTGTCATTTTTCTTTCTTTCCATCAGCTGCAGAACCAGACGGAGCTGCGGGCGACCTGCGCTGAACGGGCTGCGTTTTTCCTGGATGCCGCTCTTGCAGCAAGAAGGAGCAGCCGAGCGCCAAATGACCAGGAAGCTCGGAGGAATTCGCATTTCCTGTTCACCCTGCACGTCAACCAGGAGAGGTTGGACAAGAGCAGCAAGGCAGCAGGTCAGCATGTGTGTCTGAGATTGGATATTTAAACAATCAGGATTAGATTTATTATTAGATTACACAAAGTGGCGAAGTATAAAACATGCTTATTACATTAGGTCTGTAACAATAGAGTGAATATTATAATATTGGACCTATGCTTAAAGATGTTGTGTTCACACCAAATGCAGAAAGACGAATCACTTTGAGTAAATTGAATCAAAAAAGGGAGGGGTTTAGACACAAGTTTTTGTCAGCACAGATTGGATGAATTAAACATGTAAATTAAATGATATAAATGTGTAAATATCATTTCACATGCTCCATTCACTTAATTCAAGGAGTTAAAAAATCTGAATTCAAGCCGATCATTTGCGCCACGATAGCAGTCCTGTGTTACTGCCAAAGCCTGTACAGTGTGATGGTTTGTGGTTGTGTTGTCTGCTTTCTTCACTTTGTTTGATGTCTCTTTCACTAAACTTACTGTGTATTTTAATGTCCCTTACTTATCTGTGCTGTTTTCTTCCTCATGACTTTCTTTCCTTTGCCAATTACTGCTCAGACATTAAACACCAATCTAAAGTTTTGTGCAGTTGAAATAAGAAAGTTAATGGAAATATCCTCTACGGTAGTACGTGTACAGGATACAGCCGCTGTGTTGTACAGAAACTGCAGGTTTGAAGACCTTCATCCCTCGGTGAGGAATAAATTCCCTTTAGTATTACAAATCTCCGAACAGGCTGCTGTTAATGAGCTTCATTGTGATCCCCCGACATGCTCAGAGGAAACATTAACAGGCAGAGAGGCTACTTTAACACCACCTCCACCTACATCTCCACCTGTCACACACAGATATTTCCACAGTTATTAGTGTTTCACAGCCTCCACGTCCGGCTGGAATAAATCTGCATGGCTAATGAGGCTTGAAGCTTCTGTGTCCTGTACTGTTTATAGACTGCTGGCTACAAAAGTGTACACTCAGCTGCTCTCAGCACTTTGGACATTTTGCTGATGTGGGCTGATGTTCGTCTGCACCATAACTTCTCTGGTTTAATGAAATAAACAGGAAGATAAAATGAGCAGAGAGATAACAGACTGATAATCATCTAAATATTCTGGGCAGAGGCAAAACCAAATGAGTTTACAAATTTCATTCAAAGTAATTCATATTGGATTTTAAGATAAGTCAGTTGACCTAGTATTTATTATTGTCTATCAAGTTAACAACATTACACAGACATAAACAGTCAAATTAAAGTAAAACTTGACCTAATCCCAAAGCTGTTTGTCTTTCAATCAGACAAATTTAGCAGCAAACAAACTCTTGACTTTAAAGACTATGAACTGGCTTTTTATCAAGAATAAACAAATCTACATTTCCTCTTTTTGACTTTGGACTTACCTGTACGATTAAAAAAATGCTCAACTGTGACTTGGGACTTAATGTTAACTTTGGACTTGCTACTCTTGTTGTAGGTTGAACCTTTCTTTTCTTAAAATTGACTTGGCTGTTGACTCTGGACTTTTGGTCTTGTTTTGTGGATTTTACAAGTCTTGAGATAAGACTCAACTGTATGGACTTTTCTTTTGCCTCCTGAAAGTTGACTCAAGACTTGTCCTTAAAGGTGTCCATTATGACTCTTGACTTGGAAGTCATATTTTAGTGGTTTGGTCTTGTTTTAAGACCACACATTTGGAACTGTTTTTACTTGAGACATGATATAAGGGCTGACTGGTCTTTCCTAAAGTCTTAAATTCTGGACCTGCTGGACTTGTGTTGGGGATTAATTTAGAATTGACTTCAGGACTTGAAGTTCTTAACTTTGAGACCTAACTTCGATCCTTACAGGACTTGACTTCAGGAACTTACGAAAGGACTTGTTGGGCTTGACTTGGTACTCGACTAGGGGGCTGAATAGTCTTGCTTCATGTCTTGAATTCTGGACTTGCTGGTCCTGTGTTAAGGACTAGACTTCAGTGCTTGTAGGACATGACTTTGGGACTTAAATTCAGATCATGCTAAGTAAAACCTGAGACATGACTTAAGGGCAGTCTGGTCTTGCATCAAGTCTGTAAAATTGGACCTGCTGGTCTTGTGTTTGGACTTCACTTAGAGCCAGACCTCAGGATTTGTTGGTCTTCCCCTTGCAGAATTTGTCTGGCTTGACTTGGGACTTGGCCTAACCTTGCTAGCTGACTAAACTTGCTTTGTGACTCGAAGTCTGGACCTGATGGTTTTATCTTTGAGTTGGACTGGAACTGATTCTGGACTAATTGTATGAAACTTGTATGTTATGGAAAAAGTCATTTAGACTTCAGGCACAACTTGTGGGTTTTTTGGTCTTTGACTTTAGACTTGGCTGGAAGACTTGAGTGTGCTGTCAGGATTGTCATCTTTGGGACCTGATGTCTAATGCTGAAATGAGACCTGCTATAATGAGAGTTATGTCTTGGACCTTTGTTTGGGGGTTTTTGGACTTTAGGAGCGGTTGCTGGTCTATACTCTTTACTTTCAGTCAGAGTTGTGTAAATGCATGCTGACAGGTGATCTGTCTCTGTGGTGAAGAATCTCTGGATCAGGTTTTTGTTTCTGCTGTAGGACTGCATATTAGATCATATATAGACAGCGTACATGTTGTATATTACACTGGTTTCCCTGTTTGTACAACACTAGACTCAATAAATGTCACAGAGACCTGAAGATGGATGAGGTCTTTGTTATCTTCTGTGGCCGGTGATGCCCAATAGGCCAATCAATTATTATAATGGCTATTGATCACACCTCTGTCTATAAACTAATCAATCAGTGTCTGGTTGTTTAACCCACTGGTCCTTTCAGCGTTATTGAGCAGTTAAAGACGTTGTACGTTTAAAACCTCCCTCTTCTTTCTCCTGTCTCTCAGTATCTGGGCGGAGTCGCCTCCACCTCCTGGATTTGGGGAGCTGTGAAACAGACATCAGCAGGACCAGAGAGGGGGGCGGGGGTCAGTGTCTGTCTCTGTCCGCGCTGGGAAACGTCATCCTCGCCCTCGCCAACGGGGCCAAGCATGTCCCGTACAGGTATGCGCTCTTACTCTGGACAATTAAATGAAGGCAGTATGGGGTCAGAGGTCACAGATACTGAGTAACAGATGAAGCAAAGATCCCTGTGAGGACAGAGAAGACACATGGACCATGCAGGCCGGATTTATAGCATTTCAATGAGTTTTCAGTCTGTTTTAAATGGCTGATCAGCTTGATGAATAAATCACTTTGTAATGCTAATTGGCATGTATTTCCAGGCCTGTGGCTATTTGTTATGCAGGCTGCATGCTTTGTTTGATTTCAGGCAATTTGTCTGGCAAAATGCCTCATTTGTCCTCCTCATGATTCACAGGCTGTTATATTTTTGGTATGTTAACTCATTGTTAAAGCAGCTTTTAGAGCTTGGTGTCAGAGGAAAACAACCCCCAAGTGTTACACAAGAACGTATCAAGGTAACTGTTCCTGAGAGGTTTAGCTAAGAATTCACATCAGCTCAGAAATTAAAAGAAAAAGGGGGAAAAAAACTATTAATTTTACCATCTCAGGCTTTTTATTGCTGGTGCGGAGTCCAGTTTTGTCCATGAAAAGGTTTTCAACAAGACATTGATGGACTGGCATTGAGGCTTTGAAATTTTGGATTTTGGTATGAGACTTGTGCAACACTGTTTCCAGAGTTGTTGAATAAAGTTGTTATCATGCTCTCTTGAGCCAAAGGAGGCAAAAGAAATCAAAAATTGAGATTTAAAAAGATTAAAGGGCCAAATGTTTCTGTTAGTCAGAGGAAGCTGGGTTTGCAGTTCATCTATGATTGCAGCTTTACCCCCGGTCTCTTGAAGGCAGGATTTCATGGACCTTTCCCCTCATTTCCATCTAAAGAACATCTACATGTAGTTCAAAGTGAGCCTCATTAAAATGAAATGAAAAATATCATTCTCCTTTTTGCTTATCTGTTCCCGGCTGTTGCATAGAGTAATGAACAGTTTCTGGGATCCTATGGGGATTCTCCGGCCTGTGGTGCATCCGCTCTTTTTTCCCCTCTTTTGGGGGGTTAACGAGGGGTTTCTTGATGTATTATTCAGGGACAGCAAGCTCACCATGCTGCTCAGTGAATCCCTTGGCAACATCAACTGTCGAACCACCATGATCGCCCACATCTCCGACTCCCCGGCAAACTACATGGAGACTCTGACCACAGTGCAGCTGGCCTCCCGCATTCACCGCATGAGGAAGAAGAAGTCAAAGGTTCTTCAATTTTTATTTCTCCAGTTTGGCCAGTCAAAAATCCTGAATCAAGTCTGAAAAAAACTGGTATAACCATGAATATTTCTATTTCAAGGAAACATTAGGACATTACAACTAAGTTCTTCTTATATGGTATTTTTTGTTGGTTGTTTAAACAATAAAAAATTACAAAATTGAGTCTGAGGAGTAACTCAAGAATCTGTAACATTTTTTAAGCTCATTCTATGTAAAAACAGAGTCTGAGTCGTTTTCTCTCTACGTGACAGCGAAAACCTTCTAATCTATAATGTAAATCTGTAGTATCAGGTCAGAGAGTCACACAGCCTTTATTCACCAAGTTATTCCTACCGTGAGGTGTCAGATAATCAATATGACTGTCCTTATGGGAGAGGTATTCCCTGTGATTAGAAGAGCAAGGCTTTCGCTCTCATTAGAGGTTTTATTTTCGTTTTATAGATTCAAAAAGCAACATGGGAACAGGAGTTAGGGTTAGCTTCTATATCTCACTGACATTTATTAAAATCCAGCCTGCAGTTTGTACTTTTAACCTCATGCTGTATCGACAGGGAATGGATCTACCCTCAGGATGAACATTGAATGATATACGGTGTTATTTCTGTTTTATCTGCAGTATGCCTCCAGCTCATCTGGAGGGGAAAGTTCCTGTGAGGAAGGCCCGTGCTATCGACCTCCTCATCTTCGACCGTTTCATCCTCGTACCATCGCCCTCGATCCAGACACACCTCTGCTTCTCTCCAGTGATCCTGACTACTCCTCCAGCAGCGAACACTCCTGCGACACTGTCATTTATGTCGGGCCTGGAGGGGCGGCCATATCAGACAGAGAACTAAGCGATAATGAAGGACCACCTTCTTTTGTTCCCATCATCCCTTCCCTCAACAAAAAGAGAGTCAAGGATGCACCAAGGTCTGATGGTGACCACTTTAAGTGCAACACGTTTGCAGAGCTTCAAGAGAGACTTGACTGCATTGATGGCAGTGAGGGGCCGAACACTTTCAGCACTGAAGGCAAAGCAATGCCCGCAGTGGGGCACAGAACTCAGTCTGGAGCTCCTAAACCTGCAGATTTAATTTCACCCCCGAAATCTGATAAGACCTTCTTCAGGTTCTCAGAAAGCACAACAAGCACATGCACAATTAATCCTGATCAGGTACAATGCAAACTCTTCCCAGCCAGAGGCCAAATGGAAACTTCAAAACGTACAAGTGCAGATGGTGAGAAACTTTCTGCCAGTCCCCTTCAGCCATGTGTGGCCAAGCCAAGTGGGAGTTTTTCCCAGGATTCAGAGCCCGTGGTTCGAGAGAAGGTCTACCTAAGAGGAGGTGTACCCAAACTGTCTGCTTCACCACCCAAGACAACTAGGGGGGCATCCCAGTGTTTAGAGGCTGTTGGTAGGACTCCCCCTGTGGGTATGAGTCAACAAGCACTTAGACAGGATCATCCAGCCGGGTCCCCGGACACTGAAAGGGTCTCACTTACAAGCAGAGCCCCAGTGGAGGTGAATAATCTTAGGGCAGCTCTATTAGGAAGGTGTCTGGACAGGGATTTTCTGCGGACCACCATCACACTCCAGCAGCCTGTGGAGTTAAACGGTGAGGATGAGCTTGTGTTTACTGTTGTAGAGGAGCTTCCCCATGGCCTTGTCCCAGACAACGGCCGTCCTTCCAACCTCCTCAGCTTCAACACAGACTGCTCCTGGCAGGCCTCGGCATCTGGCTCTCGCCCTGTGAGCATCATCAGCAGTATCAATGATGAGTATGATGCCTACACATCTCAACAAGGTGCTGCTGGATTAGGGGCTGATTTTGGATCCAACTGTCAGGAAATGTTGTCCCTGCAACAAGACAACAAGCAGCAAACTGGCAGCTCATGGCCAAGAGAAGGGAGTGCTCCTTCACAAAGTGACGGCATGGATTCAAAAGAGGGGGTGAACTTAAGGGACAAAAGTGTGGCGAAAGAGACTGCATCCATGCTAACCCCACCGAGTACATTTCACAAACAGCCATTTTTGCATCAGGGCATCAAGAGCTCCCTGAATGACAGTGGTATATGTTTCTCAGAGCTGGACAGTGACCCTGCTACTCCAAACAAACCTTCTTTCACCAAATGCCCTCCTTCCCCTGACCTAACTAAGTCCTCTCTCAAAGGCTCTCTTAAAGCAAGAGGCAACACTCTGAGCACTTCAACTTCAGCCCTCATTTCCCATCACACCAGCCATTCCAGTCTCCCCAGGAAAACCAAGCCTACCTCATCTACAACTGTGGGCTACAGCAGACAAGAGGGCAGACATGAGGATTTTTTGCATCAGGAAAGCAGAAATGTTGATCCCAGAGAGGTTGAGTCTGTCACCCCAGGAAAACCACCAAGAACTAGCATAAGTAGTGTTTCTTCTCGGAAGCCAGGAGGGAACAGTAACAGTGTACCCAGGCCACCAAAGGCACAAATGTCCTCAGCTCAAAGGATTGTGGACGGTTGTGAAAAGACCAGCAGCAGGAGAGCAGACACTCTTGTCAAGCTGCCACGTCTCACCAGAGGTGCAACCACACTGGGGACTGTTTCAACCCCCCAGAGTTCTGAATTAAAGTGTGGTCCTGAGGGCATTTCAGCAACAGGTACCCTCAGATTTTCATCCTTGGGGAAAAAGTCAAACGGGCAAAAAAGCAGCATAATCTCCAAGTCTGGAAACATCTCCCCTCCTGCTCAGCCTGTCAGGCAGTCAAGCCAGGAACAAAAGACACGGACTGTGCTATCGCCAAGTGCCTTAAAAACAAGCAGCGACTTGGGAAAATCCTCATTCCCTAAGACTTCAACCTCAGTAGAAGAATTCACCATGAGGCTACGGGCAGATTCATTCAGCCACAGATCATCAAGTTTAAAGACTGAACATGGCTTTGCAAGAGGATCTTCGAGCCTAAAGACGCGGGGTGCCAAAGCAGAGTCTTCCAGGTACTTTGGGAGTTTGGTGTCTCTGGAGAGATGTGACAGTCAAACCTTGGTGGGGTCCAAGTCTGAACTGTTAAGGGAGAGCAGCGGTGCTACTTCAGGAGGCAGATCCAGCAGATCAGTGCCAAGACTTGGGGTTCCAGCCTCCACCTCTACACCTGCTTCTTCTTCCCAGGGCTCTTCTGGTGTCACTGCATCTACAAGCAAACTTGTGCAAGTCAAAGGCAATGGTAGCTCACGAGTCGCAGTGTCTGGGGGGGCAAAAGTTCGAACTCTGTCCGCCAGCAGCTCCAAGAGCCTTTGTCCTTCCTCTAAACCTCTTGATATTGAAACTAGCCGCCACATTAGTCTACCTCCAAGTGGGAGGGCCCCAGCCCGGTCAGGACTTGCCAAGATCGGTAGAGGCACCATCATGGGAACAAAGCAGGCCATCAGCAGGGCGGCTAACAACAGGGTCAGTGAATTAGCCTCTGGGGCTCAAAGAAAGCAACACAGTGGGGGACCTGGACCTACAGAAAATGATGGCACTGACAGCGGAACTAGTAGTGTAAGTGAGTCGCCAAACAGCACACCGTTACCCTCACCTTACAGCAAGATCACTGCGCCTCGGAGGCCACAGCGCTACAGCAGCGGGCATGGCAGTGATAACAGTAGCATCCTGAGTGGGGAGCTGCCTCCCGCCATGGGACGCACTGCTCTGTTTTACCACAGCGGGGGGAGCAGCGGCTATGAGAGTATGATTCGAGACAGTGAGACCACCGGAAGCACCTCCTCAGCCCACGACTCCATGAGCGAGAGTGGAGTGTCGACGTCAAATAGAAGCAGAGTGTCCAAATCCCCCAAGAAGAGAGGAAACGGTGAGTCTGGGTGCAAAGACTGGAAAAGAATCACTCATCCTAAGGTGTGGAGACAATTACAATGTAAACCTGAATTGTCCGGCACCCATTTTTGTTTCAGAGTGACCACAACAGTCTACATCCATGTCACTGCAGCATCCCAGAGAAGCAGCAGGCTTTTTAAGACTAGAGTCCACTCAGCCCCATTAGGAGGAAGGCCCCTCACAAAGAATTCATACTTATGGCTTTTGATTTTAGATAGCCCCATAGATTTTAATATCTTCATATTTTATTTGATCAAGGCGCATTTAAGCTCAGTGATGCTTGATGGCACTAAGGTTGTCAAAATGTCACTTAGGAGTTATCGGAGGTTAAAGTAAACACACTCTCAGTCATGCAGGAACACTCACACCCTGTTTCGCCCTGTCAGCTCCAACGCCACACATTTCCATCTTCTTCTTTCCCCTTCTGCATGTCTAACCTTTTTAGGCAGGTTGTTCCAAAATTGACTGGCTCTGATAGCAAAGGCGTGGTCACATTTAGTTTTATACCTTGACTTTGGAACAACCAGGAGGGTGCCATCTATGGACCCAAGGATGTTGGCTGGCTCAAAAGAACTCAACTGTTCTGATATAAAGCTTGGAGTCAGATCCATTTTTGCCTTGAAGTTGATCAGTAAAATTTCAAAACCACTTCTAGAACTAACAGGAAGCCAATGTATGTAAACTTGGGTTAGAGTGATGGGATGTTGTCCGGCAAGGACTCACACTTTGGCACCAGTTAAAGTCACACCAAAAAGTATGATAGGATATAATAGAGTCATCAGCCTTTTTGTTTGCTTTTCTCTCACAGCCTTTCCCCTCTGATGTTTAAATGCATGGCTTTCAGATTGGCTCTTACAGAGAAACAGCAAGTCTGTATTCCTTTTTCATCTCACCAATTATAATTGAAATTAGGTTTTCATATCATCACAGTTGATGGAGAAAGTTTAACGCTCATGTTTGACATTCAACAACTTTCCCTCAGTGTTCTGATTCAGGAAGTAAAGGAGCCATAAAACTCCTCTAGAAGCTTCACAGTGAAATTAACATATTTATGACTTTTTCCAAAATCGCTCCCATCCATCAGAGAGTGTAATGATGGGATGGGAGCAGCCCCTCTCTTCAATATAGTCGTGAATGCAAAGCATATTGAAGAGTACAGGTGTTATTATTTCTGTGGGAGCATCTATCAAAGACGATTTCGCTGCATGAATTCATCCCCACCCTAAGTCGTTATCATAAAATCGACATCCATGCATGTTATCGTGGTTTGTTCTGCCTCTGTGGCGTTCGCTCACAGCAGCTGATTGTGATTCGTGCAGTGGCAGTAGCACCCGGGTCAGGCAGCCTGATGCATATGGAACCAGCCTTCGTGTGATCTGCCTGCCATCAGTCTGTGGATCTCAGCTCGTTTCTGCCTCATGAATATTTCATGAGGCCTCAGCATTCCCCCGTGTACACATCCAACTCCAATTATCACCCACACAGCCCCCCCCCAACCCCCACCTCAGCCACTCCACAGCATACACACCCACACACACTCCCCCCCAATCTGTTACTACTGTACAGTCCATACTTAAAGACCTGGAGTGTTTTAATAATCAGCGTTGGCTGTTTCAGAGCGCGCTGCTGCTTTGGTTTTACTCTTTGCAGGTCTGATATTCATTAAATTAATTTGTAAAGCAGCTCTCTGACAGCCGTGTGCACAGAGTCTCTTCTGATAATATTAGGGCTTTAGTTGGACGGTGCTGGTTTTTAAGCTTATCTGCAGAGCAAATGTTTGTTGACACATAGTCAAGCTATGGGGAAGCTAAACTGACTAAGATTGAGCTAATTAAAAATAATGAGCTGAGTGGGATTGCTGTGCACCTGCCAGGCCTTTACCAGCATAAAGAGCTACAGCTAATACTATTTCACAGATCTGTTTGCCTCTGGATAAAACTAATCCCTTTCCTCACGTATTAATTTTCATAATTTGACTTCCATCAGGTTTCCAGCGGCGCCGTCTGATCCCCGCTCCCCTCCCTGACCCCTCCTCTCTGGGCAGGAAGGTGGGGGGTCAGTGGGTGGACCTGCCAGTGCTTGCCGGCACCCTGAAGGAGCCCTTTGAGATAAAGGTGTACGAAATCGATGACGTGGACTGCCTGCAGAGGAGGAGGGAGGTGACGGCGGGATCAGAGGTGAGGATGATTTCATCTGCTCAGTTTTCTCTTTGACTCTGTTACATCATGACTTTACAGTTTGAGTTATTGGCTCAGACCACAACAGATGTTCAATCAGTTTCTCAACCTGAACTCAGCTTATCTCCAATATTCTCTCCTGTGGTGATCAGAAAGTAGTTTACACTTGATACTGAGCAATGTAGTCCATGTTTGTGCATGTTTGTAGGCATTTACTAATTTATGCAGCTATCAATGTTAACATTGACAGTCAAGTCTGTAGAATGAGGATATTTAGCGATATCCAGAGGGGAACACTTTTCACTGATCCCCCTGTCAATGAGGCAATGGTGGCCCTAGAGGACCAAAAGAAATACACTACAGATGGCACGACAATAATTGAGCTGTTTTAAGAGATAGGTGTGATGTTTTTATTTATTTAATCTAAATAAATATAGTTTATAATTCAGTTCCGAGGTATCAATTCTGAGTTCTTTTATTGCTTTGATAACACAAGCTGACATTAGTGATGTAATGCTAAAGGGCTGGATCAGAAAACAAAGATTTTTAAAATCATTTTACATTAAGAATTAAGATGTAAGGTAATAAAGTTATAATGGTACAAGATAAAATTCATGTTATTACAAAAATATATGCATATGTGTTATATATTCTATTTCTTCTGAAAAATGCTGCAAAATTCTACACAACATCCCTTTGAATTGAAACTCCTGTTGGAAATTGGAACAAGACACTTTAGTGTCACTTCAAGACAAAATTTCACCTTGCAACCACCCTCTCCAAATCAACAATGAATTGTGTTGATGCAACAATACTCATGCAAAGATTATTATAAGCTGTAGAAGATATAATAAGCGAGTTTCTCGAGGACCAGCGAAGTGCAGGTTAAGATAATGTCTAAGAAGAGATCAGCACCTGAGCAGCAAGACACATCCGCAATCATGCAGAAACATCCACACTCTGCAGGGAAGCAGACAGAGCTGCACAGCACAAAAGAAACAAATAACAAAATATATGACCCAGGGTCAGAACACCTGGTGATGAAATCACATGCTACATCTACAGAGGCTCTGGTCTTTGAAGTAGGGGGACTAGGTTTGCTTCCCATTCTCTGCCCTTTTCCACGTGTCATTTCCCACTCTCTCTTCCAGCTTCCTACTGTATCAGCTGTCCTCTCAATAAAAGCACAAGAAGCAAAAACTGAATTTAAAAAGCAGGAGATGAAGAAATCAATCTATCAACAATGAAGACTAAAGTCGTTCCTGGGTTCATTGGTGATATGATGGTTTAACACAGCCTGAAGGTGCACAGCATTAGTCACTGATTCTTTCTTTTAAATTGGTCATGTTACCATAGCAACGAAAACAAACCAGGTCAGACTGTGTGTACTTGCTGTACACCTGAGAGACACTGAGCCACAGATGATAAACCTGGATGTTACAGGAGCAAACACCTGTCTCATAAATTACAGAGGTCTCAGTGAATCATCCTGACTCTTCACACTAACAAACCCTCGTCTTCATCAGCTTTTCGTTTCTGTACAGCCGTCAGTGATCTGCAGGATCACACCTGAGGCCAGACTTATCAGTTACTGAGATTATCGCTTAGTCAATTACAGTTTAGTCCTAATTGGTTTAGATGGAAGTGGTGGCTGGAGGAGGAAGAGGAGGAGGTGGAGGAGGGCGAGGAGGAGGCAGAGATGAATGACGGCTCGGCCTCGGCTGGTTGCTCTTTACGGCCGTCTTGTCTCTCTGTGTTAGCGGCTCGTTAACCTTCAGAGTGTGTGTGTGGGGGGTCGTCATTCAGCAGTAGGGATCTCTGATTTATTTTCAATTAGAAGAAGATGATGTGCAGTTTGTCTTTCACAGACACACAGAGTTACAGGCAGAGATCTGTGTGTGATAAACTCTCATTTTATGTTTCTGTCTCCCTCCTTGCAGCCGTTCCAGGATGTCGAAAAGGTGAGTTATACATGTAACCCTTTAATTCCTGTTCAGTCAGACTGGAATAAATCCTACTGTGACTTCATTATCTTTACCACCGAGAGCTGAGATTTCTCTCCTTTGCATCACCATGTTGTAAATTCATTCATTTTGTCTTAACTATAACCCTCCATTATGGATTAAATTAGTCAGGTCTAAACTAAACTACACCTCATGCACATTTTTCCACGTGTAGAGATGGTCTGGAGCCTTTATGCACCATGTATTTTTATACTTGAAGGGATATCCCAGCATAAAATTAAGTAAGGGTCAAACACACCGTAACAGTGAGTTAGACACCCCGTCGAGGGGTTAATGTTGCCGACAGCTTGCTCCACTAGTTATACCAACTTTAGTAATGACCGCACAATAGCAATACACAGGAGCTATAAACAAACCTCAACCAAAAAGCCACTCTATAGCCACAGATAATGCTCAGAACAGAACCTAACTTCATCAACAGTACATATAGGGTCCCAGCCACAGCACTAGCCACCAAACATCTTTTTAACTTTGCCTCATTTCTTTAACAAAGAGACTAAACACAACTCACCTACTCTCCTCCAGCAGCCGCTTGTTTGTACTTAGAACTCTGGCGAGTCCATTACCGCAGCGGAGTGATGCAGCTTAAGGAAGAACATTTATGATAATTTCTTTATTATTTACTTGAAGTAATAATCATCATATTAATCACTTTGCTCTGCAGACGCAGTAGTTCTTCTGCCTTAGCGTCTCAGTCTGATTGCATTCCCATGAAGAAATGATCATAAATGTTCTTCCTTGAGCTGCGTCACCCTGCCTCAATTGATAATGAACTGGTCAAGGTCTCGCGACAAATAAGCAGCTGCTGGAAGAGAGTGGGTGAGTTGTGTTTACTCTCTTTGCTAAAGAAATTAGGAAAAGTTAAAAAGATGTTTGGTGGCTAGTGTTATGGCTGGGACCCTATATGTACTGTTGATGAAGTTAGGTGCTGTTCTGAGCATTATCTGTGGCTGTGCGTGGCTTCTCAGACTGCTGTGTATTGCTATTGTGTGGTCGTTACTTAAGTTGGTATAACTAGAGGAGCAATCGGTCGGCAACATTTATCTTTCAACAGGGTGTCTAACTTGGTGTTACAGTGTGTTTGACCCTAAATTAATTTTATGCCAGAATACCTTTAAATAAGATGCTAAAAATGATTTTGAAATTGCACCTCATCTCTCATGTATCAGCTTTACAATCCGATGGGTCTCACTCAGCTTGTTACAATCTCCCTGCTACCAGAGACTGAAGGCCTAAAAGATTGAGGCAGAAATGTATAAACAGGGATGCCACACAAGAATGTTAAGTTTTCAAAAAAGAAAACCTTTATGAAAGAAAACCCCGGAGCATTCAAAAATCAAGAAAACAAATAAGGACCAGAGACCCTGGCCAAAAGGAGCAAAAGATAAGAAAATGCTAGGCCAACTGTGCAATAGACCATTGCTCCCAGTACATTTTCCTAAACTAGATAAGGAGTCGATCTGATGTTCTAAATCACCCCCTCTTACAGCAGACAGGGGAAGGAGGGACCAGAGAGGCAGAGAAGGAGACAAACATGGGCTTCATGTAACACAGTTCCCTCAGCATGAGAGTGCTCAGCACAGCTCTGTGCAGCATTGAGAGGAGCTGCTGATGGTTTTACCCTCAAAATCAGACCTGTGACAAGAGGAAACTTCACAGAGCTGCAAAGTAATGTTTTTTTACCTCTTGAATAGTATCAGGGCAGTAGACTTTCTGAACTGGACTTTTAAATGGAGAAAACAGAGAGGCTAGCAGAATGCAACAAAGTAAGGAATATTTACTTGACAATAAAAAGTCATCTTCTTATTCTGATGACAACTTTCCTGCAGCTGTAAATGCATCACTTCAGTGTTTTTACAGTCTGAGCTCAGCAGTGTAACATCCATCCGTGTTTTTCTGCATCTGTAATTAAGTGAAGCTGAGCGTTGACAATCATCCTCCTCCGTCACCTGTTTCCCCTCAGCTGTCCCTAATCCTCCGCTCAGCGTTTGTCCCGCAGCTTAAGTTACAAACCAACAGATTAGCACTTATGCTAATTTTGTCTTCGTCTGCCTCTTAATTAAATCCAGTAGCGGACACTAGGTGAGGTCTCAGAGCAGGTTAGTGTCCCTCCACCCTCCACCTCCTCTTCCTGAATGAACCATTAAGAGTCCGTCCTCACGTCGCAGACAGTCTACGGGTGAAGCTGAGTGTGGTGTTTTCTTTGTCCTCAGGGTCTGCTCTACTTTAACGCCCGACTGAGGATGCTGGAGAAGAGGCAGCAGCAGATCAGAGAGCTGAGGAGCAAACATGAGAGTCTGCGGGTCGAGCTGGAGGAGGCCAAGAGCCGGCTGATGCTCCACCCGAGCAGGTGGAGCGGAGAGTGTGAGTACACACCTGTTTGAATGTTAGTGACCATCATGACCACATAATATTTAATCTTTTCATTGTGATAATCTGAATTTCTTCTTCACTGTCTTGATAAATTCCTGTTGTGTTTGTTTGTTGGTTAATTCTGGACTTCAGCCACTGTTATCAGCTTATTAGTCTGCAGGGCTCTGAGCCGTTAAACAAAGAAAGGAGCCTGTTTGGATTACTGTGATCTCCCAGAGCTGATGAAATAATCTGATATCAGTCTGTCTGGAGGGTTTTTACTGGCTGCTTTTCCTTGTTAGATATCAATGATCTGATCTAAAGTTGTTTTGAGGTGAGAGTCAGGATTATTTCTACAAAATCAGGTGTTATCAGAGCTGTCTGCGCTCAAAGAGGATCAGCTTTCTCTGTACCAGACTCTTCAGCCTCCTACTCCTCTTCATTGAGTAGCTCCTGACCTGAAAACACACTCTGTGGACAAACACATACTCTGTGGACAAACACATACTCTGTGGACACGCAGAGAGTCTCCAGCTGAGTGTTGCCGGGAGCCTCCGGTTAAACCTCTCTCCATTATGTTTCTATTTCTGAACCGACTGGCGGTGCAGCGAGTGTTTGGAGGGGAGTGTTGGAGCGAAATGCAAACACAAACAGCCCGCAGGGAGAGGATTATATTTACATCTTTTTATTATTTCTCTGTCGGAGGGACACGCTCTCTCAGGTCACCTCCAAGAACAGCCAGCACTTCTTTTTACAATAAAACACCAGACTCTGCAAAAAGCAGAAGACGGGCTGAAGGCCTGTCTGAGATCAATACGACATTATTTCCTGCTGGAGAAACGGGCCGAGCTGGAGCTCATAAATCACCAGAGACCTCCTCAGACTTTATTACTAGAGCCTCTTCTATCTTCTTCTTTAAAAGGGTTTTATGGAGGCCAGTGTTTCCATATCTGACCTGAAGGTCTGACTTAGAGGGTGTTGATGCTGTTCAGTGATGTTTGGTTTTATGAATTGAACAGACCTGACGACCAAATATCCCAGCATGCAGTGCATTTTCAACCTCTGAGTGTGCTCACATTTGATGGTGTTTATCTTAAGAAATCTCAGTTAACTTTGGTTTGGCTTAATTTAGATATCTGCAGTAAAATCAAGGCATTGGTGTTTTAAAGGGCTATTCCAGCGTAAAATTAAGTTAGGGTCAAACACTGAGTCAGACACCCCATCTTCCCTTCTTCAGGGAAGAAAGTTGACCCATTATGTCCCCATCCTAAAACTGAGGTCCCGCTGAGAGTTACATAAACTACCACATCATTACTGCAATATTACTAACTTTAAAAGAGCAAAGACTTTAACTTGTCTCTTTCTGTCTGTCCTTCAGTCGATGTGGACCAAGACCTGGACCGAGAGTCTCAGGAGTACCTGGAAGCTCTGTCTCAGGTTACTGCAGAGCTGGAGTACTGTGTCAACCTCTGCAAGTCCCGAGTCATGATGGAGACGTGCTTCGACATCGCTGGGACCTCTGACAACACTGCTGCGCTGGGAGGACAGCAGGAGGTGGAGGTGTGACCGCTGTCCTCTGCTCTGGTGTTCATTTGTGGTACTGCAACAAAAACATAATTGTAGAGGAGATGTTTGCTGAGATGTTAAAAGGAGCCTCCAAACATGGGTATGGTTCTGACTGAAACATCTGGACAACTCTTGGACAAATTGTCAGGAGGTTTAAAGACAGAAGTTCTTTCTTGGTGAAAGGGGTCAAAACTTGCAGCCCTTTCAGAGTCCTAACTGAGCCAGATTTATCACTCAGACACAAAACATATCTTTAGATTCAGTGAGAGTCCAGCCTCCCCTGGGCACCATCATATCTGGTTTTGTTTTTGTGTCCCAGAGTCGAGATGTTGAAGGATAGAGCCAGATGCACCAACTGCTCTGTTGTTGGTTGCAAAACCAACACAAACATCTATATCTGGTCCAGGCACCAAAGGAGAAGAGAAAACAGCAGCTGCTTTTTACTTTCAACGACAGTTGGTGCCAATTTGTTTGACTGTTTTACCCCAAAGTCACACACAGTAAAGTCACATAGAAGTAAAAAAAAAAAAAAAAACCTTCAAATTTTAACATGTTGAAGCTTAAAAACTTCAATAGTTGCTCCTTGTTTGTTGTGCAGGTTCTTCTGGTGCACTCACCAAATTAGTTTGGGTGTTTTTCCACCTCTGCGTCTGTCTGCACTGGTTTGCACTCTCCTCCTTCAGACATCATCAGCCGATCACCTCGCTATACTAGCATCCTCGTCCACTTGGATCACTGCAGGTGAGAAACTGAGAGGCTGAGTTTGTGATATTTTTAGTTTAATGAAAAAAAAAAGATAAGTTGAGAGCAGCTAAAATCTCTATAATATGGGATTTCTAATAGAGCTGACATTACAAAGGCACAATATTTTGATGTTATCTTAATCAAAACAGGCCTTCATATCAGTTTTAGCGTGCCAGCACCTGCAAAATTGGCAGCAAAATTTAAGACCTCCATCTTTTTCATCCTTTTCATTCATTAGATTAACCCCAAAATGGCTCAAAAACTCAGATTTCCACTGAGAAATGAAATTAGAGGATTTTTATGTCACTGTAGTAAATTTGATCAAAGACTCTTCTGGCTTTTTCATTTGGCGCCATCATGAAACGGGATGTCTAGCTCCCTCCAGACGACCAATATGAGGCTTAGAATTAAAAAAAAGTTTCTGTGATCTGATTGAAAATGGACAAAGGTCTTTTTGTTGTCATGATATTGGATTATGGAGGACCTTAAAGGACCAAACAAAAATACTCTGAAAAGAGAGAAGAAAACACATCAGCTTCAAGCTGCAGGAAAATACTGTGAATAAAAAATAAAGGGATAATTTTCTACATGGAGAAACCGAACATGTTGGAAAAACAAACTCTTCTGGATTTATCTTCCACATGTCTGGACTTTGTTCTGTCACAGCAGAGGAACAAACTGCTGGTCCTGGATCAGATTAGAGAAAGAAAAAACTGACGATGGATGAAAGCTCTGGAAGTGCCTTTCTATTTATTCTCTAATTTAATACAATTAATTTTAAGTAATATTTTCCTTATTTATTATGTTTTTATATTTATCATGTTTGTTATTTTTATGGTGCTGATCTAAAAGGAGACTTAATATATTTGTTATGCAAACATGAAGTGGTTCTGGAGTGGACAGTGTGTTAATGGTCACGAAAAAACTGTAGTTATCAAACCTAACCTCAGTCTTTATGTCGCTGAATTATTTTGCTGCCTTACAGATGTTTGTTTGTTTGCATCCTGATGTTACATTTGGTTTTATAAATCAGATAAACTCTAAAGAAATAACCACACCCATCCTTACTCAGTTAAGTCTCATTACATGATAATGATCCATATAGTCCTTGATGCAGTTTGGCTTACATTTCTGCGCACTTCATTATTTCGGATGTCCAAGCCCTGGAAATTTTAAACAATTCACTGCCAAACCTGCCCGAACAACTATATATTGTCAAATTTGTCCAAGTAATGAGTGATTTTTATCAGTGTGGTGATGCTGTAATGCTGCTAACAGCTTATCCAGCAACTTTTATTGGTTCTAAATAACAAAAATATGTTGTTGAATAACACAGACTAAAAAAAAAAAAAAATTAATGCATGAGAACCATGAAGACTAGAGTGAAAGGAAGATAAGGATATTTATTTAATTTAACGTTTATTATATTAGGACTGTCCCTGTCTCTTTTTCAGGATTGTTCTGGTTTGTTTTTTTCCTTTGAGACTTTCTCATGGGTTTATTTTTCAGTAGCAAACATCTTCGGTGTTTAGCCTCAGCACCTCAAAACACAGCTGCATCTTTTGCTTGCAGTTTCTGTTTTAAACTTTGTCTTGCTGACTTCCTTTGCCCTCTTTTAAACTCTCACTCTCTTCTTCTTTCCTCACCTTGTCGCTCTACATCAAAACCTCCTCAGGCTCTTTTGAAACTCGCTGCATGAAAACTTTTCTTCCTTTGACATCCTGCATTTAGTCTCTGTTTCTGAAGTCATGTTTGTTAGAGAAGAAAGGAAATGGGAGTTTTTGCCAAACACATTTTTTAAACTAATGTTGCTCTGCTGACGTGAGAGCCGTATGAATATATTCAGTCTTTTTTATTTCTTTTCTACTGTACAGTTTTATAATGATTTATAAAGAAAAGATTAGAGTGGAGAGAGAGAGAGAGAGAGAGAGAGAGAGGAGATGTACAGAATGCGTGGACCATGAGGTGTCAGACATGTTAATAAAGATAATAGTCTTTTGGTTAATGACACACACTGTTTCTTTATTATTCTCTACACTTTTGAAAAACAGAGAACAGTGATGTTCCTCTGAACTCTTATATGCTTGGTTCTGATTGGTGAAAATCCTTAACAACATTTAACGACACGTCCTTGGAAAGTGAGACTTTCGCTGTGTTCCAGTTGTACTTGGAAGTTGGGATTTCCGAGCCCTGAGTCAGAAATTCATCTGGAACGCACCCCTAATGTCGTATTTCCGACTCTGAAAGTCGGACGATTATCACCAACCCCGACTTGACGACAATGTCATAATCTAAGCTGGCATCAACAGTAAAGAGTAACAGTGAAAGCTCTTGTAATATATTACTTTAGCACCTCTGTTTTGTTTTTGTGAAATTGGGTAAGTGTTATATGTTGTACTGCCCAACGTCTAACTGTGAACACAGTGCTATGGTGTTTGTCAGAGTAAAATACTGCGTTATGCGTTGTTTACAACAGCTAACAACAACTGACAATAGCTAACGACAGTGAACGATTATAAACAACGGCTAACAGTAGGTGTCCATCTTGGTTTTCCGACTTGTTAACTGGAACGCCATCAACTCAGGTGTCACGTCATTCCCAGCTCCGACATCCAATTTCCGAGGTAACTGGAATGCAGCATTATTTCACCTCTGCCTGTTGACACTGTGGCAAAAATGTAATATAAATAATAAATCCTGTCCTGCAATCCATACAACAGCCTCAAAGCTGGGAGGAGCATCTTAAAGCTATTGATCTCTACAAAGCAACAACATTGAAAGTTTGAAGTGTTTTGGTTTTAAGGTGTGTCATCAAACCTCTGAGGAGAAGGAGGACAGCTGAATGAGGACAGAACCTGCAGAAGTCCTGGTCACCTGGTTAAATTTTGAGTCTTATATGAAATAGATCTGGTTAAGGTTGATTCACCCACAAAGAGGCGGACAAGAATTTGTCACCATAGAAGCGTTACTTACTGTAGAATCAGAGGAACTACGCTTATCAGCCAAGAGACAAATCAGTTTTAAATTTGACTTTTTTATGTCTTTGTTGGGTATTTAAGTACAACAGAGTATTAAGGCCTCATTGAGATCATTTTCAAAAGGTTATAAAGTCGTTTTCTTCTGAGAACAACAGAATGAGCTCAGGGTAGGCCGGGATCTCAACACCCAGGATATGTTATGAAGAGCTAAAAATACCATTATATGGGACTTTTAATAGAGCTGACATTGCATTGAAAAATCCTACTGTTGACCAGAAATGGCAAATCTATTACCAAGACGTATGTTGTTATGCTTTTGCTGCTGATGAAAGCCCAAAGATAACAGGTTTATTCATCAAAAACTACAAAATATATTAATATGGATCCATGGCATTATTATGCTTTTTAAATGAAGAGAAACATTACTGTGAAAGAAATATCTGTGGAAAAATGATTGTGTCAAATCCAATTAGACACCTGAGAAATAGAGGAATAAGCAGAGGACAAACTGTGTTGTCCTTGTTGTTTTTTTACCAGACCCAAAACACGTTTATTGCTGGTGTAAAGTTAAACTTTTTAAGATGAGGCTCTATGGGAGTGGTCTCACTTTTGAACAGCCTCTGGTGGACACTCCAAGAACTGCAGCTGTGGTATTTTTGCTTTAAGGTAGGTTGGCCAAAACTGGTTATGATCAGGACTGCTGTAACTGTCCCATGAGGTATAAAACATGATCAATATATATTTCACAGAGATCCTGAAGTGACTTTTTTTTTCTAGAGTGCTGGTCTGGACTGATGAAACATTTTACTTTTTGAGTTCTGGTGTCTGTTTCTTCCACATCCATGTGTGACATTTAAGCTCCTCTCATCTGATTTCAGAGCTCATCGCCGGCAGCAGCAGCAGAGGGATCGCTCCCAAATGTCTGAGTTTTTAAATCCTCGGCCACCAAGTCTGTCTGGAGATAAACCGGTATCTCTCTCTGTAAATGTCAGACGAGCAGACGCAGAGTTTGTCAGAGGCTTTAATCAGAAACACACACTGAATATAGAAGGTCTAAACAGGAAATACTGAGAGTCCATAAAAGGGAAAAACATCAGTTACTGGATAGTTAAAGGACAGAGGAGACAGCTATGATTGACAGAAGCTCAACATTTAAATGATCTGAAGTCTGAGTCAGTAAAACCAGCTCAGATCAGGTCACATGACTGATCAAACTGATTAACTCCACGTCTAAACAGCTTTCAGATGTTTCTGTAACTTATTCTCATAATAATACCG